TACTGGTTAGGGTTGGAATTCTGTATCGAAGCGCTCAGGTTCAGAGCTGGAGGTTCATTCATATCGTTCCGCAATTGAACCACATTATGGGTTTTATGCAGGAGCCCCTTTTTAAGTAATGGGCTCCTGGTTTTATGGCATTAGCAAGTGTGGCTTGCACAGTGGGGGGAGGGGCAGTCTGTGATTAGTATTTACACAACTTACCAGAACTGGATACAAGGCGTAGGCAGCTGTGCGAATAATCTCAGAGACGTAACCAACAGTGTAGACTGGAGCCAGGGCAAAGAACATCTTCACTTTACTCGCCAACTGGGGATTACTCGAGAAGCCTGTGAAGCCAATCAGAGTTCCTTGGGAATGACCCACATAAAACAGCTGAGCCTGCCCACTCACATTTAGCGCACGGTTTATCATGGCAGGGAGGTCGTATTTAGCCATCTCTTGCCAGCTATAGAATGAAGGGAATTTAGAGTACATTTTAACGAACACTATTCCAAAACCAGTCACAAGAAAGAAAAAAGATGACAAAAGAAAAAAAAGCCGAGGAAACAGAGTTAAGGTATCTCAGGATCCCTCCATCAAATGACTGTGAATTTCTCTGAAAATAAAGCACGCATGCTATTGATGTGTATTTATTTCTCAGTCATTTAGGAAAATCAGCAATGTAGGGCTCCAGACCATATTACCTCCAATCCCAGAATTCCTCGTCACTCGGATCTAGTTTTATATGCTTCTGTGAATATCTGTTACCCCGGATGTTTCCAAGCCATACGTCAAAGCCCCTGTCTGCAAGGATGTAGGCCAGACTCTCTGAGCGTCCGTTTAGTATCCAGTTGGTGCTATCCATTGTCAGTCCATGTTGAAGAAAGACAACTGGTTTGGGAGATGGACTCTGAGTCTTATTCCATCCATGCGGAATCCGTTGCATGTTTAGAATGAAACCATCTTGAGTTGTAACAAAATGATTTTCCACCGGGTAACCTCTGTCCATGATCAGCTCGTTCTAAGGAAAAAAGTAACTTAAACTTCCATAAATGTCGCTAAAAATTTATTCAATAAAACATTTCGGACTTGTGAATGATAAACGTGAATTGATAGCTTTTATTCAATCGCTATTTCGGGCACACAAAGGCATCGTCTTCGATACGTTTTGAAACCTCTCAGCAACATGCTGCCTGAACCATAAATCTAAGTGTTATGAAACTTGAATTTGGATCCAAGTTGGACCTAATGTCAATGTTGTTCTATACGACCATGGGTGCACATTCTATGCTCTACGGCACGAGCGTTTCTTCGCCGCGAGAAAGCTTTAGGCCTTGAGGAAAAGATCTGCAAGGGCTCTAACACTAATAATGCCAGACCCCTTACTGACCTCTCGCTAATTCCCTTTGATCAACCTTCCTCACGGGCGAAGAAAACGTTCGAGTCGCAGCGCATATAATGAAGGCCTAATCTCTAGTTTTCCAAAGAAAAAGAGGTATCCAATATGACATCGATGTGAGATGTTTTACACATTTGCATGAAGAGCAAGGTAGGTAGGGTGATTTCGTCGCCGCTTCAAATTAATCTAGCCTTATCGATGCGTCTGCACTGTAAATTTACAACGCAGCTATATTTGCATTTATTATTCGGTACATTGTTCGCCTATCTATACGAATTAGAACCAAGAATAACCTAAAACGCAAACATCGATAACAGTTTGTATTTATAATAGTGAAGCGCAATAATGTTATAACAAGGTCTCTGTGGTAAAATTGTGAAACACCGCGCGCGTTCATTGGCTGAGATTTGAAGAGGGTGGACTCCGGAATTGATGTAAAGACACACCACGCACGTGCATAGAAAATAAACTTTGGTCACTAAAATAACAAATTTCGACCTTTTGATTTGTTTGGAGAAAATCGACGTCGTGCTCTTACACGTACGATGTTTTTCAACGCTTCAATAACGTCCTGTTGAAAAGAAAAATTCCAGGCTTCTTAATGGAGAGCCTGTTTGGAAATCGCTCTGACATAACAGTGAAGTTCATGTCGAGGTGCAATTGCTGTTAACGCACCGCAGGAAATTTTCCGATGGTCCCGCTTACAATGAAGAGTGCGTATGTGAAATAAACCAAACCGGAATGGATTATATAGAGGTTACAGCACATGAACTGAAAGCGAACCAAATGGCCCTAAATCATCCCAGAAAATCCGTATCTTACAAAGGAAAAACCATTGAGGCGATGTTAAATTGTCTTCATTCAAAACTAGTTTCCATTTAAAACCTTATATTTCGCCCATTGCGTAATGTAAACATACAATACAGAGGGTTACCTGTGTGCAAACTAATACAGTGTCAGCTTTCGAATTACTGACAAACAAGTGTATGCATGTGAGCGAGGGAGTCTCCTGTACTCTTCACGGATCAGAGATCTATCCAACCAATCTTTACGATTATCTATTCGTGTACGGAATTTGCACCAATTATTCCATCGAAAAAAAAAAAGGCTTATGAACCATGTCAACAGGGAGCAATGGCTTTTCCCCTTCAGCCAAACGATACTCACAACTGCGAAATGACATATGCCTCGAAAGCTGTCATCAAGAGAAAACCTTTTCCCACAGAAGAGTATTGGCACGAAGCCCATTCAGCAAGAAAGTTTATTGGATGGCGCTGGGGGATGGGAAAAAGGAATGAACAAGGCGTTTTAGAGGCTGACCTGATAAATGTTGTGGATAGAAAGGGCGAGTGCATTCAGCATAGCAGTCGAGCATAAGCCAACAAAAATAGGTACGTCTTTTTAAACAAACGCAATTGTATGCAAGCTAAGTCGATCCGTAGATTAACATCAGTTGCCGAACACCAAGAGTAGGAAATCCCTTTCTTTAGAGGCAATCATTCCGGTTTACACACGTATTCAAGCGAATGAAATTCGCAGATATAACTTTATGATAGGTTCATTGAGGAGAGAGAGAACCTTTTTCTTAGACAATATTCCAGAATTAGATATAGGTTACAAGCGAAGATTAACTAGAGAAGAACGGGAGAAGAACAAACACTGTTTCGTTAATAGGCTTACAATTAATTTCCGTTTGCTCAAAATTCTTTTCAATCTAGTGAAAGCCTCTTATCATCAATGAACATATCTCACTAGGAATAAAATGAACATACATTGAATGAAAATAGTGACGGTACTCGGAAAAGTTCAAGATCGCATTCATAACATTAAAATTTTTGGTTCCTTAAATTTTGATTGCGTCATATAACCATGAAATAGTCAATGGTGAAATAGCAAAAAACCTCCTACCGCAGTTCTGTAAAGATCTGAGTCTTCCACATCATTTTCTTGAGTCTCTAAAGGCGCACATATCAGCAATGGGAAAAGCACTGAGATTAGAAGGATAAAGATTGTCATGATACGCACGGCCATCGTTGACAAATTGTGATTATTACAGGACAAAAGCCACACGAATGATGAACTCTGAGGACGAAATCTGTAAATAAATTGTAGTCAGTGAGTTTTTCGTAACTATACTGGTTAAAAGGAGAGAGGACTCAGGAAAAGTTTGCAATTTTACGAAGCAGGAAAAACTTCCAAACCTCTTCAAGAACGACGCTGCCTTTCAGTCTTGACAGATTTCGATCCAGGTTGTCTGTGAAGAGAAGGTTCAGGGAGAGCGTATAAGTAACACAAGTCACAAGACCTTTAACCACCCCTGCTGAGGGGAGTCGAGTTTCAAAGACGCGTGCTTAGGGAAACCGCACGAAAGGAAAACATGCGAAAATCGATCTGCTTTCTAAGCCGGAAAGGGTCGGGGCGTTTTGAAATAAAAACATTCAGATGAAAGATCCAATGCTAAATTATATAGTTCCTCTGAGCTCTCTGAATTCTGTTTATTTTTAACAGCAATTTTTCAACATATTCGTCAGCCTTAGAACTTGATTCATTCCAGGACAAGAAAAAAAATCTGTCTGGGAACTTATTAGATGAGCAGGTCACGTGCCGATGTATAATAACGAAGCAAATACCACATACATACAATTAGGATGTCTTAGGATAGGAAGTCAAAGAAAGAAAGTCATTTTAAGACACCAGAAAAGGTAAAGCTTGAGCTTGCTGTGGTCACCTCTCCAGAAACGTGACTAATGGTCACTGATAGTATGATAATGTGACAAACTCTGCTCTTAACCAGTGTACAAAGAGGGTGTTAGTAGACTACAACGAAACTCATGACGTAACTCTAAGTTCTTGGGTGATCTACCGAGTTTGGGGTACGATGCCTGAGTAATTGCTGAACAGGTGATACAAATAACAAGAAACTAACGCATTAATTGAAAAAAAGACCGCCTTTGAGGAAACATATCAAAAGGAGAAACAAACAAACAAGAGACGTAGAAGCATATAAAGACCATAACTGTCTTCGTATGGTGATTTCAACATTAATTATTTCAACAAAAGATCATTCAATCTCTTCGAATGAGGTTTCTCGGTTCATGATATCCTCTTCTTGCAGGAGCCCATTATTGTTAAGTAGTGGGCTCCTGCTTCTTGTCATTCTTACTTAAATATTTATTTTTCCGCTGTTATCTGACTCATACACTGTCTCCTTATACGTTTTGGGGAAAATTATTAACGAGTGAAGCGCGTGACAGGTGCGCGGGAGAGGATGAGAGGGGGGAAAAATTTTCCATCGTCCGCTTTGAAGTGCTAGTCTCTCGTGACCCCGCGGCTTCGTATTAAAAGTTACGAGACAACTGGGGACAAGTCAGATGTTGTAAGTTCCAGTCTATTCCTGGTTCACGACCAGTGCGGACGAGCTTACTTGGCTAAGCTCGGTTGTCAAGGGAAACAGAAACGAAGAACGTAATGCTGGTTCGATCGATTCGAGATAGCAGGTGCTGTGACAAAGTAATAAATGAAAAATACTACGTTTTAAATAACATATGATTAGAATTGTCGTCCCCTTTCGACCCCTCTCGTGTAACAGTCAGACGAAGCAGTAAATTTGATAGGCCTTTTGCGATCAGTTTATTGCTTTAATCAGATATAAAATTTGAGCAATTTGGACATCTTTGGGGAGATTAGTATTGTGATAAACTGACGCTAGAAAATGAGCCATGGTCCATGAACGCGATGATTAAAAACAACCACGTTAGCTTCAAGAAAAATAATCGTTCATCGAATCATATGCTTCCGATTTGTCTTTTTTCGGTAGTCCTTGGTAACACCAAATAATATTTTAAATAATTCTTACATTTTCAATAAATCCGCACTAAAATGAATTTCCTCTTCTGAAATTATAAAACATCTTTTCCCTGGATTGCACAGTGATCCAACATCAATTTGGACTTTATTTTTCACGTTAACAGGCCCAGTGCTGACTTCCACGATGCCATTGCTTCTCCACTCACGAGAGATCATGCAAAATTTTGACAAGTTTGCTGTATAAAACTTTGGCAGCATCCTCTCCAAACACAAAATCAACGTGATTCCATCTAGGTAAGAACTGAGTGAGTACAAGATTGCTAATTTTGGGTATAAGAGCTTCCACGTCAGTCGCGTTAGACAGTGAATCCTGGCCGGCGTAGAAAAATGCTGTGGGTGTTATCATCTTACTAACATCATACACTGGTGGTGAGTCCTAGGAAGGAAAAAACCAAACAAAATACTCACGAAAATTTGTCATTTGACTGAGGCCTAGTATTAAAATTATAACAATTTTCAATTGAGTGACGAAAGAAATCCTGTACTGCTTTGGTTTTGGTTTACTTCGTTCAGTGTTTGGTCGACAAACACGCGACACTCTCTTAACAAATCAGATTCCAAACTAAAACCAATAACGACTTGGTCACCCGCGTTTTCCTGCGCTTTAGTTAGTTGTTTCTACTTTGAATTCTCGTTGGCTCTTAAAGGATTTTTTCCTTCCTTTTGATTAGCCGTTGTAATTATTTTGATTTTGGTTTTACGAAACTAAATCGACATTCAAAACTATTGTCTTTGTTGTTTTGACCAAAGCAAGCAAATAATTCCTTGTTTTTCAGGTTGAACATTCCCGAATTTGTTATGATATTTTTTGGTCTATTTGTACAAAAAGAAACCACCAATATAAAAGTTTATTCTGCAGCTCAACTCAAGTTTTCTATTATACCGGACACAAATTCTTGATACAAAACGACACAGAGTCAATTAAACTACCTGATGGTAATGTTTTTGATTTCCTTTCCTGCCATAGTTAAACTTCTGACATCTTCCCGATAATATAAGCTGCAATTGGGAATAACAGTTAAAACATATTGAGAAACCTGGGACAAAGCTAAATTTTGAAGTCACCAGGTAGCCCCTCTTGTACATTCTATTACTTACTGGTAAGGGACCAGTTATCAGTTGGCTCCTGGGAGGGTGGGAGGGATTTTTAAGAGGATCGCATGGTTTATCAAGGGAGGAAGGGGGGCAGGGGGGCGGGGGGGCGGAGGTGGGATAAGTCGTCGCTAACAGTGTATCGAGTGGGGACTACAGAAAAATAACTGCGAATTGACTGCCAATGAAGGGGGATCATGAGAATTTTACTGAGCCTTATGGGGGGATCATGTAACTTATCGTGACACAACCAAAATCCTCCAGCCCCCTACCCAAAGGATAAATAATGACAGCTTCATAATCAGAGTAGTTCACTTTTTATTCATGCTAACCTTACGCAGTCTATCCTTTCAATTTAAGTATTTTTCCAATCATATTGCATGCCAGAATTTAAACAAACGCTTGACCTGGCCGAATTTCTACATTTGCATCAGGATGAAACTATACGTCAATAAACAAGTTTTATACACAGTTCGACCGACTTTTCAAACACCAATCGTATTGCCTTTACATACCTGGCCGAGGTGGATGATATTCTTCAGGGAAGTACCCGCTGGCCAGTTTGAAAGGTAGACCGGAACCCGACTCTGGTGAAAGGAAAACAGAGAATACACAGCACAGTCCATTATAACCATTTATATGCCAGCACCAGTTTTTCATTAAACACCAGTTTTTCATTAAACATAATTTTACTTACCATATTGTTGTTACTGTCATCAAAGCCAAAAATGTACTCTCCAAGATCATAACAAGCCTGTTCTGACCACTTGCCGCCACAAAAACCGATATCTATAAGCTTCTGAAGCAGTCGACCAGGCAAGAACTCGATTTCGCCCAGGGGACGAAGAAGTTCCTGACAGAAAAAAAAATAGGAGCTTCTGTCAATCCTGGTCAAAATTATTCGGCATGGATGCCCACGATTAAGACACAAAACATCCACAAAGACACACGACAACAGACCGCTCAGGGGACACGTCATCAACATGTGGCAATCACAGCTGCTGGAAAACGGCCAAAAAATGACGCTTCATAAGGTAACGATTAAGCAGTCCACCCCACCCCTAGAGAAAAATTAACAATAAAAAGTTCATACGTCGCGATCCGCATCAGAAGTGCATCACATAAGCCAAATATAATTTTTTTTACACTTAATTCATACCTCAATTGGGTCAAGAGTGAAAGCCAAGTCCCTCAGTATTGCGGCAGTGTGGTCCAATTGGTAAATGGGCGCCAAGGCCATGAACAGTTTGACTTTCTTTGCAAGCCCGGGATTGGATGAGAAACTCGTGAAACCGACCAGAGTTCCTTGCGAGTGGCCGATGTAAAATAGCTGGTCTTGGCCGCTGACATTTAGAGCGTGCTCAAGCATGGCTGGGATGTCATATTGAGCCATTTCTTGAAAGCTGCAACCAAACACATACCACTGTCAGGAGGAAATAGTGAAAATAGTGAAAACCATCATATCAATGTATGCCACAAGAAACTACACAGTTTAACCCTTTAACTCCCAGAAGTGATTGACACGCAACTTCTCCCTATAATATCCGTACATTATCTTGATCTAACACCAAATTCTCGTGACTAATTTACAAGGAAGTGTGTCGCAGCTAGAGAAGAGAATTAACAATCAGATCTAGGGAGTTAACGAGTTAATGACTTAACTTCCTTCTGTCTCATATGGCTTTCCGAATCATCGTAGTACCTAAAGTGCCGTCAATAGGGTAATGGTTTATCTCTCATTAAAACAGCAGGCCCGTGTCATTTATCGAGGGGAAAATAGAACCTTCTTTCCTGTTTTAAAATCAGAAAGGTCATTAGCACTGTCAATTTTCTTTAATCTGTCAAAAATTATCAGCCTTCTTTCCACGGAACACTCACCTCCAATCCCAGAATTTTTTTTGACTCGGCTTTAAGACACTATTACGTCTCGAGTATCTGTTTCCCCGGATGTTACCAAGCCAAACATCAAACCCACTGTCGGCCAAGATGTACCCCAAGCTGTTATCCGGATAATTTTGGACCCAATTTGACGAGTCCGCCAAGAGCCCATGCTGTAGAAACACTACAGGTTTAGTGCCATTGGTTCCACCTGCTCGCCCATGTGGGATACGCTGAACACCGAGTGTGAAGTTATCTATGGTGTCCACGCAGTATTCTTCAACTGGATATCCACGATTCACAATAAGCTGACTCTAAGATGATAAAAGGAAGGGAGGAGAGAAGAGATACGGACAGTGTTCAGATCCATTTCAACAACCGTTTAAATCCAAAAATACACAAATACATGTCGTCTCCTCATTGCCTCCACACATTTCTATCAATGTTCTTCCATGAAGTTTTGTCAAAGCAAGCAAAGTGCTAAATGGTTCGTGTCTTTCCCAAATCTCTTTCCGAGTGCGTTGTTCAAGTGCAACATATCACATTTTCTAACATGAATACAGCAGGCGAACCAGCCCGATCACTGAAGCAAAAATGGTACTAAATATTACAGAGACGATCCGGCGGAAAAACATCCAATTTTCAGATACAGATACCCATACAGCTGTTTTTAATTCAATTCCGTATGTGGCTCGAGACTAAAGAGCGCATGTCATGGAGACAAAAACCATACAAGTATTTGTTTAAAACGATTCCTAAGTTTACATGATTGAAGGTAGCCTCGTATTTCTCTTTGCAAGGTGCGTTTGGCATGTCTTAGTTCAATGGAAAACTTGGAACAAAGCAAAAGGACTTTTCAGTCCAACAATGACACTGTCATCATCTGCTGTAATGCTTCCTACAATAAGACTGGGAACGAGTTTGGAACTAACCGAATTGACTTTTTCTGTTTTTCTTTTCTATTATAGTCGTGCCTAGGTCCTTAGCGAGAAAGTAGCAGATTGCACGCTTGTTATCCATTGCATAATTTATCTACTGTGTCTCGGATAACTTCAAACAACTACAGTTGATGATTACTTCAATAGCTTATTCAATTTAAGGTGTAGTGGAGGCACAGTGAAAGTGAAACGATCGACCTCCAGTCACTGAGTGTTGTTCCAACTACGATGTCGAAGCAAATAGCACATTCAGTGCAGTAAAAACTTGTATAACAAACTTACGACAATTGTTTCAGTTCAATCGGCCGAGCCGTTACCTTTTCACCAAAACTGCGACCATATGTGTCCTTTGAGGAGCTACAGTTATCCCAAACAGAAAGCAACCTTCAAAGTCTTCAAGGAACAAATTGAAAAATGAGAATACTCACAACATTACGAAATGCGTCAGGATCCACTTTTGGACAACAGCTAGGCTTAGTCGATCGACCCTTGACAAACAACAACAGACTCAGTAAAGTGGCGACGAATGCGTCAAATATCATCTCTTTCTTCCAAGCCTCGCTTCACTATCATCGATAAGAGCAGGAGCAGGAGACACCTCCAAGAACACCTTCTTAGAACTGAATCACAAACGCGAAATTTGAGTTCGCTAAATAGATCTTACTTTGCATGACAAGTCACGTGCTCTTGCAGACTGTCTGTGGGAATTCGACGGGGCAGTTTGGTGTAAAACAATTAATCGTAAACAAGAATTAAAAAAACGCAATCATCATTCCCGCATAAAGATTTCTATTTATAGCAGAATGCGTGTTGCACGGGAACAGGTCATGCCTTGGCGTATTTTGCCTTTCGTTTTTCCTTTCTGGGAATTGACGATGGTTTTGTTTACAATGTAAATTCTTTCGTCACACAACGATTCTGTCACTTGCTCCAGTCCGGGTGTGCGAATACATTTGACCAGCGGCTTTCATTCGTTACCAAGGTAACCGCGTTGTTGTACTAAGGAATGGCTGAGAGAATCTGACTCGCCAAGTGAACAGCAATTTACCAATTTTCTCACAAATACAAGGCAAAAGAAAGTTTTCTACATCTTCGGTAGGTAGATAAATCTCTTCAATTTAATATTTGCGCGATTTACCCATCAAATCTTGCAAAGAACTACTTCAATCGTGGACATAAGATTGGTAGTTCTGGGTTTCGCCTTTCAGTTGGAAACTCTTGGAAAGGTTTACATATTGAGGAATTATTAAAAGATTTGTCCTGTAAAAGGTGGATTTCGATGCTCACAAAATTATTATCCCCTCAACATAAGCTACATGTGATAGTCGAGTCGCGGTACATGTGGAGTTAATCGATATTTATTTAGTGCACTTCGCGCTGTCAGTGTAGAAATATAATTCAGAAAAAAACCCTTCAATTACGGATATCTTTGATGATCTCCAACACAGTGATATCGAAAGTGGTATAAATTACATTTACAGAAAAATTAAGCTTTGTTTTATTCAGAACTGAAGATGACAGAAGAACTGTCGAAACATGTTTTTAAAAAGTGTCGTTCATATTTTTGAAAATTGAAATTCATATGCGAGTACACAAGCAAATCAACGGGTGAACATGATAACTCTTATCTTAAGACGGTTCAAGTGTCATTGATTCTTACTAGAAATTGTGCAGAGGAAAACTTAAGAAAATTCCCTAAAAGTTAAAGTTAAGTCATTGTGAAACCGCATATTTTTTTAAACTCAAAGGGATTATACATCTGGGTTTGAGATGGAATGAAACTAGATGTAAACTGAATTTTCCAATTTTGAATTTTAGGTCTACTTACCCAGAGGAGATTAAAATGTAACTAAAATATCCAAATTATCCAGCTAACAGGTTGTGAGAATACCCAAACACATCAAATTAAAGCTGTTATCTTGATCTAACACCAAATTTTTGTAACTAATTTACAAGGAAATGTGTAGCAGCTAGAGGGGAGAATTAACAATCAGATCTTGGAAGTTAAAGGGTGAATGACTCACAGTGAATGAAAAATACTATACAGACAATCAGAAACTAGAATTTACATGTATAATGATAACTTCATTGGCAGAAGCACAGAAATATGGGACGTCTTCCTTATGGACCAGGAAATGCCCACATTTTACAAAGTAAGGGTGCTGATGTTGGGGTCATGAAATTCTACTGTACAGAATATTCAACCCATTATGGTAAAGAAGGTTTCATTCCCCGGACTGGTCGTCATTCAGGCACTGGATACCAGTCTAATTTTAGACCAGGAGTGTATTACAGTCGGCGCCTTGATGAACTTGATAACCCAGCCATGGGGTAAGTTGAACATGATACATGCAGGATTTTATTTATATTAGCTAGCCAGAGCTTTCTAAATTAAGTTTTATGAAAGTTCAACAAACCAACAATTCCACTGTGTAATACTTGGTTCAGATGAACAGGCCCATTTTAGAAATAAGAACTAGACCAGCTTAGCAGACAGAACCTTCTTTACAAAGGAAAGTTTGCACTGTATGATTCAAGGTGAATTAATTTAAAAAATAAAAATATGTACATGTCCATAAAGGCTCAATAATCAATTTAACAAATAAATTCCATGTTCCCATGTGTCTCTTCAGTAACAGAGAGTAACAGTTAAGATAAAAAAAAGAGGCACACATGGTGCAGCCAAGTGTGCCACTGATTTTGTTGTGACATTTTGACATTTTCTGTGGTCTACTACAGTACAGACCCACAGCAAAATGAACTGTACGTGTACATGTGTTTTTTATCTGATAAAATAGCATTGTTGTTTAACCCTTTAACTCCTGGAAGTGATTAACAAGTAACCTCTCCCTACAATATCCATGCACTGTCCAGAAAACAGGTAATGAGAATACTCAAATGTATCAAGTAGAAGTTGTTATCTTGACCTAACTCCAAAGTATCGTAACTTATTTGCAAGGAAATGTGTAGCAGCCAAAGGGAAGAATTAACACTCAGATCTTGTGAGTTAAAGGGTTAATGGTGATGTCATCTAGAAGTATGCATCTGTTGTTCAATAGAACATCAGTGAGAACCAATCAAAATGCATGCATAATAGAGCTTATCATATAATGTCACAGAGACCATCCAGCTACAAAATGTACATGTATACAACATCACTGCACTATTTGTCATTATTTGAATTGATTAATAATTTTTTTCCATGACAGACGTCTTCTGACAGACAACTATGCGTCCATAACCAAGAAACATTTTTTGCCTTCCAAAGGATCAGGTGGCTCTGATCCTTTTTCCAGAGGGCTCTACATGACAGCAACAAGTGGATTTGTGAAGGATATTCCTGTCACTATTCCAAGATCAAGACAGGTCAGCTAGTGTTGCAATTCAGTCTTGCTGTTAATTACAGCATAGGTTTAGTGGCAGTTCCCATTGTCCCATCCTCCCCTCTACCCAAGGGGCCCTTTGGTGAGAAGGAGATGCTGTTTCCTCTTTCTCACTACATGTAAGTGGGTACCAATCAGGGAGTTTGGGTGGAGAGACAGCTGCAAGTCTAAATTATTATGTCACAAAAAAAATTTCTCACTGAGGCCCCTGATAAAAGAAAGTAATACCTAGAGAAATGGTAAAAAATAGCCCCCAGTACCCTTTTCTGCTAGTTACAGGGTACATGAACAGTTCTTACTTCTTCTTTTACTTGCTTATCTACATTTCCTAACTCAGTTACTTCACTCTTTTGGCTCTTCTTTCTACGTTGAAGTTTATAAATAGTTGATGACAAACTGCTGTTAAAACCTACATAGAGGTAACATGGGATGGACAGATATGAATATTTTGGAAATAGAAAAGTGACTTCAGGCATGAAAACTTGGATCTACACACTCTTTCCTTGTAAATGACTGAACATGAAGGTTACTTTTAACAGACATCTTTAAGAATGGCCTTTGATTTTTCATAAATTCATGCAATAGGTGAGTGATGTACACATTGACACCAGGGCAAAAGGAACAGTTTATCCATTTCACCGTCCCCTGCTGCACACTCTGAAACAGAAGGATCCTATCTCCAGAGAAAATGCTTTCCACGTAAGTTGATAATTAAAATGTATACCAACTAGGCCTACATTGCTACACATGACAAGAACAGCTTGGCAAATTTTACAAAAAAAAAAAGAAAAGGGTTTTGAGATCATATTTTGACGTTAAATAGTAAACTTGTCCTAACCTCTTCATCAATTTCTTTTCTTTAGGGACCAAGCTACATGTCAACTGAAAGCCATACAAGTTTCCTTGGAAAACCCAGTCAGAGAAGTGTGTACCACTTTTCTTCTAGGAGCAAAGTTTTTAATCTTACTTAAAATCTTCACAAAGCTAGCATCTTCAACAAACTTTTGTTGAGACATTTTGCATCATTATTGCTACTTATTTACAATGTACTGGTATAAAATGTATCTTTTGTTGCTTCTCCTCCTCCACCTACATGTACAATGTACCTTTTCCCTTCCAGTCAGTGTTCATGATTTGGTCTGTATTATGATCATGTTTATGTGATATGTAGTTACCACAGGGTACAATTTGGCATTATTTTCTATTAAGAGACTCCTAGCATCTTAGCATAATTATATAAAGTTCATATAGGGTTACATGAAGACCAGGCTGTTTCATTATGAAATATTACTTTTTCAAGGCACAAAGAGTATTCATGTACTCACAGCAAGAGATTTGGTATTGTCTCTTCAAAACTGCACTTGGAGCTATATTAATTCTTTAGCAATGCGAGTAGAATTCAGCATTTGATGTAATTCTTTTGCTGTTTTTAACTGCGTGACTTCCTGTGGAGGACTTGTTAAGATGTACACTGTGCATGTATCATAAACCTCTTCTGCATACACTGCATGTCAATTGATTTTCTTTTTAAACTTTAAAATAATGATTCTTTTCTTTGATTACCCCTCAGTGGACACTTCAACCAAGAGTGTGGGATACAAAGAAGGATCAGGCTTTACACATGCTTATAATGACGAGCCAATCACTTTCAACCCAATGGAGGCTCATGAAGGAATAAGAGATGTTAGGCATTTCATATAAAATACTATCACTAATAGTACTAGAAATGACAAAATTACCTACATGTTATTGTACAATTGTCTTTGATCCATTGACTAAACTAATTGTCCCATTTGCCAAAAAAAACATTCATTTAATAATAACTACATTGTATAGTTAAAATGCATGCTTGACCATTGTCTGATAGGGATTATTTAAAAAAATGAACTTCAATAAATGTTGAGGCCATAAAACTCCATTAAGGATGAAAAGATCAATAACTAGACTGCTTTCCTTAGGATTTTAGTCAAAATTATTACAGTTTGAAGTGACTAGTGTACAGTTATTCTATTTTCTCCTTTCTTTATAAAATAGGATCTTATGCACAGCCTGCTAATTTGATTTGACCATCTTTACCTACTGTACATTATAGTTGTGCCTGATCATTTGGCTTAATACCTGGTTCAATAATGGAAAATACCTGTGGACCCAGGACCAGAAATAAAGTGATGTGTTTGGGTGATTTTAATTAGATGCCCTGTGCCAACCTTGGTTGAAATCACATTTATTAACATTTATTAACATTTATTTCAGCCACGATGGACACACAGGCCAACAGGCTTCAGTATTATGAAGAAAGATTTTCTTCCAGTTGAATATCTTCATGTGAGTTAACTTTCATGTATTACTTAACGCATTTGAGCATGATGAAAACACTAACTTCATTCTCTAATAGCCACCTAAGATAATGCTAATCAATTTAAAACCGTTAAAATACAACATGCAGCCATCAAGTTAGCAAAGTTCATGCACTTCACTAGATCTGAGTGATAAGTTTACATGAAAATCCATTTAGGATATTTTTTCCACACATTTAAGTTGCAAACATTAAACTTCAGTCTACAAAAACAATACTTGTGAACACAAATGACCCCCATATTCCTTCCAAGCTCATTACAGTTTGTTTGGTCATTCTAGCCACTAATCACCTATTTTTATTTCTTATACTTTTCCTTAAACATTGTACTTTCAAAATAACATTATGGTTCTTTTCATTACACAACTGTCCAGGGCAATGAGAGTTTACCAGTTTTGTCTAATGGATCAGAACGAGGCACTGGGTTTACTCATGGCACAAAAGCAAGGCCAGTTTTTTATTCAAAGGTGGGACAGGTAAGAAATTAATCAGAAAACAAATAAATGCCATTCTGGGTTGGGTAATGTCTTTGCATAATTCTTTCACCAATACATACGGCAATGAATGAATAAATACATTTTTATCATAAGTGAAAAAAGTAGCAATCAAATGGAATTCCCATAAGGGGAAGGGTGACTATCAGAAAATCATGGGGGGGGGGGGGTTGGATATTAGTCACTTACATTGTTAATCTGCAATTCTCTTCATAATTCTTGAAAAACACTCCCAAATTTGAACTTTATATTCCATCTCCCCCCTACCTCCTTTCAATTTTAGAAACTTCTAGCACTTGCACGTGATATAATTCAACATAAAGCAAAGTGGGTTTTGTCAAGATTTATAAATTGATGAGGGTCAGGGGTTTCACTAGCAGCCAGGTACTTACAATGCTGGCCGCGCCAAGTACACAAATGTCATGTTCATACATCCTAAGTAATACACAAGTTATTCTCTTCAAATTGAATCAAATAAGCAAACTTCGAGGCACGATATGAATTGGAATAGAACTCAAAATTTCGGAAAATGCCACCATGAAAGGCTCTCTTGGTCTTCAAACCTTCCTACATGTACGGCCGCCCTGGCCTACTTTTGACCACCCATTTAAACCATATGTTATTGAAACAACTGAAGGAGGTAGCTCGGACCATTTATATTCAACAAATTTCTCCTTTGGAGGTGGTTGTAATGTATTTTTTTATGAAAAAATCCATCTTACAGCAAAAATTCACATCGAGTCCACATCCATTAGCAAGATCAGAGGGTTTTAGACACTTTAAGGGTTAAGCCATGTCACTAACATCCATATACATGTATTCAAACTAAAATGACCTCAGTGTACTCACAATAGTTGTTCACTGATCCATTTTACATCCTCCTTTTCAGGATTACACGAAGCTTGGCGACCTTCACCCTCGGGTCCAAGAGCGAGTGAAGAAGATGGATCCAGCTGAGTATTCTAACATGGTTAACCCTCATGCTTTCGCCAGGTATCAAATATTTTAAAATTTCTTCGGATATTCTTGGTTTATCATCGAAATGTCTGTGCACCTAAAGAAAAATCGCAGATATACAGCTGACGTATTTTTCGGCCGCGTCCGCCATGTTATTCCTTTCTGAGGAGATTGGGGACTAAAATTTGGTTTACGCGCTTTTGCGCGAATAAAAAAAGCTGAAAGGGTTTCCTACTTGTAGCCCATTCGCACCAATATACAAAGCTAAAACATGTTTTAAAGGTATTTTGTCAAACACGGTTTAACCTTTTTTTCTTCAGAGAAGCTACTTAAACTTTTTTTTTGTCTTCAAATGTAGCACATTGAAACTACATGCAAGTGGTTACTTGAGTCCTTGAGTCCTCGAGAAAATTCAGTTTTCCAGGCCTGTTTCTGGCTTTTATTCATTCAAACCCGGTTTACTAAACATGTTTTGCTGGTGTGAGTGGGCTGTGAGAGTTTGTTTTCAAACAGAAAAAGTATGGAATACATGTTGTTCCAAACTTAGAATTTCCCTTGCAATTCCAAACTTAGAATCATCCCTCCAATATCCTATTGGAGGGATGGAAATTGAAAATTTTTTTTGTAGCTACGGTAAATTGTATACCTACGGTAAATTGTATACCTAAAAGACAACTAAATAAATGTTACATATGAACACTAAATGGGCTGCTGACATGATATATCTTGGAAAAAAAAGTGTTTGCCATAATTCTTTTCAAAGCTTAGAATTGCCCTGGGGGAGTAAAATTAATTTCTACTTTGTCTTTGTAGTCACATCAGACATACTATTAGGCACCTGAAGAAGTGAAAATTCTGTTTTGCCAACATTCAGTTGCAAACACATGGTTTCCTTATAGTTTATAAGTACCTCAGGGTTACTTTTAAAAATTTAGCAAAGCTTACTGAAGAGAGATTTTCCAATTGGTTCCAAAAACTAAACCCACTTTTTGTCTTTTCCTTCTTTCCCATAGCACTGCCAAGATTTCATTCAAAGGCAAACAGAGAAATGATCCTACGGAAGCAGAGAGACTGGGTAATACATCCACAGGAACAAAGGTTGGTTGAAAAATTCAAAATTTACTGAAAGAGAAGGGGGAGAATTTTAACAGCGTGGATGGTGATAACCTTCAAATTTTATTTTGTAGCAGACAAATTTTCATTTAGGATCCCAGTGCATACACAAAGTACTGTGTATGTTTAAATTACATGTAAACTCTAGCCATACCTAAACTTGACATGACCTCAGGATGGACCCTTATTTTCTCAAACTTAAAGACTTGAATGTGTGTGGCACCAGTTTCATTTTGAAGGAAAATTGAGATACTCATAATTTTTGGTCTAGGTGATATTTTGAAATTTTAAAGTAAAAAGGACATATGGGATGACTACAGTACTGCACTAGGTCCAAGGTACAGGATATTGGGTGCTGGGGTACTCAGGGTACAGGATATTGGGTACCCAGTACCTAGGGTACAGGATATTGGGTACCGGATACCCAGGGTACAAGATATTGGGTAGTGACTACCCAGAGTACAGGATATTGGGTACCAGGTACCCAGAGTACAGGATATTGGGTAGCGGGTACCTAGGGTACAGGATATTGGTTAGCAGGTACCCTGAACACAGGATTTTGGGTACTGGGCACTCAGGGTACAGGATATTGGGGTACCGGCACCCAGGGCACAGGAAACCCAGGGTACAGGATATTGGATACTGGGTACCCAGGGTATAAGATTTTGGGTACAAAGGTACCTGGATGTTTAAGTAGCAGGTACCCAGGGTACCAGGGTATGGGATATTGGGTACTCGGTACCCGGGGTACAGCTGGATATTGGATACCAAGTACCAAGACTAGAGGATATTAGGTACCAGGTATCCAAGGTACAGGATATTGGGTACAGTACTAGGCCATTTTGTTTCTGTTGGAGAATGAAATGTCATAATGAGAATTTTGTTCAAATAAATATGTTCACTGGGAAAAAAATTCCTTCCTCGTTACTTTGCTCTAAATGTAACACTGAATATGCGAAAAAGACTGATTTGCAAGTGGATAACCATGCTGAAAATAGTCAACATGGATAAAAATTATAGAGAATGTTTACTAATTTACTTATCCCAGGAGCTGACAGGATACAGCGAAAATAATGACCAGTATTTTGAGACAGCTGAGACTACAGACTCTCTTAAGAGATTTGAAACTCATTATAATGCCAAGTAAGTATACATTTGACTCACGTGAACCGACAACTTTTGCTTATATGGGAAGATTTTACACCTTAAGGTCTCACCCTTTAACTCCCACGCTTGTCCTTACTCTCGACCACACATTTATGATTTTAGTTCGCAGAACTGATTCAGTAGCGGATCAACTTAGAAGCCCCTATAAGTTCTCATCACTTGTCTGCTTGGTATTGTATTGAGAGAATTTCTGTCCTGGTCACTCATGGGAGTTAACGGGTTAAGGGTATACGAGAGAGGGTGACGAATTTTAGGAATGTATGCATGTATAACCCATAGGTTAAAAAATAAAAGGAAAAATAGAAGAGAAAAGAAAAAAGGTTCTCATAAAAGAACAAATACACGTAAACCTATAACTTGAATGCAAGTAAAATACATAAATTTCACTCCACGTCTGATGATAAGTCCTTCTTTTGCAAACGTTTAGGCCAAGTTTACAATGAAGGGGCCTTATCACAAGCTTTTAACTGAGATTTAAGGACTTGTCAGATTATTTTATCGCATGGAATTACATGTAATCTATTTTTGCCAAAGGTCTGTGGTACACATGCACCAAGGCACATCCCTCTCTTCGCCACGCCCTGTTTAAGTTGCTTTCACTTCAGCTATATTCTTCATACTTAGCACGGATTTGACAAATTGTCGAGTATAACTTTCATTCATTTTATCTTTAGACATGACATTTTTTTAAGCCTCGGACCCATTTTTTTTACCGCTTTCTCTCAGGCATTATGACATGAATCCACGGGGCGAGGACCGCTTGGGGACAACTGACGGCAACGTGATGATTCAACTACCAAATGGCTTCACCAAAGGAACCAGCGTCCATACACTGGGACCTGATGTTAACACTACAGCTGAGCTCCGCTGGCACAAGCCCTATGTTTCTAGGTATTTTCCTCTTAAAGTACTTTATTTTATAGTCCTACTGTTACTTGTACTCGAAGCAACGCAGCGCAAGGAGGTCTTCACTCAAGATAACCTTCTAATGGCTTTTGCCTCATTACTCGACTATTTACAGTGGGTTTGCTTCCTTTTATCTTAAAAACCCGCTTTATTTCCCCTGCCGAGACTTTTATGAGAGAAAGAGAGATGTGACCAGAGGAAGTTTGTGTTAATGGCTCTGTTCCAGTTTTGACACGTCATACTAAGAAACGTATTTGATTGCCATTTTGTTGAATCCTATTTTTTTTAGGAGTATAAAGGCCAGAGATCCCTATTACGACGACCACACGCATGACGCAAAATTGCGTACCACTGTGCCAATAACTGCTTGATGGGTTGAAACGATCGTTCGTCCAGACTTTATCGCCGATAAGAATGAAGTTACGAAGTAGTCGTACCCAACTTTTTTTCGTTTTCAGTTTAACTTTAATAATGTTTGCCATTTCATACCTTCTGTAGGTCGAAAATCAGTGTTCTTTAGGTCGAAAATAAGTGTTTGGTGATAGTAAATTGAAAAATATTCGTTCAGAGATGTTCGTTCTAGTTCTACACCCCCACTCAAATCCATTTCCGTTTACAAAATTGCGTCATGATAAAAGGGTGAGGAGCGAACATCTTTCAAAGCTACCCTCCCTTGTACAAGGTCGTGTATAGAACTAAAACGCTGCACCATTTTTCATTTTTTATTTTCCTTTTTTTACTGAGAAATAAATCTAAAACGATTGGATAGAATGTAGCCAAAGCCACTGAATACATGAGAGCACAAACTTTAATCATCAACAACAACCAAGTGTATCAAAAATATTTTGTTTTATTTGTCAAAAGTAGCAAATTTACTAATCCTTAAACTAAGAATAAAGAGAACATAAATTTAACTCCTTTCTTTATCGTGGATTCTTCAGACTGATCTCTCTGTCCTATCACAGGACAGTAAATACCCTTCCATTTCATCCCGAGAATAATCTTACGAGGTGCCAAAAGCCGCCACCGTTGGTTTCAACGAGAGAGGAGATACCCGAATACATCAATTGTGGCTTAATTTTTTTGTTGTTTCTGTCATTGTTGTGGTTTGACTTAAAAATGTCCTAATAAATGAATTGTTTTTGCGGAATGAAGTTAGTCACAGAAGCAATTTCCGTGTTTTATCTTTTTTCAAGTCATCATCCTTCTTATTCTTCAGGCAAAACAGAGTCAGTGGCACTAGACCAGCCACATGTGTCACAATACCAGCCGTAAAAAACGCCCAGGTGTAGCAACCAGTTGTATCAATAATGAATCCTGAAATAATAAGATAAACGGGGCTATTCACAGAAAAAAATTCTACTCGTGTAAAATTTAACTTGAACAAATGTTAGAAGTCAGCCTTGATTGTCTTCCGACAAACTGGTGAAAGAAAAATCGTAAGCATGTCAACTGCACAGTGAACCGTTTTAACTTAGAAGGGAATGTTTTGTCCTTATTAAAAAACAAACAAACATTTGATGCCAGTGAGTGTCGCTTCAACAATCTAACAGAGTGATAAGCCTGGGTCACGAAAAAGTTCCTAGTTGATTGAATTAATATTATCAGGACTACCCATACATGCACGATCACATTCGTCTGTTCTTTAAAAGTGGATGACGGATACAGCGTAAGTTTCTTAACTGATTTTGACAATCGCAAAAATTAGAAATGATCAAAGAGACCCATTGTCGACAGCAAGTAACCCTAACATGTGCTCACCTGCAAAGGGAGATCCCGACGCTATTACCAATGAGATTAGAGTATTTCCCAGACCAAACCCGGCCGCTCTGCGCTTTTCGTCCACGCTGAACATGAGAAGTGAGTTCATTGTCGTTATAAAGATGCCATCGCCAATGCCATAAATCACAGCAAAAACTTGAATTCCTACGTAATTTCTCACTACTGGAAGCACAACGATAGCAAATCCGTCGAGTAAAGCCCCAAACTGGTAAATATACATGGTATTAACCCAGATGACGTCACAGATCCTCCCTGTTACAAAACGAGCTAGGGAGGATGATAAACCAAAAGGTATGAAAAACCAGGATGCTGAGTCAGCAGAAATACCGAGTTCGAGGCAATAGTTCACCTGCGTATGAAGAAGACAAACAATTTACTGAGGATGCGTGCTATAAAATTATAATTCCCAAGGAATTCCGTGCGGGGATTAAATATACTGTAGTAGTGTAGCCCATTCGCGACTCAAAACGCCCCTTGGCCTAATGTAAAACGTTTCATCACGAGAACTGACTTACCATATGTATTTGTGGGATGAAATGTCCAAAGTTCATTAAACAAAGACTTATAACCGCCAAGGTATAAGATGGAATTTTAAATACGGAGAAGTCTAACAGTTTGTTCAATTTTCCAGTCGAGTTTGATACCATAGTGCCTTCAGTATTGGCTGCCACCTCGAAAGATCTCACTTGATTAGTTTCTTGGGTTTCTGTTGGACAATTATCGTCAGTAATTTTTATAAGTTTTCTTTTCCCAGTCATTCCCATTCGCTCCCCACGGATCAAGCCCATTTCTGGACATTCTGCTCTCAAAGAAGGGAACTCTGGGTCACTTTGTTTCTCTACAGGATTATGCGAAGTAGTCTCTAAAGCATCCTGAATAGGTTCTACAAAAGCTACTCCAGAAACAATCGCCATTAGGAAGAACGGTACACTAATGATCCTGTAAGTTACTCTCCAACCAAATATGTCAATCAGGAGCTGTAGTGAAGGGCCCATAATAAGAAGTCCACTGCTGCCCCCGACTGTAACGATCCCTACGGCGAGAGATTGCCATCTACGAAAGTTCTTTGCTGTTATGAGAAAGTATGACGAAAGCATCAATGCTGACCCTGTGCCAAACACACAGCCGTAAGTTAAAAACATCCACTCAAGACCTGAAGAATACGGAGTTATTAGCAAGCTCACGGCACAAACTATACAACCAAGAAAAGAGGTGAAGCGACATCCGACGGTTTGGCACAAAAGTGATCCCAGAGGGCCAAGGAAGAAGGTTAGACCAATCGCCAGTGAACCTACCCACACTGAAATTTTAAAGCAGAAGACTTATGAGTACGTAATCACTGAGAGACAAACAAAAGTATTCAACTGAGTTTTCATCAGTTTTGCGTATGTGCAAATTCTACGTCTTAGCAACCGATTCAATCTCGTTCTTTGGGTAATCCCCCTTGGAACGAGGTTGCAACTAATTGACAAATATATCATTGCGTATGGCATTCTGGGTATGCTATAGGAAAAGAAGCATTAAAAAGGGTTTCAATAGAGCGGATGACTGTAAAGAGTACCGGTTAGATATTTCGGCCATTTTACGACTAAAAGTTCATTTCTTAATGGTTGAAAGAATATTTTCATGATTAACTTTTTTTACGACTAAAGGCTATTTTTTTTGCCGTTTTACAGCCAACGCTTCAACTCATCGAAAAGGCTAAATATTGCAAGAGATTTTGATATTGTACAAGAGGCTCGCTTGATCCAATTTCTTACTTCATTAGGCTCCAATTTTAAAATGCGTGACACTTTATCCCTTGAGAATTCGACCGATCAACCTAACACCAGTTGTAAAACTTAAATGGGGACATTTTTTCTTTAATTCTTTTTTGTACTTTCTGTTTCTGTTGAATTATTGCAAAGATTACGGAAAGCTTTTAGACGGCAAAAAGTTTTATTAAATGACACAATTACAGATGCAAACAAAACTCGTTTATGGACTAGTTATAAACGGAGGGTAAAAAAATAACATAAAACAAGTCAAAATTAATAAACACTTCACAAAAATGATATATGAAATAAATAGGTTTTTTAATTTCCGTACCGGCTATACTCAAACTTATTGGCTTCTTATTAAAGAATCTTCCACAGTTAAATATCCCGTGTTATTTTTTTCTCATTTTCCATTCTTCCACCATATATGGTACATCTTTCGGTCTAACACTCATCTTCATTTGCGGCATATGTTTGTCCAGTACACTTTCAAATGCGTCATATTGATGGCATCGAATGTTTCTCCAATAGTCCAGGGAGCATTTGCCAGGTCCTCATTAAGGTGATCCGTATCCACGTTTTTCGGGTTTCTAAATGTGATGGTCTTTCGTCTATGCTGTGATGCAGATTGCTTTAAAATGTCATAAATGAGGTGGTGATCACTTATCTCTGGTTTAAAAGGGCCTCCTGTCTTGAGAAGGTTGAGTTTGTTGATTTAAATAACGTCCAGCAGTGTCTCTGATATTGGCTTAATCCTCGTCGGCTTGGTAATTTAACATTGCATTCCATGCACTTTTTTTTAGGTCGGCAAGTATTTTCCCTTCACTGCTTTCTGGTTTTCGCCTGTCCAGGTTCAGATCACCTGTAATAATAAAAATCTGTTTCTTGAGGGAAGCCCACACTGAAACGTCATTCAGTTCCTCCTCAACACGTTCTAAGTAATGTGGGTGTTGTTAGTGATCCGACTGCTTTAGGGTCGGTATATCCCAAGAAAAATGACTTCGTTGTTGCCAAGGCTAGCTTCCACTGCAAGAATCTCAAGTGTTTTGTATCTCTTCGTTACTTTCAGATCCTCCGAGGGTAGACTAGAATCAAAACAGGCTATCATCCCACCGCCTCCTTTCTCTCTGTCTTTTCGATACATGTTGTAACCCGTTAAGGTGAACTGGCTGTTCGGGTAGGAAATGTCGATCTTTTTCTCTGAGAGAAAAATAATTTGCGACTTCATCTCATCATTCAGGAGTTTCAGTTCATCAAATTTATTTTGGAGGCTGCTCATGTTCAGATGGAACATTCATGACGTCCGATTGGAATGTTCCTGCCTTTCTTGCAAGAGCAGATCAAATTCCTGTTGGCCGCAGTTGTTAATTGCCATATACTCCTGAGAGTGAAATTGTGTGTTATTCATCTCATTTGCATTAGGTTGTAGAAGAAGCTGATTTGCATAATTTCCTTTCGTAGTAATTATTTTTTCATCCTCAAGTAAAAAAAATTAGTCCCCCTATCTCGGTAGACAAGTCTATTCGATTGCTGGTCGTTCAAGAAAAAATTTAAAAGTCGATGTCGACGTGTTGAAGCTCTTTGCGTGAATCCACAGGCCACATTCAGCGCATAACTTCGCATTCTGATTATTTCGAACGCTCTTCTTACATTAGAAATCGCTTTCTACGGCAACGTCGTCTTTGCCTCTGGGTATTTTTAGCTTGAGATCCAAATTTCGTCTTATAACTGGTTATATTAAATAAAAACGCGATACATGGAGCCATCAAAGTCGCAGAGTAGCAGGAGCTTTTCGAAGCGTGACCAATCGCTGCCGTTGTCACGCACAAATTTACAAGCCATCCAAGCCAAGATAAATCCCTACTGTGCTTCATTCAGATGTTATACATTCTAAGTTTCTTAATTGAAAGTTTGGTATTTCCAATAGGACACACATGCGATTGCATGTCTTACGCGATTTATGAAATATGGAGTAAACGACGCTTACATTTCGTAACTCGTCAAAAAATGTCAGTTGCGGTATAATATCACAAAGTTATTTACATTGAAATTTACATGCATTGGGTCGGTAAAATCGTTAAGATATCACACAAACCGTAAAAATAAAAACAAACAAATAAATAAATATATAAAATGAGTAAATGAATAAAATACAGGTATATCAATATAAAAAATAATGATATAAAAGTTAAGTAAAGTATAAAATAATTATATACAACTGTTATTTAAGAAAAGCCGATAACCTATATTTAAAAGTTTCTAAGGAAGTTGATGAAACAATGATCTAAGGAAGGCAATTCCAGTCCGCTATAGTTTTTGGAAAAAACGAGAATTTAAAAACGTCTTTACTTGCATATGGCACGCGAAATTTAAGTTGATGGCTTCCCCTCGTGCGACTCTCGGAGTGTTGAATTGAATACTCTCGACTATCTATATCAATAAGACCATGAGTTAGTTAATATAGATAGCCGAGATTTTACTAGCTATTGAAATCTTGAAAGACTGCACCTACACGATATTTGTTTGAATGGATCGGTCAAAGATCGCTGTAATTAGCTCCGGCTTTGAGCTAAGCTGTTTTGTTTAAATGGTCCATCACTATATCTCATCGATGAGATGTGAGTTGAAATGCAGCAGTCGCTTGTTGTAAGAGTAAACAGCACGGGTAAATAATTCAAGGTGAGAAACTTACCAGTTTTCTGACGGCTTTCGCCGAACTCTTTCATCAGCTCTGGAAGCAATACTCCAAAACTCATTGCAAAACCAAGATTCAACGCTTGACACACCAAGGAACAAACACTAATGAACCACGAAAAAAAACTGTCCGATCGGTGCTTTGGGCCCTTGCATGTCTTCGACATTTTGTTACTTTGCTTCAAGAACAGAAAATTCAAAGACAAAAATTCACCACTTCGAAACTTCCTTCTTAAGTTTTATCGCACTGCCTTGCTTCCAAGATTTTGGAAAATGAAAATCAGCTGTGCTGTTGGCAAGGGACCGGAGGAAGAATTGACACTCGTGGTCATCGTATGGCCAATATGATTATGTAATTATTCACAATGATTAAATATTCTCTCACAAGGTGTCTTTCATTCGCATTGTCTTCTCCTGACTGCCAATTAATTCTCCCACCCCATTTGTTGAAGGAGATCGTTACTTTACTGTTCAGTGAAGATTCCCAATAATTTTAAAGCGGCTAAGTGGGTTTCCTTTAGGCAAAACCTCTTCCTTTATGTTATGTCACAGAGGGGCGGTAAAGAAAAGTGATGTCACTCTTCGTGAGTTGAGCCTGGTGTTGCGCACCGGTGAGAAGCCTTCGAAGGATCACATTTTTCGTGCATGACACGCTACCAGTGGACTTCGAAAGCCATGAGATACTCGTGAACCAGCATCTCTGAAAGCTTGGTCACAGATCATTAAAATACTTAGTCTCCTTCGTAGCTGTTCACTGAGATGTCACATAAGGGTCCCTAGGGGGAGTGGGTTGGTGGGGGCGGAAATGTTTCCTGACCTCCGGTTTAACTGTCCAGAGAATAGGGAGAAATCTTGTGATAGAAATAAATCAAGTCCGTGTGACAGCTCAAGGATGTTTCAAAGAGTTCTTCACCCATCAGAAGTTTTTGGCCCTTTGTTTTTCTTTGTGCAATTACAGTTCCTTCACGTTCAGTTAAAGAGGCTGGTAGACTGTAATTTCGCAGTCGGCTGAATCATATACCCAGTTTGATTGATTTTTTTTCATGATTCTTATTTATGATCCATTGGAGGACAGACACATAACTATCGTTTGACCTGATCCGTGATCTCTCACTATTTATATAATAAGCTCAGTTATGCACGCATTCTGATTGGTTCTCACTTATGATCCATTGGAGGACAGACACATAACTATCGTCTTCGATAACAACTTCTAGTACTTAAATGAAATGTGGACAGACACAGAAATATCGTCCCCGATAACAACTTCTATCAACTTCTAGTATATAAATCAAATGGGATCCATGTTGCCGAGCGTCTCTACATTTAGAGAAATCAAAGTCAAAACGTGGCGAGAAAACTAGTGACATACTCGGCTACGCCTCGTGATCCACTTGTTTGTTCTTTCCACATTTTGACCTGATCCGTGATCTCTCACTATTTATATAATAAGCTCAGTTATGCACGCATTCTGATTGGTTCTTACTTATGATCTATTGGAGGACAGACGTATAGATGACGTCATCATTAACAAATTTTTTAATTCTTTATTATATGAAAAAATAGATTCCAAGTTGCCATGCTTCTGTTCAGTAATAGATCACAGAGGACGTCAAAATGTGGTAAGAACATCAGTGACACACTCGGCTGCGCCTCGTGTGCCACTTTTTTGTTCTTACCACATTTTGACGTCATCTGTGATCTATTACTGAACAGACGCACGGCAACTTGGAATCTATTTGTTAAACGGACGCACGACAACAGAGATTAGATAATGGCTCAGAAATTTGTTAATGTAATTCTTTACCCCTCTATCGATTTCTTGGGAACAGAAGGGATTTGGTTTGAAATGCTTGAGATGAAGACTTGCGAAATCAATATTGTTTCGTTTTTTAAGAGAAAAAGTCTTGTTGGCCGCAAAAGCAAGTAAAATATACAACGCTATGTATAATCTTTGTAGGCATCATCATTTTTGTTTTTATCTAAAATATTTAGTCTTAAATGAAGCCGCTTCACTTCAGAGTAATAATTTAAGATAAAAGGATAACATACCCGGAGAAATCGAAGTATCTGCTTCACTATTAATGTTAGTTGCAAAAGAAACTTTCAAATTAACTCTTATACACTTTTGTTTAGAGACTTTTCTTTACAATAATTTGTGCTGTCAATGCCTGATGTACTCTGCTTCATCGATCTCCTACAAAGAATTCTACAAGGCAACTATTATACTACTTCAACAAGTAAGGTCTGAACTCATGAAATGGGAGGTAACCGCCCAAAAATAGTTCAATTTGTGTTTTTTCCTTTTATTTGCAAAAGCCCTCGCAAATATTTAAATTCTTTATAAATTGATGTGACTTATTTTTTCCCTAAGAAGCCCTCGTAAATATTCAAATTCTTTATAAATTGATGTGACTTATTTTTTCCTTAAGAATCCTGCTGATTAGCATTTGCTTAATATTTCGGAAATGTGTACATCAATAACTTACAAGAGTGGTTTCCGAATTTTATCGTTTTTCAAGTCGTCATCCTTACGCGTCTTCTCCTTCAAGCAGAACAGAACCAGTGGCACCAGACCAGCTACATGTAGCACAATTCCAGCGATAAAAAATGGCCAGGTGTAGCAATCAGACACATCAATCAGGAATCCTACAATCAGAGGACAGGTGGAGCTTCAAAATAGAAAGCGATTTTTCATATTTCTTCTATAAACGGAAAACATTTGTCTTGCCTAAATGCTGCTACATTCTAAAAAATAGAAACGATGAGAACCGAGGAGGTGCGACTGCACCACAATTTGGATTAATGGACTGAGTTAGATTCGTGGATGGATTTAAATGGCTTGATTGTGCAAGCTTACCCAATATAGAATTTCATACTCAGCAAACGATTACGGTGCATAATCAAATTCGCAAAATTCTCCTTGGTTGTCTTTGTTTTGAGTTTCGAACGTCGTGCGTAGGATTTGCTCCATCTTGCCTGCTCACAGCAAAAACAATTATCTTCAATTTGGCGTTTTAGGATTATCCACTTCAGGAAAATTACACCCACTCTTAGTTTTCCGGCCAATATCAAGTGTTTCTATTAATTACCAATAACTGACAACTGACAAACCTGCAAAAGGAGGTCCAGACGCTATTGCCAGTGACAGTAAACTATTTCCCAGACCTAACGCGGCCGCTCTGCGCTTTTCGTCCACACTAAACATAAGAAGTGAGTTCATCGTCGAGATCAAGACACCATCAGCAATACCATAAATCACAGCAAAAACTTGAATTCCTGTGTAGTTTCTTATCACTGGAAGCACGACAACTGCAAACCCGTCAAGTAAAGCCCCAAACTGGTAAATATAAGTAGTATTTACCCAGATGACGTCACAAATCCTCCCAGTTACAACACGAGCCACGGAGGATAATAGACCAAAAGGTATAAAAAACCTAGATGCTGAGTCAGCAGAAATACCGAGTTCGAGGCAATAGTTTACCTGCGTAGAAAAATATTTGACTGAATTTGAAAAAGTCTTAAGCTCATTCTGCACGGCGTTATCTTGGTTTCGGTGGTGAAGAGCGAAAAAAGCATTTCGTGTGGAACCACTGACAGTTAATTGGAATCTATCTGTACGACCAAAACTACAGAGAGGCACTGAAAGATTGGTTTCTTATCCAAGACCACCTCGCTATACGTAGTCTTGTGCGCTCAGAATAAGCAAACGCGCTCTAAATTTTGAAATTTGATCTTGCACCCTATTTAATATTTTAATGTTTCTCTGGCATGCATGGCCAACCATTGACAGAGACAGAAACGAAACTGGAATACGACAAGGTCAAGTAGGACAACGGAAAAAATAGCATCCATAAGTTAAAAATACAAAAAAAAAAAAAAACACCTGAAAAATGAAAACAGTAACAAAAAGCCAAAAATAATACCCACTGACAATCAGGAATCTTCCTAGAGTAATGACATCGGCGAATCAAAACAAAAAAATAATACCCCATTCACACCAGCAAAACATGTTTTGTTAAACTGGTTTTCATTGAATGAAAATTATAAACAGAGAACTGAAAAACTTGATTTTCCATTGGATTCAAGTACTTGCTAACTTGCATTTCCAATGTGCTACATTCAAGTCAAAAATATTCGGTTAAATAGTTTCTATGAAGAAAAAAAAAATTAAACTGTGTTTAACAAAACAACTTTTAAACATGTTTAAGCTTTGGTGTGAATGGGGCATAAGTAAGGTAATATAATGGAAAACCAGTCAGAAATCAATGTGAACTGATAACATGTTTACGGCCTGGTGCCCTGGTAATCGCAGGTACTAGGACTAAGACGCAGTTGGTTTTGTGATTTCCAGACTCAGTGACTGACAGCTGCCCTGAACAATTGCAGGCTATAGTCAAACAAGCCGTGGATTATCCTCGAAAAAATCACTGGAAAATTTCTCAAAGTAAGTTCATCAAAAATTTCATTTCATCTTAACTGGCTTACCATATGTATTTGTGGAATGAAATGTCCAAACTTCATCAGACACAGACTTAAAACCGCCACCGTATAACATGGTATCTTGAATACAGAGAAGTCCAAAAGCGTGTTCAATTTGCCCAAACAGTTTGCTTCCCTACTGCCATCCGTTTTGGCCGCAGCATGCGAAGATCTTATTTGGCTTCTTTGCTGGGTCTCTGTTTGGCATTCGCTTTCAAAAATCTTTACCTTCCTCTCCTCATTAACTGTGGTTTGCTTTTTGTCGATCGCGTTCATCTCCATTTCTGGATGTCCTTCGCTCTCAGAGAGGAGCTTTGAGTTGCACTGGTTTGTTTTGCAATTACGTGACAGGTCCTCTGAAGTATCTGGAAGAGGATCACCGAAAGTAACCCCACATACGCACGCCATTACAAAAAAAGGTATACTAAGGATTCTGTAAGTTCCTCTCCAACCAAATATGTCAATCAGGAGCTGTAGTAAAGGGCCCATAATGAGAAGTCCACTGCTGCCCCCGACTGTGACGATTCCCACGGCGAGAGATTGCCATCTGCGAAAGTTCTTTGCTGTTATGAGAAAGTAGGACGAAAGCATCAATGCTGACCCTATGCCAAACACACATCCGTAAGTTAAAAACATCCATTCAAGACTTGTAGAATGCGGTGTCACTAACAAGCTCACGGCACAAACTAGACAGCCAAGAATAGAGGTGAAGCGACATCCGATGGTTTGGCACAAAAGTGATCCCAGAGAGCCAAGGAAAAAGGTTAAACCAATAGCAAGAGATCCGACCCACACTGAAAATGAAAAAAAAAAAAAAAAAAAAAAAAAAGCAAGTGAGCAACAAATGAAATGGGAAAAGGTAAGAACATAAGAAGGGCGACTAACAACAGTGAATTTTCTGATCGAAAAAGAAAAGATCTTTCCCTTGTCAAGAGGGTCTATAGTTTGCCTAATCTTCATCGTTTCAAACCTGAGTAACGGAAACATTCTTGCAGAGTCAGTTGTGGCAGTTATACCTTTCTGTCGGCTATTTACAGGGGCTCTGTACTGACATAGCCTGCAGAACAGGCTTGATTTTTTTGCGTTTTTCAGTCGAATGGAGGGAAGCGCCAAGCGGCGCGTAGTGCGAGTCGCGCGCGAGGAGAAAAGGGCAATATTCTTTGCCTCGCGCTTCGCGCGCGCGCGCGCTCGTGTACCGCGCTTCGGCCCCGCTAATCGGTCTGTTCTGCAGGCTAAAGTTGACATATTTCAGCAAGAAGGCATGAAGCACGGTTGTAGATAAGAGCCGGCAGCCGGCGAAATACGCCGGCTTCTCTGCAAGGTTTCGCTGGCTACTTTCATTGCTTCGAGAACCCGTACAGAGATGATGTTTATCAGGTCTAAACTTGGGCTCAATAAAAATATGAATTTGCACTCCCTATCTTTTCTTAAACATAAAAAGACTTCTGACTCAAGGTTAGTTTAAAAACTTTCTGATGGGGACTGTCTTTTTGACAAATCTTGCTGCAGTGGCAGGAAAGTACGAACGATATGACGTTTTGTCCGCCATAATGGATTTCGAGACCCACAACCGTTTACCTTTAGAAAAGCTCCGGCTACTTAAAACCTTGATGAAGGCAAAAATTTCGACAACAAGCCACCTCAAAAAGAAAAAAAATTGAAATGAAAAGGATATCCATATAAAAACAAAAGGAAAGTGGCAAAGATTCATGAAAATTCATTGCAAACGGGGCTTGATATTCTGAAAATTACGTTATCGTGTCGACCAGATGTCGACCTAAATACGTATATTTGAGTACACGAGCTTGTGAAATGCTTGATATCAATTGAGACAGCTACTGAGACACTCACCAGTTTTCTGTCGACTTTCCCCAAACTCCTTCATTAACTCTGGGAGAAGCACTCCAAAGCTGAGCGCAAAACCAAGATTAAGTGCTTGGCAAACACAAGAACATACGCTAACGACCCACGAAAATAAACTATCTGGTCGGTGCTGCAAAATTTTGTCTATCTTAGTCATCACGTAGTCTAGTCTCGTGAATAACAAGGAATTCACATTAGAACAGGACAGGTTTGAGTTGGTTATGCCAGCTGACTCACGTGCTATTTTTCGTGTAGTAAAAAAATATGCAGATATTTCCGATAATTGAGTGTCGAGACATAAAAACGACTAATCCTTGGTATAAGTTACTCATTAACAAATGTTCTCACGTACTCTCGCTGGCATTGTAGTAAACTCGATAATCGATCAGTAGCCATTGTTTGGGAAATAAGCCCGCACTCCTCCCTAGGGGAGATCGAAGCTCGAGAAAACGCCAGGGATCCGTGAGGCTAAATTTGATTAAACAAATCAAATTTCAGGGGTGAGGTGACGAGAAGAATGAAGGATAATCATAGGCACAAGCCATTCAATATCACACGATCGCGAAGTCACGCATTCTTGAATAACGTTTTCTAAGAGGTACTTAGGTTTGATGTGAACCGCTCAGAGTTCCTTATGAAAATTTCCTTAGCTCAACGACCGCACAATTTTTCTCACTTTTATTCCTCTGACTATTACAATATATTTGTAATCATCAATTATTAGGGACTTCTAGTGATGTTTGGAGGTTTGTGATGTTTGTGGGATCCATTTTGGAGGCACCAATTAAGACAATATTTCTTTATCATTCATCAAACTTTAAGGATTATCTATTAAAAAAGTAATTCATATGCGCATTCTTACGTGTAACCTGTTTGGCGTTCTTTTCCGTCTCCTTTTACCCAAGTGGGTGAAGTGGGGGTTACACGAAATAAAGATTGAGAGGGAACCAAAAAAGTCTACGGTTATCGCTTCGCTCATGCTTCTCCTGTTCGGCTAAAAGGTCGACGGGTTACCTTCGGCGAGAGAAGTCGCTTAGAGCAACTTAGAGTATCTTTTGGTGTCAAGGCAACTTCATGCAACAATGCATCGCTTCGCTATAGGGAGCTGACGTCGCACCCATCTAATACAAATATCCCGTATATATAAATTCTTTCAGCCCGGGATTTACTTTCTTGTATATCTAACACACCTGGTACACAAAATTGCAAATTTTAGTCTCTCAAAATAGTTTCTTGAAGCCTTACTAACTAGCAATTTCCGCCATCCCTATACAAAGTCACAGGACCCTGTCCTTTTTTCTTTTTCAAGTCAAATTGTTTCTTCGTTTTGAGGCAGAACAGAACCAGTGGCATCAGACCAGCTACTTGTGTCACAATACCAGCCACCAGAAAAGCCCAAGTATAGCAGTCAGAGATATCAGCCAGGAACCCTGGAATAGAATAACATCGAAACTATTCAGACTCCGTCAGAAATATGTGTTAGCGATAAGAAAGGAGTGGCATTGACGAATTTGTATAATTAAATGGGTTGCTTTTTCATGTATTTCTTCTTTCTTTATTCAGAGAGCAAACTGAAAATTTACCATCGTTCTTATTCCAATTATACACAAAACGCTTCTGCTGATCCCTGCATTATGCAGGACACGTGTCACATACATACTTCATATATGGCTCCTTTCTCCTACGCTCATGACAAAACGAATAGCACTTTTCGTTCGGTTAGAATCGCATCCCAGTTCTAGTTACTGGTCAGTGGCGCTCGTGAGCGTTTTGGATTTCCAAACATACTATTTCAAAGTGTAACAACCACCGAAACTGCCGGAGAGCTTGAGGACGATTCAGAGAACGGCTTTTGATGGGGCCAGATGCTTTTGGTTCGACGTTAATTTCCATCCCGAAATGGCAGCTAAACACCTTGCAAAACCAGTTGGGGTTGATAACCATGCACGTAACGTCACAATATGGCGACAACTTCGGTAATCGAAGATTTTCGTACCTAATTCGAAATGTTTGCTGTTTATTCATTATTACGTTGCTTTTTATTCATTATTACTCGCCGTATGTACAAATGATTATATTGAGGTACCGAGACGAGCGCTGAAAGGGCTGCGCCGTCCGCAAAAAAAGTAAAATAATACTGATGGAAATTATTGAAACTGAGAAAACAGAAGAAGAAGCCATTGTATTTTACAGATCTGAAAAAGATCCGAAATTTTTTACCTTTCCATTTGTACAATTTAAGCTGCGATCACAAGTTCCAGTCGAAACAATTGCTTTAGTAAACTCAGTGTGGCCTTCGGACGCCATAATGAATATGTTATTGTTGCCTCAGTAACATATCACGTGAACGTGAATCTGACCAGCGATTGGTTATTGTTTTGTTTTGGTCTGGGTTATCAAATTTGATAAATATCCTGAACTGAAAACAAGACTTGATTTCTCACGCTCACTGCCGTCTATAAAAATGCCGCGCTTAAAGAACAGGAGAAACCGACAAAGGCTTGCTTGCTTTTCAGTGCTACATTATTTCACAAAGTCTTGTCGTCATAAATAGTTGGTGTTAAAAAAAAAACTGTGCTCTCCATACACCAGATAATTGATCGGGCTTACTCACCAGCAAATGGTGATCCGGCCACTATTCCAAGTGACAGAAGAGTATTTCCCAGGCCTAACCCAGCCGCTCTGCGCTCCTCGTCCACACTGAACATCAGAAGTGAGTTCATTGTTGTAATAAAGATGCCATCAGCAAGACCATAAACCACGGAAAAGACTTGAAATGCTGTGTATTTTCTTATTACTGGAAGCACAACGATGGCAAATCCGTCTACTATAACTCCAAATTGGTAAATATAAATAGTATTCACCCAAGTGACGTCACAAATCCTTCCTGTTGCAATACGAGCTATGCTGGATGATAAACCAAAAAGTATAAAAAGTCTGGATGCCGAGTCAGCAGAAATACCAAGATCGAGGCAATATTTCACCTACGGATTAGGACGAAAGATAGCTTAGCGACCGGTCATTATTTACTGCCATAAAAGCTCTGTAATATTCTTATGATTCTCCCTCATTGGCAGATCATTGGCAGATCATTGGCAGATCATTGGCAGATCATTGGCAGATCATTGGCAGATCATTGGCAGATCATTGGCAGATCATTGGCAGATCATTGGCAGATCATTGGCAGATCATTGGCAACCAATTTTATCCCCCCTTTACGATCTAATTGTGACGACTGACCTCCTCCCTCCCCCCATTACCCCTGGAAAACATTCGATTCCCCAAAATACTCCTACTCCTCCCCTCGCCTAACTGAATTTCTTTGCTCGACATTATACTGACATGCTAATAACGATAATGTTGAGATTTGAATGCCTTTGCTCAAAAACCCCTGAAAACATATCAGCACAAATGAAATAACCCGATAATAATAAAAAGTGTTGTTGTTGTTGTTTTTTTTTTCAGAGTCAAATATCTTGGCAATTCACCTTTTGGGCTTCAGATTTCACGTACAGTGTCACGTGACTTTTGATGTAAACAAACCCCGAAAGTTCGGATATTTAGTCGAGACCGCAGCACATGTGTCCAAACTTCGGCTTTGGAAATTTTTCTTAAATAACTGCCCACTTTCAAAAAACGTTTCTTCGCTCAAAATTGCCATCTTTCTTTGTCATTTAACTGATCGTTTGTCAAGCAAGTTGTCATTTCGCTGCCGTTGAAACAGATACGAAGAATGTTACTGGAAGCGTTGCGGCATCGAATAATCGAACTAGTTCTGCGTACAGTTATACAGTGATGTATCTGATCAGGTATTTTCAGGGTGTTAAGTTAAATTAATGCCCACGAACCGCTGTAAAACGTGAGGAAGCCTTGATTCCCAAAGATAAAACCCATTTCAACTCCATGAACGTGTACGATTGCAGTTGTTTAGTAAGTGTATACCTAAACATAATGGTTACGACAAAGAGATGTGCTTATGGCATCTGCAGAAACGATTCACGATACCTCAACTCCTGGGTAAGAAACGCTAACGGCGACCCGGCCAAGTTTTTCCATTTTCCGGGGACAGTTAGACAAAAGGATAGAATGCAAAGGTGGATAAGGTCATGTCATCGAGGTGACTAGTTTGTGTGCAAGAAGGACAGCAACGTTTGTAGTCTAAATTTTGTCGGTGAAAATGGGCCAACAGAAGAGGATCCTGATCCCATATCTGCTGTAGCTAGTAAAGAAAGGGTAAGTTAATTCAGTCATTCTTTAAATCGTTGTTTTGTCTTTGGGATAAATATGTATACCATGCCTAGATGTCGCGACTCAATCGTAAACGGAAGGCATCTTGAGAGCGAGAAGCAGATAAAGAGAGGCGCAGGAAAGTTTGCCTTGAACGATCAGTGGCAAAAACCCTTCTGACACTTGATCGTCAAAACTGATAAATCGAAAGAGGAATACGCAGTAGTCAAAGCCCTTTTAAATCTGAGCGTAGAGCTAATGATGAGTTCAGGAGACCAAATCAAATTATTAAAAATGTCGTACAATCCAAACGGCGGCGACGCGTTAAAATTGTCTACAGTCTTCAGAAAAAATGGATTGGGTACTAGCATATTATGAATTATTAATTCGTCTAAAGCAGTGGCGTCGCTTTCTCGAAATTTGGATCCACTGACAGAACCATTTTTTCGACTGCGGAGGTGATTTCCACTAACGAGGTTCCAAGTATCCGCTCTCTGAAATCCCCCGTTCTTGTAGATATTTTTTAAGCTATGCCACACTCATTGCGTTGAGTCAGCTTTACTTTGTGATCTGCCATTCTTAAGTTTAACTCTTCTTGAAAGCTGTTCTGAGTTTCGCAGAATTTCCCACTTGAGTTACTTAAGGTTAAAAAAAATCGGTATATTTATCAGCTAAGGAAATCCACACCCAGATACGTAATTTCGTGTGGGAATTAAGGCTTCCTCACGTTCTACAGCGATTCGTGGGCACTAATTTTCAGACAGAAGTGATTTTGTTTAACAATCTACGCACACAACACCCCGAAAATACCTGATCAGATACATCCCTGTAGGCAGAACTAGTTCGATTATTGCATGCCGCAATTCTTCCTGTAACATTCTTCGCATCTGTTTCAACGGCAGCGAAATGACAACTTACTTGATAAACGATCAGAAAATGATAATAGAAAGACGCCAACTTTGAGCGAAGAACACTTCTTTAAAGTGCGAAGTTATTTAAGAAAAATTTCCAAAGCCGAAGTTTGGACATATGTGTTTCGAGCTCGACTCAATGTCCGAACTTTCGGCGTTTGTTTACATCAAAAGTCACGTGACACTACACGTGAAATCTAAAGCCCAAAAGGTGAATTTCTGAGGATGACTGCATTGATCCAATAGTAATCATTCAGAGCGAGAAAAAATGCTCCATGATATGGTTTTTTTCGTTTTGGTTAGAGAAATTCTCTAAGGCGTTATCGTGCACCTCTTAATATAGCAGAAGTGAAGTGTTTACTAGTTTTTGTTTTTTTTTTTTTTGCATTTAGGATTACAATTACTAACAGTGACTTACCAGATGTATCTGAGGTGTGAAATGGCTAAAATTCATCAAAAGAAGGCTCAATGTCGCCACAGTGTAAGAGGGAACTGCAAATACGGAAAAGTCTAAAAATTTGGATAGTTTTCCTGAAGACTTGTCCGTATTGGTGTCATCTTTGGCCACCACCTGCCGTGATTTGGCTGTAAATAGCATTTGTCTAGCCTTCTGGTAGGCGACCGCCGACAGTGATTCAATTCCATCTCTATTTTCTTGTTCATTAATCTTGCTTGTTCGGCTTCTATAAACTGCTGAATTTGTAGAATCTTCCGTGAAGTTCATGTTTATTCTTCCCACTTCCATGGCACACTCGGCCAACTCACCTGCGTTAAACGTGCAGTTCTGTGGGGAAGTTTTAAATGAATCTGAACTGATAGGATCACCAAATGTAGCTCCACAAATAAACACCATTACAATGAAGGGTGCACTAATGATCCTGTATGCTCCTCTCCAACCATATTCGTCAATCAGGAGCTGTAATGAAGGGCCAATGATTAAGACTCCGATGCTGCCCCCGACCGAAACGATCCCCACTGCGAATGACTGCCACCTTCGAAAGTTCTTAGCTGTTATGAGAAAGTAAGATGAAAACAGTAATGAAGATCCCAAGCCATACAAACAACCATAAGTGAGAAACATCCATTGAAGACCAGAAGAATATGCAGTGAGGAACAAGCTGGCACCACATAGCAAACATCCAAGTATGGCCGTGCAGCGGCAACCAATCGTTTGGCAGAGAAATGATGCAAGCGGACCAAGAAAGAAAGTCAAACCGAGTGCCAAAGATCCAACCCAAACTGAAATTGCAAAAGAAAACGATTTTGAAAGTTAGCAGGCAAAGTTATCCATGCGAATATTTGAACACGTTTAAGAGCTCAAGGTCACGCTTCCTATGTCTTCGACATGCAGGGATAGGAAATGTTATATTTATGTACATAGAATACTGAAGTGATTTAGCTAGCTATAGTTCAAAATTATTTCAAGGTTACCCACGAGATTTAAGTCCTTGAGGGATTGTGCTAGTCTTAGCCCTCACTATTAATTTCCTTATTAATAGCTGTCTTGTAATTGTTTGATTATTCTAGGGCTTGTTGCTCTGTTATGAGTCTTTTTTATGATTGTGTGGGTTTCGCTTACTATTGTGCAGTCCTGTTATGAGGAGTTTGTCTTTTCATCGCTATTGAGATTTGATTTCTGATCACTGACGTTCGTCAGTGATTATGTTTGGGTCTCATGGTTTACTGAATTTGGTGTGGACCAATGCAAGTTGTTTCGGTTTTAGTGTTCAAAGATTGGCTCTTAATTAGAGCATATCAAGTACTTTGCAATTGTTTTTCATGTCTACGAGTCTCTTAGTGCTTTGATGAGTTAGTCAGGTTAGTCAGGTCCTTAAACTAAACACGTTCATCAATAGAGTACTTAAGAGTATCAACGAAAGCGAGTATAAGAGAGAGAACCAACGAGAGAAATACGTAAGTTGGCTTTAGAAGATGCAGAAAAGAAGCAGAAGAATACAGAAGAGCCTCTACGCATCGTAACAACATGAAAGAAACATCGCTAATTTGTACTCAGATAAAAAAAGTTGCTCATTGGTTTAGTCACGAGCATTTCCGAGTTGAATTTTACATTTTTGTCAGCGTAAGCAAAATAAACCCGAAATCTAAAATCCTGTCGTTACAGCATGAAAAAGGAAGAAGATTCATACAGATTGAATTGAACCCCAGACCTGCCGTTTTTATCAGCCGTTTTCGAAGTGTGTCTGCTTCCTTACTTTAGGTTATTTCCGAAATGTCTTCATCGGAAAACTCACCTGAGCCCGGCACCAGTAGTGGTGCACGTGCTCTCACGTATTCAGAAGTCGTGCAAGGAATATCTGCGCCTTTGGACAATGACTTGTGGTATCGTTACCAAAAGCAAGACTTCGAGGAGGCCACGCGGATTGCCTTGGAGGCGTCGCTTAATGACGTTCCGCCGGTAAGTAGACCTATGTTCATTGCCGTTCATTATACTTTTTGCTGACGATTAGAGTAAAACCTGGAGACAAAAACTTAGTCGCCCTTATCAATTTTAATTTTAGAGATGTAAGAGTGACTCTGAAGAGAGTCTAGGTAAGACAACCCCTGGATTTTATCATGCACTTGGCTGTTTTCTATTTTAATAAATTTTTATTTTAATATTTCTTATTTAATCATTGATTTATTTTTTTTAGTTTTTTTGAACCCTCGACATATTACCCTCACCCTCGACATATTACCCTCGACCCTCGACGCTCGACCATAAGGCAGACTCAACGAAATGACTTCATTGATCCGTGGCTTAAAATGCTTGTTTATGTCACGTCAGTGATGATTACAGACTAGCAAAAGAAATTAACTAACGATTGAAAGTTACGAAGGCTGGCAGAACCCATGCAACATGACAGGAAGTAAAGCCGTACAAAAACACCCACAGAAGTCCCTTTGGTATATGTTCTTCGACTTTTTTTTAATTTAACGTTGACATTCTAATCGTGTTGAACATCGTAGGAAATTGGCTCAACTAAAAGGTCTATCAGATGAACTGGCTATTTATGACTTGACCTCTCCCCATATAAACACGGCCTCCGGTTTATTTGGTGCAAAGATAACCACAAAAGCTTGGTAAGAGTTCTCTCACAAAGGTCATACTGATGCAATAACAAATGAGCCATACAATTCCCTCAATTATGTTTTAGTAACGTGCAGTCGAAAAAAATTATATGAGTCGCAGTCATCTGTCATATGCGAGTGTCGACATAAATCAAGCAAGTATCCGCTTTCTTATCAATGAGGACGTTATATTATTTTCAGCCATAGCTGCAATGGCATGAAGAAACTTACCAGTTTTTTGCCGGCTTTCTCCGAATTCCTTCATAACTTCAGGAAGCAACACTCCGTAGCTAAAAGCAAAACCAAGGTTCACCGCTTGACAAAAAGCGGCGCAAACGCAAACCAACCACGAAAACAAACTCTCCGGTCTGTGCTGCATACATTTGCACATTCTGTTCATTTTTGGTGTTGTTTCTGAAAACAAAAGATCAGCTACATACCTAAATCGTTGTTTAGATCATTGAGCAAATCTGTTATAAATGCAAATTGAGGTCGACCGAAGTGGCAATCTTTCGAGAAAAAGGGATGATACTTTTGGATATAATAATACATTCCGCAAGAATGCCAGCTTGCATCGATAATTCAGCTTACTTGAACATTGGTTTTGATAAAAGAGTATTTCCAAAGATTGTCTGGGTGCCTTTCCGTCTTCAAAGTCATGAACCCTTAATGACCTACGGTTGAATCCCGGCCGATAGCTTGAACAATTTTGCCCTTGGTAACTCGAACCCTCGATAGCTTGAACCTCCCGCCAGGTCATTCTTTACATATTTGTATCCTCGACAACTCGAACCACATCGAGTCACGTCTATCAATACGTGGAAAATCGGCTTATACTATTTTGCGAAACGAAACGAAACGAAACGAAACGAAACGAAACGAAACGAAACGAAACGAAATCGGGTCAGATGAAATAAAACAAAAGGAATAATGCAGATATATTTTCAAATAAGGTAAAGATAACTTTCACAAGGATTTTGGAGTAATCGTTCATTAATAAGAAGGATTTTTATTCATTTCGCAAAATAGTAATTTTAGGAGAGTTACTATTTTGCGAAATGGACTATTTTCACTCTGCGGTGACAACGTGACCTCTTTCATGTCGCGAAAATACATTTAAACATTACAAATTAGTATATAACCGAACATTTTGGCCTCCTCTTATTTCTTAAACCGTATTAAAATATATTTCGCAAAATAGTAATTTTAGGAGAGTTACTATTTTGCGAAATGGACCATTTTCACCCCTGCGATGACAACGTGACCTCTTTCATGTCACAAAAATACATTTAAACATTACAAATTAGTATATCACCGAACATCTTGGCATGTTGCACCAACATGACAGTTTTCCAGTGGCGTCTAAACATGTTTAGACTCTCCGTCTCGTATAGAGAACAGAAGCATATCCATGCCGAAATAGTCGTCCAGCAGTTTTATAATCGCAAGTAATACAGTTCCTTTGCTTCAAAATTTTTAATAAAAATAATATACATGGAAAAGTTACGCGTACGCGCTTCTGATTACACCCCCGTCGCACACCTCTTCCTTACGAGCAAGAGATCGTGTTTCGCATTTGCACAAGTTCCACGTGCTTTTGTTTGTTTAAATGAATTTTTATTTTTTTGTGAAAATTGTCCATTTCGCAAAATAGTAACTCTCCTAAAATTACTATTTTGCGAAATACATTTTAATACGGTTTAAGAAATAAGAGGAGGCCAAAATGTTTGGTGATATACTAATTTGTAATGTTTAAATGTATTTTTGTGACATGAAAGAGGTCACGTTGTCATCGCAGGGGTGAAAATGGTCCATTTCGCAAAATAGTAACTCTCCTAAAATTACTATTTTGCGAAATATATTTTAATACGGTTTAAGAAATAAGAGGAGGCCAAAATGTTCGGTTATATACTAATTTGTAATGTTTAAATGTATTTTCGCGACATGAAAGAGGTCACGTTGTCACCGCAGAGTGAAAATAGTCCATTTCGCAAAATAGTAACTCTCCTAAAATTACTATTTTGCGAAATGAATAAAAATCCTTCTTATTAATGAACGATTACTCCAAAATCCTTGTGAAAGTTATCTTTACCTTATTTGAAAATATATCTGCATTATTCCTTTTGTTTTATTTCATCTGACCCGATTTCGTTTCGTTTCGTTTCGTTTCGTTTCGCAAAATAGTATAAGCCTGGAAAATCAAAACAAACAGTGTACTGCAGTCTCAAACATTTACGTTGCGTTCTGATTTCATGTAGTGATCCATTTTCACTCGACTTTTCCATGATTAAATTTTATTAAAATAAATACTGTATGATTTCCGGTCCTTTGTTTTTGTTTCAACCCCCGATAACTCGAATCTTTCTCATTTTCCCTGGAAGATGCGAGGATCCGACTGTATATCTAAGAATATCATCGGGGGCAGAAAGCCAATTGTTCTTGCAAATTGTTCTCAAGATTCAACGAATTGTGTACAATGGTAAAATGAACAAGAAATCACAACTTAGGAAATTAGTTTGCGTCACTGCACACCAAATGTTAAAGAGATGCACAAAACTGGCTGACGTTTCGAGCGTTAGCCCTGCATAGGAGCAACTGACGAAGGGCTTACGCTCGAAACGTCAGCCTTTAAACTCTTTACGGTGGTCAATTTACGTTTTCAACTCTGTTGTTAACACTAAATTACCTGTTATACTCTCCCACCGACGCAGCACCAGTTTCTAGATACACCACGAGCTAACCTGTACAACTTACCTGATAGCCACAGAGATTTCGAATGTGTTGATCACAAACAGACGCAAAAATAAAAACTCCCGATTGTTTTTTCATAAGCGTTGAGACTCTACACGATTACTCTGGCTGGCTGTTTATTCTTCGTTTCCACGTGACGTCATCCTAATTAAAAACATGAAGAATTATCAATCCTTTTGAGATTTTAGTGAAGTTAGTTATTAAAACAGCTGAAAACTTATCTTTTCACAAATTTCCAGTTTTTTAGGGTTTTTCGTCTTGTGATAACGCAAGGTTGAATATCTAAGCTAATACGTGACACGATATTCAAATAGAGGCCGAGAATGCTGTCACCTTAGTTAAAAAATTGACTTATCCGCTGAGATTTCGCGGTCTAAACAGTCCCTCTTTGAGAATAAGTACTCATATAGATATTTATGAGCCCTCAGAAGACAACCACAGGTTTTTATCGCAAAACTCGATTACATACGTTTTCATTAGCTTCCGAACGCCATATCTGTGCCCTTCAGAAAGAAACGAACCATGAGCAGACCACACTACGGGTTCGTGGTTAATAGTTATTGACATGAGACGAACAAAATCTGTTAGGGTTATGAATAAAGCTTTCCAAATTTTTTATTTAAATTTCATCTCCAACGTCCGAATATCTCAATAAAGTTAAATGAAATGTGAATCGATGCATTTGTGGTTTGATTTATGCTTCATGGGCGTTTGGAGCATCTTTTTACAAAATTACTTTTGGCCGGAGGCCGTTAAGAGAAGAAAGGGAGACAAGGCTTGCAACTATAACCATACAGTTAAAATGCCTGTTGTGATATGAACCCAGGAGTTTCTGCTCTGTTCACAGTTAATGTTTCCTCTTTAGCTAAATGTGTGCTCGGCTTCCTTTTGGTAATGCAAATTAAGTGTTACTGACCTCTTATTTACTCTAAGGCTTAATTCGTGAATTGCTGTCAGATAAAATCATCCTTTATATCCACAGTTTTGTACACCACAGTTATTGAACTAGATAACCTGTACAATACACTTGATTGCCACAGAGATTTCGAATGTATTGATCACAAACAGATGCAAAAAACAAAATACTCCCGACTGTTTTTTCATAACCTTTGAGACTAATCACAATCACCCTAGCTAGCTGTTTACTCTTGGTTCACGTGACGTCATCCAAATAAAAAACATGATGAATTATCAATCCTTTTGAGATTTTAGTGAGGTTAGCTATTAAAACAGCTGAAAACTTATCTTTTCACAAATTTCCTGTTTTAGGGTTTTTCGTCTCGTAATGACGCGAGGTTGAATTTCTAAGTTGTTGCGTGACACGATAGCGGCCGAGAATGCTGTCACCTCAGTTAAAAGTGACTTATTATCCACTGAGACTTCGCAAACTAAACAGTCTTTATTTGGGAATAAGTACTCATGTTGATGTTTATGAGCCCTCAGAAGACGACTACAAGCTTTTTATCGCAAAATTCGATCACATATGTTTTTGTTAGCTTCCAGACGTTCAGAGAGACACGAACCATAACCAGACCACAATACGTGTAAATAGTTATTGACATGAGACGAGCAAAATATATGAGGGTTATGAATGAAGCTCTGAAAATTGCACATCTCAAACGTCCGAATATCTCAATAAAGTTAAATGAAATGTGAATCGATGCATTTGTGGTATATTTTCGCCTTCATGGGCGTTTGAAGCATCTATTTACGAAGTTACTTTTGACTGGAGGCCGTTAAGAGAAGAAAGGATGACAAAGCTTGCAACTTGGTGACCGCTAGCCGCGAATTCTTCCATTTCAAACTGGACTTAACACAAAGTTACTGAAAACTTCTTCTAACCGGCGACGGTTGTTGATCGATGAGAGAGAAAACCGCCAACTAATTGCTGGACTAATTGCTGAATTTGAAAATTGGGTTCGAACCAGCTATGGAAGGAACTTGGATCTCAAATTTTTGTTAGTGCAAGTATTCGTACCATGTTTTTAAGGATTGGATTGGACCTATGATCTCTTTAGACTTTTTCGGCTAGAGGCGTCAATGGCCCCAAAACCAGTTCTGTACCTCTATCTTCATTCTATGGTCAGCTTGTGTAGTAATGTTCTTTCCCTGATTGCATGTGCAGCAAAAACCGCTTCCTCAAGTATTCCGTTGATCCTTAATATTGCGACCGCCTGGAGTCCACATAGTACGTGGAAGACAGAGAAGTGGAGACTAGATATATCAGCTTTCTAAAAATATTTACGAAAGGCACTTAAGAAGACTCCAAACTTTTCGCCTCATGTAAGGTAAACCAGATTTCAGAATCCAGGAAATTTTTGCTTGTGGAATCCGGGATACTGGGCATTGAAATCCAGAATCCAGCTTTTGGAATGCAGAATCTCGCTAAAGAATGAATCCAGACTCCATTTGCTGAAAATCCATTTCAAATCGTATAAACGGCTTTCATCCGCATCCATGCAACCACGGTCATGCTAAAACGCAGAGCACAGACCGTGCAGACCACGCAGACCGTACGAACCATGCAGATCCGGCTTTGTTCGTTAGAGAATTTCGACTGTTACAACTCGCGAGACACTGACAAATTCATTCATGGTCTATCACCCAATCGACTTCGATACTAACATGGCCAAAGTTCCCTACTAACTATCAATCAGTCTTCTACTCCGATTCAATAACCTTATTTCCTAGTGAAGTTCTGCATAAGCTCGAGAAACTTGAGCCTGCGATTTTGTTTTGCCAAGTAACGTCATTCTCGAGCCTAGGATCATTTTGGCTCTTTGTGAACGGTATGGTCGCCAAATAATGACCTCTGTGAGAATGGATTAATTCAATCTTTTTGATTGGTTGATAGGAAAACAATAGACTCCACACGGGAAGAGTGCTTTAAATTTTTCTGCTATGAAAACAACGTTCTAGTCTTAATCTATCTTACAAATGCAAGTGAAACAAACAGCAAATGTTTTGACGACTGCATGATCACGTAATTGAAATTCAAAGCCGCTGTCCATGTAAGATAACGGCTCGCGAAGACCGTTTGTTTGTGGGAATACCTGCCAGCGTTTTTGATTTACCAGTCATTAGCATATTTTGTGTCCCAAAAGGTGTCTTTGTCGCTCTAAAATATTGATCCTCTGTTAATTCCTGGTTCCAGGATGATGACTGAGTTTGGATTTTCATAGATCAATTTTGTTAAATCTAAACGATACTTTTCGTCAGAAAGACAGAAAAGTTTCCTGCTGTTTAACCTCAGCCGATCAAATCGCGTCAGTTGTTTATAGTGTTTTAAATGTTTCGAGAACACTATCTAACAGGTGTATTTCATAAACAAATATCAGTGACTTTGAACCCCAAAACATCAAACGCTAAGAAGGAGCAAATTTTCAAGACGAGGAGAGTTAACTCCAAGACTCCTTCAACATTTCGGATCTGATCACTGGTTAAGGTAGGCAAATGATCTGTGAATCCTAATTATCAAATACTCTAGCAACTATCATTATCTAATCAGTGGGGGAGTGATACTGAAACTTCGGATAGCTGATCAAACTTAGAAAATATATGACAAAGATCATGAGATCGTCATCCCAATGGGTGTCATTACCGAAAAAAAGAAACGCCAACTGTGTACAGATAGGTTATACCTTGTTGTTTGAAAACAGAATTTTTTCTGCAACCTAATCCTTTCTCTCAATAGTGTATTATGCAAATTAAGGTTTAATTTGTCGTGAGAAATTCTCTTTCTAACCAGGAAACGGGCGGTCGACAGTAGACGGAAGAATTATAAGGCAGAAAAAACCACTGGGTATATTTTTACCACCTCTAATTTTGTGACCTTTTGATAATTTCTTACGCTCACTGTTCTTCTATGTATAATATATCATTTCATTGTGTTATCTTTAGAATGAACAGACTAGCAATCGCAAGAATATGCTTAACGGCGCTATTTGTACTGCACTTTTCGGAAGCGATCCCATCAGAATCCAAGGCAAGTGCACATATAAACGGAAAAACTGCCATAGACAAGAAAGGTAACAATCCATTTGCGACTCTTTGTACCGATAATCATCAACTGATTTCTACAATGAATGAACTCCAGACGTGCATCAAAACCTACACCCCTCCTCTGTGGTTAAAGGGAAGAAGGCCAAGGTGTGACAGGACAAGAAAGAGAAATGCTAATTTATTTTGACGAATTCCATCAGGTCTCATTATTCGTACTTTTAGCTACAGTCCTTAATTACGAAACGACTCGATGCCAGTTTAGTTTGCAAGGGCGTGGTTGGGGAGGGTCCTGAGGCAAACCAAGAAAATTTTGCTGCATACTGCGAGATGAAAACATGACATGATTTGGAGGTTTGTGCGTTGAAAGGATAATGATGAAAGTGCCATTCAGGAAATCTACACTTTTTTCGATAACCAAACACATTAGAAGCATTTATAATCACCCAGTCTTGGACATCTCCCTTAAGAAACGCATTTGAGTCGAAAAATAATGAAAATGTAGAAACATTTCACCATTAGGTTAGAATTCAAATGATTTAGGAAGCAATGATTCTGTCTCAACTGCGTCACCATTCTGTCTCAAATTTAGACTTCACTTGATCTAAGAGAGCTTTTGCCTGAACTCTCTGACTCTAAAAAAAATCGCTTCGATCCACCTGTTTGTTCCATAGTTTTGGAGAGAATTATAAAACAGAAAACCGCTGAGGCCATCAAGAAGCTCGAAAAACAATTCAAATTAACATACATGGCGTACACCTCAACAAATGACAAAGGCAAGAAGTTGCAGGCGCATAAGAAACTTCAAGGTAAGACAAGTGAGGTGTATCTCGCTTGCGGCAGAGGTCAGTTACTTAGGCACAATAATCGAGAGGGGGTGGGAGCCATACGCTAGTGTATTGCTTGAATTGGGAAACATGTCAGCTTGTATTATATGATGCACTATCAATTTTCCATGACAAATAGGAGTGTGTCACTTGCACCTTACGACCCTCCTGAACTATGCCCTTGCAAAAGTCACTACTAGCCTGAACCGAAAGAAGCGTCCTATTTTGGGAAAATCCTTTACCTTTATGCCCTCTCACAGAATTTATTTAAGACAAAAAACAATCTCATTGCATTGCATTTTACAGACTTGGTGGACGTCGTCAAAAGAGAATCAAAAGCAAATCTAGAAACGTCCATCAAAGCTTACAAATGTAAGTGAGAACTTGCTATTATGGGATGTTTCGATATACTAGTTAGGGGATGAAGATTAGCAAGATGAGTCTGATAAAATTATAGCTCAATTTTATTCTAACTAACGTTTATTATTTTCTTTATGCAGTTGATATTAGTCGGCTGTCTGACAAAGACACTGCTCAGCTGTTGTATTCTTCCTACGTAAGAAACAAAAGTTAGTACCAACTACAATTGATAAAACGTGATCCATATACACACATGATTACAGTTTAGTTTTTTTTGGTGTTTGTCATTTGTAATTCGTAATGAACTCCATCCTTGTTAGCCTGGGACTGCAGAAAATTGACCACCAATGAGGTGTGTGGGGAGAGTGGAGAGGGGGGGTCATTAAATTATACTTAAGAGCCTTAGTGGGATCAGGTAAATAAATTTTTGGGACACAACCAAAATCCTCCAGATTCCCCTCCCCTCCCCCCCCCCACCCCCCCACAGGCGATAAATAATGATGAACCCCTTAGGGTATCTTCATGGCTAATCTAGAGCGAGTTACAATCCAATTTATAATATCTATAATATCTATTCTAATTTTTAATATTTTCTCAATTTCCACGATTTCTTTTACTCAGGGCAGTCATTATGGGGTTCGTGTCAGCCTGTTTGTCAGCACCGATGCCTTCCGACCTGCAACCTGCTCTGTTGCCTGACCACACCATTCGTTGTACCGAAGAAAACTGTGAAGATGATCGAGAAGCAACTTGCTTTAAAGAAATTAAAGAAAAAGAGCAAGATCTCCAAGAAACATCCAAAGAAAAAGGGGAAAGTCTGTGAACCCAAATGCCGGAAAGCCTGCTTGCCGTCTTGCAAGTTTAGTTGTTGTTTTTCCCCCTCAAAAAATTAAGTTTTGGTGAAGATGCAGCAAGCCATTTTGAGAGTGTTGTTCTCATTGATATGGATAATCAGACGAGAAACTTACGTCAGAGCTGTTAGATTATGACTATTAACTTACACGTAGTTATAAAAGTGCTCTTTTGTGAGACTTAGAAGTGGGTTTACGATCTTGCTTCACTGTTGGGAAAGTCCATCAAATGACGACAGGAATAGAAGAAGTTATGTTCTTTGCATAAAATGCTGGGAGGAAGAGATGTCCGTGGTCTCAACAGGGTGTAAGGGCGGTTTTTTCCTTCTTTTAATAGTAATTATATCTCATCTAGATAGAAAGGATCTGAAAAAAAGTTATAGCATCATCAGACCTTTTTCTTCTGTCGTCCTCTCGTGATGGGAATTTCATCATTTCATTTCATTTCATTTTCAAGAGAAAAAACATTGTACTGTAAAACTAATTTTCTGCACAAAAGTATCGAAATAAACCAAATTAAAGTAACATTGCTCATAGCATTGGTATTGTACAGTCTTCTAGTCCGTGTTGGAACACACGCGCAAGACTTAGAAAGAAATACGATTTGCCTTTCTCAAATATCCCCTGCATCCCTTCCCCTCCCAACTTACAGTGCGGTAGAGTATTAAAAATTTAAAACCGATACTGCAAGCCTACTTTTTATGAATTTTATGAACGTAGAAAAAACTGGACTTTGTTTACGACTAGAGTAAATTCAGTCATCATAAGTTGAGAAAAGTGTCTCAGTCAACATATTTTGATCACTTTTTAACAAAAAATGTTTGTGCCATTTCAGGCCTACCACTTAAAACAGTGATAAATGCAGTGCGTGATTGAAAAGGTTATTCGAATTTTTCAAGCTTCATTTCACAGAACGTAAGAAATTGTAAGCAAAAGGAAAAGAACAACCAAATAAATAAAAGTATGTTAAATACTATTTGCATTTCACTGGCATTCTCCCACTCAATCAAGCCAACTTTGTATCGTTCACGCTGGCTGCGCTTTTTTGACTACATATCCATATCTAAACATTACTGCTCGTCAGTCAGTAAATAAGGATAAAATCGTTTAAAAATTAAATTAGTCCTCACATAAAAAACAAACACATTCTCTTTACTAAAAGAAAAATATCACGTTGGTCGCTCTTCTTTGTCCGTTGTCTTACAGCGAATGCTTTTCTTGTGAGGTAATGCGTGAAATTTGTTGACTGTTTCTGTCTAAAGTGAAGAGAAAACTGACGGGTTAATCTCACTGCCGCTTTCAAATCCTATCGTCTTTATTTGCGGTAAATTATATATATCTTGTTCCATTCCTGTAGAAGATCCACCGTCGGCTATAAGAAGAGGAAAAACACAAATCAAAGAAGGGCTTTGAATTGCCAAACAAGTATGCAATAAAGTGAAATAATTGTCGCGCTGTTGAAACTGCTAAATATTTCATGTTATTTAAGTAGACTCTTGCCTCCTTCACTGTTCGAAACGCTTAGTTATTTACCTGTAAGCAGGTAAAATACTATATCCCGCGTCGACTGACAGGCTGCCACGGTAAGATCCTATTTTTCCCTTGTTAATCCGTAAGTTTGACGAGCGACGTATCTCAAATGATAACATACCAGGGAAGAAACTTCCTTCTCGAGACTCGGGAGCGTTTAGAATTATATCCATGTTGCGATATCTTGCTCAACATTTGATACTTAGTTTCGGTCCGTAACAAAATGGCGCCCTCATGGGCTACTGGCTATCAACAAGACCTCTAAACCATATACTTTTGAATTATGTGGTCTCTCTAAAAAAAGACAACTGTTAAATAATGGCAACGAAAGGTGATTTTAATGGTACGGTAACCGTAAGACCATTGGCTTATTGAATTGGTTGGTCGAGACCACAGTTTCGAAAAATTGTTGATAATCGCTATCTTATAGTTGAACCACGACGTTTAGGAAAACGACTAGTAACGCTGGTATTTTGACGTGACTTTTTTTTACTTTGTATACTTATGTTCTTTGGCCTATCGAGAATTACGATAAAGAGGTTATGATAACGGCATCTAATCGATCTACGGAGTAAGAAGTCTCAGTCAAACCGCAGGCATGTGCAAATTACATATATTATTTTCTGTGAACTACCTGCTGTTCCTCAGGTTAGTAAACAAGCTCGAGAAATTTGATTACCGTCACATTTTCACTAGACCTTTGATTAATCCCTAGTGCCTACCAATGATTTCACGATTGGTAAAGCAAGCATGCGTAAAAAAAATTGCCTACTGTTCGTCTTTGTTTACCCACCAATACTTGAAAACCGTGTTGATTACGCGTGTTCCTCGCTTCGTCGTCGCCCATCGAGAAGGGGATGGCGTTCGGTGCCATCACAGTCTCTTTCAATGTCTAAGACCATGTAACGAGTGAAATCTAAGTAAAAAAAAGAAATTTCTTCTGCTTAGCAAAAAATTAGGGGCCTAAAAAATTGTTTAATTATATTTCAATTAGCAGCAAAGGAAAAGCTTATCGCCCTTTTAAATCTCTTAGGTAAGAGGACCACTCTTATGATCATGATGAGGGTCTTGTTATCGTTCTGCCTTCTTGCGCAGCTCCTTACCGCCGTAAATTGCAAGAGCTTAAGGAAAGTTAAATCCAACGCAGGTAAGAATGAATTTATCAGGAAAGAACTTAGATCTCTTTTGCAATGCTAAAATCGCTGAAATCATTGCACACTTCCAAGGTTTTTTTCTAAAGATCAATTTTAAATCAAGAGTCGAAACTTCAGGATTGTTTTGGTTTTGCCTTATTTCGCCTTGTGATAAATCTAGAAAGCTCGCGACATTCATTTCATCTGATTGACTGTTGTCAAGATATTATTCCAGTTAATAATCTCTCGCTGTCGTGATTGCTTTGGTCCTAGTTTTACGATACTCAATCGAAATACGCTTTATTAGATTTCAAGTCCGTGTACAAGTCAGCTACACAAAGACAGAATCATGTAAAAACTGATAAAAGAGGAAACGAATTTGCTTCCTTGCAGGTCATGGTGGGAGGAAGTCGGTGGTGATTCATTCCGTGAATCCCGTGCAAAGTGAGTAAGATGTTTTGTAATATTATATACATTAGGATAGGATTGACTATCACTCACTCATAACATAAACGGAGCGCAGAATAACCTGCGAGGAAGGGATCGTTTGAGTTATCATGCAGCACGAAAAGGGGCCGGTGGCGTTGTGGGGCGCGTTGGGCGGACTCTGCGCGCTGGGTTATCTTCACTCGCTCGTTAAGTCTTCTTACTTTTAAGACGAAAATGCACTTAAATAATTACAGAATTGGCCAAGCCACACATTTGCAGCTCTTCTTTTTTTTTAAATACATTGTTTTAAGTAAAGTAGCTTCTCATGTAAGCCTGGTGGCTTCTTTAGGCCTCCTCGCCTTCTGATCATAATTGTGTGGATCAAATATTTTTTGGATTGTTAAAAAGGCAAATAAAATGATGATGATGACAATTTTGACCTAAGTAATTCCCAAAGATGTACTCATTTAAGATGAGAACTGCCGTACATGTTTCACCCGGATCAGGAAAGACGTGAACAATTTCAGAATGTCACACTTCCAGATAACGTATGTTGTTCTGACTTAAATTTTTCATTAAGGTGCTATTTGGATTATACCCCAACTTACTACTACAATGTATATGTTACTGTTGTTGTTCCCTTTCCGTTTTCCTTTTCCGTTTCCTTTCCTTACACGAATCATTTTTTTAATCATATCTGTTTTTGCCTCACTTAGGATCCGCCTGGGAGTGTCATCCTGGATGCAAGCGTTTCTGTCTGTCATCTTGCAAAAGAAGCTGTTGTGCCCCAGGGGCTCCTAACTACAGTCCAGCCATGTTCCCCCAGTTGGTGAACTACCAAGCTTCCCTCCCCCCGCCACCTCCTCCCCCACCAGCGTGCCCCGCCGGATGTCCGTCCACCTGTTATCCTAACTGTGATTCCGGATGTTGCTTCCAGGCAAATCAGCCAGTGTTCCCTCAATATGCTAACCCTTACGATGTTGGATATACTGGCTATCCTGCCGGAGATCCCTGTGCTGCTATGAGTTGCTCTGCCGCTTGTGCCCCCCAATGCAAGCCAGGTTAATGTCAATGAGTATTCATTTCTCCGTTATAACTTTCAATTTTTATTGTTTCTTTTAATGTGGTTGTCGATAAATTATTCGTCAAAGCCAGAGATATGACACAAATATCGAACTGCTAAGGAACTGATCGCGATGTTAATCAACTTCTGGAACAACGCAAGTAGCTAGATCCCAAACTAGATCGGAAATGTTGCCGGTTTCTGCATTGGCTATGCAGTTAGGAAGGAATCGTATCCTATGTACCATATCCGCTGTAATTACTAACAACAGTTTAATTTTTTTTACCATGGTCTAGACTGTTGTCGTTCCCAAGCCCTAAACCTCAGCATTCGGCCAGTGTATCTTGGAGGAGTCAAAGCACCCCCTAAGGCACCCAAGCCACCGCCGCCTCCAAAACCGCCAGTGAAAACCCATCATAAAAAGAAGGCAATGCATACGAAACCCCAAATTGGTAGCTTGTGTGTCCCGCAGTGCCAGACGCTCTGCAAGCCAGTATGCAGGTAAATACTTTTTTCATCACACGGAGATGGAAAAGAGATCGGGGAATGGAAGTTAAAGGAGGTCCAGGTGTGCTTCATGGGGCATGTTGCTAGATATTTGTTAAGTAGGACGGGTTTTAACCGCAACTCTCTACAGGGAAGTAAAAAAATCCAGCCGTTGAGTACTCAGAGCATCTATCTCCTACTCAACAATTCATTCGTTCGTTCTTTCAGTCAGTCATTAATGTTTTATCAATTAACATAATACATAGTTTCATGTATTTCAATTTATCCATGTTCACCTCATCATGGCAGAAAAATCTGGTTGTCAATTATTTTTTGATCTTTTTCACAGATTTGATTGCTGTTTGGCTACACATAAATTCCATAAAAAGCAATCGGATCACAAACCTTCTTCCTCCAAGCCACAGGAGCCTCCGAAACCTAAGGTGCATCATGACATTACACCCGTCGCCTCGCCTCAGAGGGTTCCCATCCCCAAACTATTCGCAATGGCGAATCCATCGCAAGAGCCTGCACAGGATGCTCAGCAGTCGCCTCAACCGTCACCTTATGAGGGATATCAGTATCAGGACGCTGTAGCTCCTGTGGCACCCACGGCAGGTAAGAAGCAAAGCAGAACATCAAAGCTGAAAAATGCTTGGAGGACGAGAAACAAGGGGTCGGAATTTCTCGAGCCCTCTTTGGGTCAAATTACGCGCGCTGCAATGAAAGCTACGATTTTGGCGTGCATGAAACTGAAATTCTAACGACCTTTTTCCCACTAACTCATCGTTTAAATCAGGAGCATGGGAGGAAAAGCTGGCCAAATTCCAGCCGAGGGTGTCTATATGTCACACTATTGCATACATTCATTCATGTTGCCTTTGAGAAAGACAGCCGCGGCGTAAACAAATCAAACGACATCGTCTCCTTAAGTATAAGAGGGAACAGAAAATTCCTCCCATCAAGCGGATCACAATTCTGTCGAATTATAACATGGCTTAAATTCATTTATTTGTTTTCTAGGAATCACATGCCCAGGATCTTGTCCTCTGGCCTGCGCTCCTTCGTGTCAGTGGTCATGCTGTGCCCCATTCCAAGCACAGCCTGCCCAGCTGGCTCCTCAAGCTTTCCCTTACGGGGCTGTGCCATCCAATCCCTTGGTGAGCAATTAGTCTATCAGTTGATAGTTCAATAAAAATTAAAATCGTCCATGAATACGTAATCTGTATGTAGACCTGGTAATAAATCAATTACCCAACTGACTATCTGGCTAGAGATATCAAACGGGAACCAGCTGAAGACTGTTCATCTTAAAAAGCATGTACATTGGATTCATAGACGGAAAAATATTTTTTCGTTATAATTAACGAAAGAGACCGCACTTGACAAGTGCTCTTCCGTTCATCCTATTTTTAACAGTGATCCCGCACATAGACACTCTCTTTAAGTGTAACGAGTATCTTGAATTTTACTGTTATTTACTCGTTCACCGTTAAAAAAATTATTATCACTCCCTGTAGGATGCTTCTCAAGATTTCAGGGCACTAGGTTCGCCAGGCCTTCGTCCAGTGGAGCCCCTTGCTGAGCAGCAAACCTGTCCAGCGCCGTCTTGCCCGGACACATGCGCGCCACTTTGCTCGCGAAGCTGCTGTGCAGGATTGCCTCTCCTGCCACTGTCTTGGGACAAGAGAGCTGCCCTACCCCACAGAGGCTAGTTGTTGCAGCCATATTTGACACCCGTTGCCCTTCTCATGTGTTTAAAAATTCTTGCCTCTAAATACTCATCTGTGATACTTGTAAAACCTCCTCAAGGACAAACTGAATGAAGGATACCTATCCGCTCATAAGTCATGGCTCTTCTGAGCAATACAATAATTTCCGCAAATTTCTCCCACCTCGTTAGCAAACTAATCCGCGTAAATGCTCTGTTGGGAGATTTTTGTCGCTAATTTCGTCAAAAGCAGTCTCAAAATGTAATATAAAATAAACCATAGGGTCATTTTGTCACCAAAAGCCATAGGATTATGCAGAATTAGAGAATGATCGCAAAATTTGAAAGTGATACTCATGCATAGGCTTCTCATAAAGGGCAAAGCTTTGAATTAGATACGAACACCGTACATTTGTCCAGAAACATTGGGATGAAGTGAAGTATTTTAGCCCTCAATGTAACATAATTTCCCTCAAGTAAAAGTTTCTGTCGTTGTTGCATACTGAATGACATGTATTCTAAGCTTATTAGGAAAGGTAGTTATACAAAGCGATGAACTAAGAATACAAAATTAGGACATAATCTGCTGATCGTGCTCATGCAGCGATCAGCTGCACCTGCAGCAAAACCGCATTGTAAATATCTTTACGGCTTTTTTTAAAACACAGTACAGCCCCTTTAAAAAAGTATGTAGATGGCATGCTTCTATATTACCTGTGCCTTCTGGTAGCTAAAAGTAAGTTGCATGGCGACGGAGTTTACTTCCGGTCGTTACGAGAATGAAGCCATATCTAAAACCGTATTAGGGTCAGATATTTAGGATAGTTCTCTTCTTGATCGATTGTGGAAATAAAGTGCGCAGTATAAATTTTAGTGTTATGCAGTGTTCTGACGTTATAGCCATAAATATAATGAATCACTGAGAAGTTTCAGCTTCTATTCTTCCATGGCTAATATTGGAAGTCGAGAGTGCCCGTTGAAAGGGGGAATTTGGAATCGATTGCTTTAGCGATTTCTAAGTCTATCCTCTCTTAAGCCTTGGACCCTTCACTACAATCACATAAGCCAGCACATTCTCTCAATCAGCAGCAAGCTTAGTGCGATTAACCTCGCACAAGGTAACGGAATCTTATGACAGCAGCGCAAATGCAAGTCGTGTAAAAATTTCCTAACTAAGGTTAAATTTAGAAAATGTGACCACAATTACGGACAAACTTGATGAGAAGAATCCTCCTTTTGTTCAAACACGATCCTTGTGTCCCATACACCCCTCACATGTAATGAATTGTGTATCGAAGACCAGCCGGGCACCATTAGTATGTTAAGAATGGCCAGGGAAAGGAAAACTATCTAAAAAATTGTATCGGCAAAAGGAATTTATCAACTGATAATGCAAGTTTTCTCAATAGCACTGTCCATGACCTGAATGGATTATAGCTTTATAACGTCTGTCTCAACCGACGCCCATTAAAGTTTTCGAACCAGAATGAAAAATTTGAACTGTACCAAAAGTATCTTTCTTCAATCGAATAGAAACTAAAAAACAACTTATTAGAAGAGAAGGGGACTTGAATTACTCGAACCGAAATATACAACAAAACCAAACCGAGCAAAGCAAAACAAACAACGACGGCAAAAAAACAACAACAAAACCAAAAAACAACAACAACAACAACAAAAACGGTATAATAAATCTAAGACATTCCCGTGGCAGAGGCAATCTGTTTGAGAGCTGTCAATTTTAAAGGGGCTCGAACGGTGGGCAGTTTCCATGGTGATGTTGGAAAAGTGTTACGAAAGTGTTTTAAGCAACAGCCATGAAATATAAAAAGCGAGCAGGAATGCTGTATATAAGTATGTATTTTACAATGTATAGAAATGCACATGGAAAAGAGAGAACCTCGTTTAGGAAATGTCACAGGTGTTTAAGTGTTCTTCTGTTTTACACTCTGTTAGGTTGACAACACACCCGCCACACAGCGAGTGTGAACAGTGTCAATAATTTATAGTGTCCCTTTCTCTTTTGCCCTATATTCTCATCGATGACCTTTTTTATAGACAGCCAGGAAATATAAAACGCTTATGGCACTCTAGAAGAGGTAGGTTTTATCTATTCTGCTGCAATTTTTGCTTCACCTTGAATTTGCTTTTAAGAAGAAAAACAAGATGTTTCGTTAATTTCAGCGAAAAAAACCCTCTCGCTACATTGAGTGCTTAGAACTGACCACTCCAGAAATAAATGAAAATTATAGAGTTTATAAGAATAAGAATATAAATTTTTTTCCTAAGATCAGAATTTTGACTGCGAAAAAAATGTGCATGTTAAATGAAAAGTTGTGCTTTAATTAATTTGTTTTATTTTGAGCGCGAAATTGTAAATATTATCGAGGGAATAATGACTCGAAGATTGGAAGGAAAAAAAACATTGAGACGTATGGTAAATACAAAGACGCAACTAGTTTCTTTCGAGGCTAAAGGAAGAATGTCTCAGTAGAATCCTTAAAATCTAAAGTTTTAAACTTGACGGTGAAAGGGTATTTGTGAGAAACAGGTATATCGGCCGGTTAGTGTCCGAATTTCAACGCACCTCCACACTTGACAACACCACCTGTATTCAAAGCATGTCTTCACAAATTTGAATTCACTAGCGCTTAGCTTGTTCATGTTTTGTCGTCACCATCGGTCATTCACTGGTTTTGTTGTGATACATAAACATATTCCAACCCTGTCAGACCATATCTGGGGACAATGGTATCTATTGTATAATGAACCTTCTCAGATCTGATTCGAATAACCGAAAATAATGTATCGATTCTCTTGTGTTATTTTCAACATATAACACCTGATAACAGTGTTTGTAAAAAGCTCATCTTAGAAAGTCTAAAAGCGCATTATTTTCTCCACGTTGTTGCTAAGAGTCATCGAATAAAGAGCTCTGGTCTTAAGTTGATTCCTCATAAAAAAAAGTTATTGAACAATTTTTTTTTTAACTTTCCTTAAATGTTCCTTTCCAATGTCTGTTTCGAAAAATACAATAAAAAAGATAGGTCACCGTGCTTGTTTAGGTGATATAATGGGCCAAACTTATCCCATTTATGCCTGTACTGGCACTAATCACGTCGCGTCATTTCATCGGTTCACGGTACATTTTGCTGCGGCTGGAAGCAAGGGCTTTTTATGCGCAGCTGAGGATGCGTAGTGCAATACTGAGGATCACTTTAAAACGGTCAAAAGAGTTTAGAATTCGCCGCTCGGGCTCAAATTGTGGGTGCAGGGTGGGGAGGGAGGACATCGACATCATAGAGACAGTTGATCTTTTTCACAACAACGACACCAAGACAGAGCTTGCTACTTCCGCACAAGCTCCAATATTTTTTAATAGGATCTGGACTAAATTTTGTTAAAATCTAACCGGAGTAGTGCCAATGATTAAACCTTTGGAAATGGGGGTAAAAGCATGGCTTCTGAGATTTAGTTTAAATATTGCCCAAATGCATGTCCTCATGTAACCTCTCTCTTCCATTCACTTCTACATTGTGAAATTCTAAGGAACCTCTGAGGAAATTCTTGGTTGAGACAGAAGCCGTTACAGACGAGCAACGTGCTCAGATATCACGTTTCTGGTAGATTAATTTAAGAAACTAAGAATTTACCGCAAGTAAGTTGTAAGTCTGCAGCCCAAGTACATTTTCTAACTTAGCAATCAGCGTTACCGAATTATTATCCTTTTGATTATTAAGTCCTCTTAGGGTTATTTTCAGTATCAACACAACGCTTTGATTTCAAGATTATCAACTAACTCAAGTGCCACGAGATGCAAAGAAACTCTTACTGTATTTGGACGCTGTGCCTTCTTTCTCTGTTAATGCAAGGAGATGGAAACCCAATTCCTAAAGGAAAAGCTAAAACAGTAAGAGGTAAAATAAAATCTGAATCATTTTCTAAAAAATTGTTAGGCGGCTTGTAACTGAGTCATTTGATCTACACGCTCGTTTATCATGATCACCTAACTTATATTCTAAAAAAAAGGGATGTTTCCATATCAATCAAATCCTTGAAGAAGAGGCCTATCAAAGCTGATAGGAATAAAGGCAGATAGGGCCACATGATTGCTTCAGACTGGTACGCGGTACGCTACAAAAATAATTGGTGACAAACCAAGCTTTTTTAATCATCATTATGATAATAAGAACGATGATAATGATGATGATGACGAAAAGTATATATATCTTATTAGACATATTGGTGTGCAGAAATAAGTATGGCTATTATTAACGACTACTCTTACCACTACGTTTGGTATGACTTTATCTTTATTTTGTCATAAAAAGAGGTATATGTTTCGGTTAATCGCAAACCGATGAAATGTCTTTCATAGGTAAAAAGGCTCCGATGAAAAGGCAGTTTGTTTATTATCCTCAAACAGTAGCAGTCGTTAGCTACCCGTATCAGCGCAGCAATGTCGCGCACAAACAAAGACTGCAAACTGCCAGAAATAGTAAGTACTTTGCAAATGATGTTTCCCTAACAAAGGAAAGTATAATTTAAACTTCACATAATCAGTTCGTTGAACTATCGTAAAAAATTTTAAATGAATCACCAAAACCAACCGGACGAAGGTTAGTATTGCATGGAATCGATGAGATTTCAAAACAAAAACATTTCAGTAAACTGTATTCAACGCAGGAAGACCCCATTGCAAGTCGCAATTGGTTTTTGTCTTACATCTACGGATTATTTGAAAAGAATTTGCAAGTCATCGAGAAAAGACAGTGATGCAAAATCAATTCGAATTTGTTTCCTCAAAATTTTCTTGAAAAAAGCTGACGAGTAGTTTTCTTGAAACTTGTTTCTGACTAGAGTAGGTCGCCATTCTTGTGGAAGACCTAAGATTAGGACTGAATTTTTCTGAAGTTAGGCCCTCACGAGAGGATATAAATGATATTAACCCTTTCTCTTGTAAAATTTCCTCTTACAATCTCATAACTTGGTGTTCTAAAGAAACGCACAAACGTGGCAAAATCTCACGCCTACTGTTCCATGATAAAGCACAACTCAAGATGATCTCCTGTTGAAAGCCTTTGTGTAATGCTTCTGTTAAATTTACCATCCCCAAATTTGAGTGAATAGGCCTTGATCTTTTCAGTGATTGTTTTTTTTATATTTATAAGAAAACTGTCAGAGGACATGTCAACAGAGATGCACTCCAGATTGTGACTTTACCTGCTGTGTAGCGACACCCAATCCTGTGTTGGCTCCACCACTTACTCCTCGCCTAACTGTTCCTGTCGTATCGTGTGCCTCCTACTGCCCGAGCACCTGTTATCCAGACTGCAGCCCTAGCTGCTGTAAGCCAAAGCCAGCTCATCCGATAGCTCCACCAATGCCACCACCCCCTCGTCCTCCTCCCATGCCACCTGCCTGTCCAACCAACTGCCCGATGTCTTGCTATCCGCAGTGTTCACAGTCATGTTGTCAACAGTCACCAGCTTATGCACAAGTTTATAAACCGTTGGCAATACCTCCTCCTATAAGGCAGTGCGCTCAAGTCGGATGTTCACAAGCTTGTTATCCCAAATGTTCATCCCAGTGTTGTGGTGCTCCCCAAATTCCCTCTGTGCAAATGCAGCCACCACCGCCTCCTCTCATTGCCCCGTCACCTGTGCCTCCGATAGTTATTCCGCTTCCACTTCCTGTCCCACAATGTCCAGCTCCTTGCCCAGCTTCCTGTCTACCATCTTGCACTCCACAGTGCTGCACAGGAGCACAGCAACAATTTCAACCTCAAACACAACCTCCTCCCATAATCATCCTGGAGCCTCCAGCCGCTCCACAGCCGTCTACGTGTCCTGCACCTTGTCCAGCATCGTGCTCCCCTCAGTGTAATCCAACTTGTTGCACTCCATCGACAATAATGGCTTCTCCTAAGCCGCCTCAATCCCCGCCTCGCCCCCCAATACGACCATTTCAACCACCACAGGCTTCAACTTGCCCTGCACCTTGTCCAGCATCGTGTCATCCACAATGCAGCCCAACTTGTTGCTCTCCAACTGCCATGCTGGCCCCACCTCTACCTTCATTACCATCCATCCTACCTGCTCCCTTTGGGCAGACATGTCCAGGATCATGTCCCAGTTCGTGTGCACCAAGTTGCAGCACAGACTGCTGTTGCCAGCCGCGGTATGACCCTAAAGATCTCAGGGGCTTGTTTCCACTAGACTCCTCTCCGGATTGTCCAACAACTAACGACTGATCGAACTTACGACATTAATTTTAGTTCGTTTAACTCGGTCTGTAACCTGTCTGTGGTTCGGCGAAGAAAGTTATAACCGTTGGTTTCTTCAGCTTGTGAGATTTTTTTGAGGTTGCAGTGGTGGCCACCGAATAAGCGCTAATGTAATGTGCCATTCAAGACCTCGCAAAGTTAAGAGCCTTATCGACCCAGCAGTGATTGCTCGGACGTCATTTTCGTAGGAATATTCCATGCCTAATTACCTTGAGGACGTTCTGATTACTCTTGAGTGTTTGCGTTTTATGATCGGATGAGTAACGTCGAGAAGATCACAAACGCAATGACGCAGATAGCGACAAACACTGGTCCATGAGAAGATATTGAGAAAAAGATCAATTTTGTATGGGGAAATTATCAATTGAGTATCAAAAATTAATTTTGGGGTTGGATTGGTTGCACTTGACCTTATGATTAATTGGGAAATTCGTGCCACTCTTTCAAAATTAGTGTTAGTTTTGACGTTTAATGAGAAACCGCTCTTATTTCCCATTTCAGTTGGATTAAATCAAAATCATTGAAACGACTTATATTCAGTATATTTAATGTATAGGGGCCATAATTTTACGTATAGGGTATTTAATATCCCTGATTTACTTCTATCACAGTCTACTGAAACCCAACATCGACAAGCTACTTAATAGGGCACTCAAGAAACTGAATTACCCGACGACCCTTTGGATGGACTTCTGGGGGAAAATGCCTGGCGCGTTTATATTTTTGTTTATTTTTTTAGTATGTATAATCTTCGCGTAAATAAACTTAATGGGGGCACGGAATGTTTGGTTGTTTATTTGCTAGTTTTTGCTCATTTTCTTTTTTTCTCCCGAAGCATCATAGTTTCGCACAGCTCAATGTACCAAATGCTTCGAGATGGTCGGTCTTAATACCAAAATGTGTTTTATCAGTCGCCTGCTCATTCGATTTACCAGATGCTACGAAAGTTTTGTCTATCTTGTTCTGGAAATCACGGCCACTCTGGAAAAAAACTTGAGAAAACATGATGTTTTTTCGAGCACTTCACGCAAGTTTTGTTCAAGAAACGAAAAGATATATCATACTAGCAATGTTAACAGAGTCGCCAAGACAAAAAACACAAGATTACGCTGGGTCGGACGTATTTCTGGAAATGATACTGTTTTCCTTTTTTGCTTTGTTTTTCTCTTGTTTTACAACTATGAGTAAAGAGCTCTAGCTAAAAGACACAAAGCAATTCTCTCTGAAATATAAGCATCATCATCACCTTGATCTTCAAACATCTTTCTTATCATTGCATTATGAGGGTCGACCTTTCCTAAGACATGTAGAACTTTGGACCAGTCATGGATTCTCCACAAGGCATCAACTGCCAGAGCTTCTACTTTCAAGTTCGGGTGAAAACCATCCACAGGCACAATTAACTCGTGCACTCGACCACCTTTCCTCTCTCCCATTCCAGTAAACCCCCCCCCTCCCTCAAAAAACAAGAAAACAAGTCAAGAGTTTGCACAAGAATGGTTTTAAAATGAGATCTCACCTAAATCAGTTGCAAAGGAATCTGTCATTGGGAGAAGACGTCAATTTACAAATGGATCTAGTGACATGAAGTTTAAGTAGCAATATTTAATCCTTTTTTTATTTATATTTGATTTAAACTTATTTTCTTTTAAATTTAAACTTCAAGTCCAAAATTTATTTAAATCTAAGAAAATTTCCTATTTAGTTCAAATTTTTTATTTAATCTTGCTTTCCAATTTAAATTTTAACTTTTTAAAATATATTTCAATAACATCTTTATTTTTTGTAATATTTCTTTGAATTGCTTATCAAGTTTAATCTAATCCTTTTATTCATTTAAATTTAACTTTCAAAATTGTATGTAGACTTATGAATTTTTTACTTTATTCAAACTACAAAATTCTATTTAATCTTCCTGGGCAAGCTCAACCACCGTCACGTGAAGTACTTGAAAAATAACTAACCTTAAAGACCAAATTCCTAAACAAAACTTCCTGTTAAGGACTCTAAGCAAGGTCAAGGACAAACCCAAACATGATTCAGAACAATCCTAATTTTAGTAGTTCCCGGAACTTCTAAGATTAGAGAAGGCCACGCACTTCTAATTTTGGTTCATAACAATACTATTTCAGGTTGCATATAAAGTTCATGAGGTTCATGTGATCGACAAGGAGGCACATGTCTGAAAATAACTGCTAGGATTTGACAAGGCCTGTACTTTCAGTTGACTGTTGAACTAGAAATAAACAATTCATGAAATTCCTTATTTGCTCTTGAACACTGCCTGAAAGCCCAAGCTCGTAGACAGAGACTTCTTAAAAATATGTCACTAATGTAAGACCAGGCAAAATAACAGGATTTGTTAGGATAATAAGTACACAAGTACAGCTCAATTGGAAAAATTCTGAGTTGCCATTGTTGTCCGCACTCTGATGCACCACTCCTGAATCATAGACTCCATAGCGAGCAAGGCTATTGACAAGTTTATTTGCAATTTGCTTCCTGCATCACGGATAATGCTGGGATCGTGTGAGTCAAACCCTTACACCCTAACATCAGCATCCATATTCTCCATACTGTTCTATATACATTTCCTTTGGTATTGACAAGAATTCTTTAAACAATTAAAGCTTCTTAGTTTGGGGATCATTTCCTTTATTCTCATGCTCTTAATGAATGGTGAAGCAGTATTGCTGTAACAAGAAATAAGATGCTAATCACTCTTGGGGTTTAAAGGATAAAAAAGAATATGATTGGAGCACAATGCTGACATGAAGAACATATTTTCCTGTCTTTTCAAGAGCTTGGGACAGACAATACCTTCAGGTGCAGTATCATTTCCCTTCACCTAGCTGTGATTTTTGGGCCACAATATGATTAAATTTTCCCTTTTCAGTTCTACTGCCACAGATTACTTCATAGTTCTTAATTAAGTATGTCTTAAATGTCAACATGCTCATCATGGGGTTATCACATGCTACCACAGGCCACATCATGATTGAGTTTAGTCCTGTGCACCTGGGTAAGAGAACATATGACCGTGAGAGCTAGGATACTCAATTTTGAGCTTGGTTGTTGAACAAAGAGTACAAAAAAAGAAAGAAATGTGTTTCCCTGTGGGAAAGACATATTTCTTCATAACATTAATTGTGAGAAATGTCAAAACCCACACTAAAAAATTCATGTAAACAACAAAATTGAAAACTGTTACATCATACTGGAAAAACAACGAGATTGCCAGCAAATAAAGTCAAACAAATTTGTTCCGAACCTTTGATTCCACAACCCTGCAAGGAACTCAAGAGGGTACAACACTGGTGGTAATTTGGTTTGGAATTGCCCGTATGAGTTTTAATGAATTTCATTTCATATTTAAATTCATCTCATATCCACTGGAGTTCACTATAATCAAGAAAGTCCCAAAAGTCTTGGAAAAATGATAAAAGTACTAATAACTATAAAAACTGAGCAAGTGACTGCGACAATTTTTCCTTTCAAATATATATTAAGAGATGAGAATGAAGGAAAATATCAATCAGGGGATTGTTGGTTGATCCAATACCAAATTCTCCAAACTGACATAATAAGATTTGAAAAAGAGAGAGTTTGCAGAGTCATAAAAATGGAAAAATAAGTCTTAGAATAACTTATTACAGATTTATTGAATAAATACCTTATGATTGAAACTAGTTTTCTTTTTGTACTCCTATTAACTTATGTAATGCAAAATATTTAAAAATAAACCCTGAAAAAGTCAAAGTTATAATATTTTAAAGATGCAGTAATATTGCAGTTACCATGGTAATGCAAATCATCATTCAATGAAATAAATCATAATTTGACAATTTGAAAATTTCATGTAATTCTCCCAGCCTAAAAAGACAACTGAAAGTCATTCCAAAAACATATTTCCCCAAAGATGATGCAGCAATTATTCAATATTAAATCATTCTAATGGCCAAAATTACTCTATTGATTTCCAAATTAATCTTTAAACTTCCTATTAAGAGTTTCTAAAAAGATATACGTAAATGGTCACCTAAAAAACAGCTATCTTTCTTAGTATCCTCCTTGATCTCCAAACAAAAGTCTTATTAGATCATTGTTAGGGTTGACCTTCCCTAAGACATGTGGAACTTTGGACTCAAGAATTCTCCACAAGACATCAGCTGCCAGAGCTTCTGCTTTCAAGTTTGGGTGAAAACCATCTACAGGCTCAATTAACTCATAAACTGGGTGGCCTTTTGCTTTCCACTCCTGTTGCAGAAAATAAAGAAAGAAAGCTTAAAAATATAATCATAATTTTATAAGATCACATTAATATAAAGTGTGGAGAAAACAGTAAGTGAGAATTAGAGTCACATTGGGATCTAGCAACATGCACTTTTAACTGCTGGAGTTTTGTCATTCTATATCAAACAGAATTGCACAAAACTTTGCAGAGCCTGAGCCATTTTGCCAAGGTTGCTTTACATGTAGTCATAGAATTTGACTATGAATATGTTGAATTTGTACACAGCTGTTTCCAGAAAAATTGTCAGAAAAAAAGTGTAAAAGTGCGCATGATAACCCAGAAAGGTATTGGGAAAGTTTTCAGTTCCTTGACCTCAGGATTTCAGGGAAATCTGAGAAAACATTACTATATGGACAAGGCATAGCTGGTTTGATGAATTATTATTTCAATCATTAAAAATCATAGATTAACCAGTACCCACTTTAACTTTTCCAACAAACTCTCTTGAAACAGCTGTATAAACATTGGCACACATTTTTCATTCAGTGGATCATGCTAACATACCTTAATGACTTCTTCCAAGGGACAGTCAAAGTAGAACACATCAAAATTTTCATACTTCGAGGTTTCAGCCACATGTTTCAACACTGCACTCAACTGGGCAGCTCTTTCACTTGTTTTATTCCTGATGGTCTCATTGGAATTCATATAACCAAAGCAGGGGGACACTTGTAGACAGTTCAAGAAGTCATAAAGTTGTTCGTATGTCACATCATGCCTTAGACTTCCTATTGGGTGTATACGGTTATGGAGACTGTCATAAAGGATTCGTCCATCCACCAAACCAATCAGAATTACATGACTCCCATTTGGCAAACGCTTATCAAGACCATTCAGAGTTTCCAGGACATTTTTATGCATCTGCTCAGGAGTTGTAATGTTATTTAGACTAGGGACAGCTTGACAAACATCATTGCCTATGAGTGAGTAAAACACCAAGGCAGGCTGGTCAAGATTGGGGTCTCTAGCCATGCTTCTGATAAGTTTGGAGTTAGCTTCAAAAGACTGTGCTCCATTCTTGGCCAGATTTTGATAATCCCGATGATTGCAATGATTCCTCTCCCATAGCTTCAGATAAATTGAATCACTATGACCTCTTTCCATGGGCCACCTGCAGTATTCATTGCAAATCAAGTATAAATTTTCTGTAAAGCTAAGAACACCTAATACCAGAATGTAATGGTGTTCTGAGAGAGAAAAAAGCCAAACAGAAATGTGAACACTACACTACAAACAGGAACTAGGTTTTGGTCTTGGAATTTGTCCTTATTTGGCTTGTGACTTACATTTTTGGTTTTTGATCAATAAAGATCATGGGGCTATCAGTATCAAATCAAAGTGTTCACAGTTTTCAAGGCTTACATTATTGCAAAATTATTGAAAGAGCACAAAAGTGCAGAGTTAGAAATCAAATACCACTCTAGATGCTTAATACTTTTAACAAATTTATTTCAGGCAGACCAGAACACAATAATCCCTGCAGCAACAACACCTTCTCTGCACTATGGACATTATAGGGAGAAGTTCCATGTCAATCACCTTTAGGAGTGAAAGGGTTAATTTCTAGTACATAGAGTATATTAAAGCCTTACTGTAAACTTTTTACTAAGTCACATGATTTCTTATCTAACTTTTAATTTTGGTGGTTTAACTGACTGATGTAAACCAAAATATAATGATATATACATGTATTCTTGAGATATGGTTGAGTCAGTCTTAATATGACATTCAAATATTGTATCGGGATTGATTGACTTAACCATCAAACACTATTAGGCAGTCGTTCTAAATTTGATGAATATCAATGGAAATCAATAAACTACTGGTTTTTGTTGGTGTTTGTGGGATTCAGAGTGACTGCTCAATCAGCAGTTTCTAAGATATATATTGTTTTATTATTTAAAAGAAGTTGTACATATTTATATTTTTGGATAAAATTTATATATATCATTATTTATTAATTTTATTTGTTATATTAATTTTGTTGTAACGCGACCCCACAAGACTCTGGCTTTAAATATTCATCGTGTTTAAATTATGTTATTATTATTATCATTATTATTCTGTCATTTAAATTAATTTACCTTGATGACCTTAGGTAGCCTGTATATAATGACAACTGAGGCCAGTCCATTTCATTCTCAACAATAAAGGCAAGGTTTTCAAAAGCTTTGTCAGAAAGCAGGAGTGCTGTAAGCCATTCTGGGGGAATGTGAAAGTGGGCTGCCACTGAATCACCAAGAACAATTATGCCAAGATATCCTGCATCTGGAAAAGAAACCAGTGCATATACATCTCATGGGACTTTCTAGAGTCAGACTAGCTTATTATTATGTACATCTACTGTATCTAATTACCTACATCATGTTTCTTTCTGCCAGACACTTTTTTTTCGGCAGCTTTAAAACATTTTCCCTTTTTCCCCCTTCAAGGCTGATCATAGTTGATAAACTAAAGTCTGAAAAGAATAGCTGAAGTTGACAACATCTTACTAACATAAAACCAGTCAAACTCTGAGTGTAAGAGCATTTAGGAAAAGTATTTCATGCTCGCACTTCTCAGACTGAGTCCACAAGGAGTTTTGTATGAGCTGACAAAACTACTAATTCTGAAACTTGCAAAGCATGACTTAAGACCTTGACAGTGTAAAGAGTGCAGTAATTGAAAGAATAACTCCTAATCGAGTAGGAATATGAAAAAGTAGTAAATAATCACCTCATAAAAATCAACAAACTGACAAAATTCCACAGCGCAAGTCGCCATAAGAAACTTAAAGAAGTGTACCTTTACATAACAATTCTTCAAAGGGCTTCCCAAAAACAGGATCCCTGCCATGAATTCCATTGCAGTTCGAGTCGAAAACCACATCCCCTTTTCTTGGCTTGGCACCAGGATGGTTAAGATGATTTATATCATCGCAATCTTTGCCCCTCCAAGACGACCCTCTCCATGCCTCCGTCAGGGCACTATAAGTATCGTTATCCAAATCAACCAGAGGAAAATCATTGGTGAAAACTTTGCGGAACAATTTACAAACTTCTCTAACACCCTCAAGAGTACAAGGATCGAAATTCGGCCCTTTAAAGTCATCAGGATTGGCTCTTTCGTAGGATAGTTTCGCTCCGATCTCCTTTCTCGCTCGAGTGATCCTCTCATGGAAGTCTTTTCTCGGTGGAAAGGCGTGACAGTACGGCTGACCTTTTTCCTGGTAGCACAGATCAACTGCATGGCAAATAACGTCAGCAGAAACCTCGGCTGTTATAAATTTTATGATTTTGGGAATGTAGTACTCCCCGAGCGAAAGACAGGCATTTCTGTAAAGTTCAGGTAAGACATTACACAATCGCTCGTACGAATCCACAAATGTTTCGTTGTGTACAATACTCAGCTGTTCTGTAAGAGCAACGACAGCGGTACAAGTAAGACAGCCGATTCCACCGTTGACTCCTTTCGGTAATCCGTACGCAGCTGGAGCAGGAAAAAGGATAACGAACGCAGTGATCACTGGAACAATCGTCAAGAAAGAAACAGCCATCGCGTAAGGTAAAGAGAAAATAACGAGCTGCTGTTCCTTCTGAGGCAATGCTAGTTCGTCATAGTAAGAAAATAGCACAGCTCTGCCTTTGCAGGCAAAGTTTGAGCTTGAGGATGTCCGGAAACTGAAAGGCGTTCTTGTTCTTAGCTATTCCGTCATCCACAATATCACGTGAGGCTTGGGGACAAATACAGAAGAGTGGGCTGGGCAGGGGCTGGGTAGGCTCGATGACCAGCCGCTGTTCGGGAATATGAGTCCGCGCTCCGACCGGAAACGAGAGAGCGGCAGAAGCTTACAGGCATACATGGCTGATATTTAGCGCGAATATGCGAAAAAAAAAGGAGTTAGAAAGTTAAATTAAAGTCGAGCCCAATTACATGCTTGTTTGAGAAGTGATAAATCATCATCTTAAGAAAGATGATTCGCTTGATTCCTCCTACACAGCTTGTAGTCTGCTGTTGCATATTGTCTCTAGCTTAGGAAAGAAGGCATTGTTTCTCTACAAGGGAGCCAATAAGTACCAAAAAGCTGATTTTTGTATATATTTGCCAGGTTCGATTTTTAGCCATTTCTCTTCGGGAGAGGAGTGCGGGCTTATTCTTCGTACAGTGGAATCGAGCCTGTTGCCTCTTTGCCTGTCTCTTTTGCCCGACACATTCAAGGCTACATCTAATTTTCATTTCGCGCCGCTACCACGCCCAGTTAAGTTGGCACTCCTATTGTGTAACGCATGAAACAGACTTTGCGACGCAAAAACTATCATTTTACTGTAGTTTGCGAGGCTACATATCTAAATTATACGTAAAAATGTAAGCGTGATAATTCATCATTATTCGTTTAGGTTTGAGTTTTTTCAAGAAGATTCTCAATCTTCATCAATAATGTCTGTTAAAAGAGGACGTATCGGTACATAACAAACTTTATTAACGTCCTTTGTAGCAAGTCAGCGGTTGTCCCCCGGCAAACGCTACTAACAAGCAACTACTATCAAATAATGACAAGATTGAATTATTGACTATACAATCTTAACGGCACATGAACACATTAGTTGCAAATCAACAGATCTAGCATTTTGTCGTGCCGTAAGAGAAATGTAAGTGAAAATTAACTTCATACTGGGGTGGGGCAGGGTAGTTACGTTATCCGAAAGTGTGCTGCATGCTTCATCCCCAAGCCCCTATGACTATCCCCCCTTCCCTACCCCCAACAACAACGTAGGGACGAGAAACATATGGGTGTTATACTGGCGTAATCATGACGAAATTATTACTTGGTTGATCATCGACAATCAAGGAATGACGCGTACTTTTATTCGAGAACCGCCTTTTTTTCGGATGGGAAAATTCGGCTGTTTTGCGGAAAATTGAATTCCTCTCCGGATGCGGGCCAAAACAATTGAAAATATTCTTCAGCCCGCAACGATAATTTTCACTGAAAATAAAGCAAATACAAGGATTTACAGCACAGTTTGCTTGACCCATAAATGATGCAATAAAATGATATTGCAACATGTTACACGAGGATGATTTAGTTATATCCCATACAAGGAGAGAGAGGACGTTGTAGATACTAAGTGGTATCCAACAGACTGCAAAGGCAATTACAATAGCAGCGGCCAGCTTGAGTACGTTTCGCTGTCTCTTAATGTACTGTTTCTTGGCCTTGATTGAATGTTCTCCTGGAGGCCTCTGAGACTTGAGCTTGACGAGTATGATCGAATACAGTATGATCATCAGGGCAAGGGGTATATAAAGGAATACAGCCAAAACAGCTAAGAAAAAGAATAAGGGATTTGAAGATTCCCCAAACGTGTCATTCCATTTTAGGGCACATATCAATTTCCCAGGGATTTCACTGACAAGTTTAACGGCGAACAAATACGGAGAAAAAATTGTAATTGCCACGATCCAACTGGCAAACACACTGAACAGGCAAAGCTTGGGAGAGATGAGTGGAGAGCGGAGAGGAATGACCACTGCTCCAAATCGATCCACGGTGATAAGAATTAGGCTTTGAACGGACACGGCAGTTGAAACATCGTGGATTAAGGGGACCAGTTTGCACATGGCCTGGCCAAACGTTCCACCAACAAGCCAGGAGTCAGTATAAAACTCTGTCACAATAACTGGAAATGCGAAAACTGGGAGCAAAATGTCGGAGATTGCCATGTTCACGATCAAAAAGTTGATTGTTTTCCTCATGGCTTTCGCCTTGTAAACAATAATCACAATGAAAGCATTTCCAGACAGCGAAACAAAAAAAATCAAGCTATAAGCTAATGTTTTACCAATGTTTTCAGCTGATAGGTCGGTTTTGGTAAAGCAACTTGGGGACTGCATCTCTGTGTCATTACTTTCAGAAGCGTTTGAGTATGGAGACATTTTCGAAATCCTTAACTGGCTCAAGGGATATTTATCTCACAAAGTTGTTGTTTTTCTGCTCTCTTTGTGGGCAAAAGGCTCTCTCTCGGTTGAGTGCTGCAGTGAAGTGTCTCTTAATGAAATATTGAATAATCTAATGACAATAACACCCCGCAGCCATTGGTTGAGTTGGTAAATTACTTGTGCTCAAGCAGGGTCAAAGCAAACATAATTTAGTGACTTCACTAACTGTAGTTTGTGCACCTGCTATTTTTTTGGCATTTTTCTCAAGTTCCAAGGCACCTGATTAAATTCTGTAACCGCTTATTACTATCCGTCAATCATTTAAAATACCGTTTCAAACACAGCCTGAGACACCGTTTGAAGAAGGTTTAAAGATAGCAGACCGCTTATTACTAAACCATTAACCTTCATTTCCTAAGAGTGATTCTAAGACTTTTTCATTTCCTCTCGGGGAGCAGCTTTCCTTTGCAATTTCTAAATGAACACCGGTAAACACAATCACCTGGTGCCATTTAATCAACTTACACTAATTCAAGATAAAAGCCATTCTCCGTTAAAATATAATTCGCTTCAGAGGTTAGGTTTGTCGTGAAACTCTGCAAGCACGTGGTAACCAGTTTCCTCACGATTTACTTGCCAGTGTTTTCAGTTTCCGCCAAGTTCATCAACAAGAGAGTAAAAATTGATCATTGTAGTTTTAGTACCGGCGATGAGCCAGGGCTGTTTACAATTCTCATTCTTGCAATTATATAATTAGATTGCACCTTTCCAAGTGTAAATTAATATTTCTAATTAAATCAACCTTGGGCCGGACTGCAGTTATCAATCTAATCACCAAATATCTCCAAGTGACAAGGAATCAACCAATCAGATGAAACCACAAGACGCGAATTTCTTTTGGTAGACCGTGGTGATTATTTTGCAGTCAGTTTTGAGACACATCGATGAGAAGGCGCTTTAACCAACTACATAACCAGATTTTTCAGTGGAGTATCTAATTCGTGAAAAATTCCGGCCACACTGGCTCGTTCCGCGTGATTAGCGATGGGAAAACTGGGAGAAACCAGAGTTATGAGCAATTCAGCATTCGGGCACAACATGCGAATACTGGCACATACTTAATACAAAAATTCAATGCCATAACCTACTACTGGTATGCCTTAATAAAGATCGCAAACACAGGCAGGGAGTGCACAGCTCGCTTACGCACAATATGCTAACAACACATCAATCAGTCCATTGAATATTTCGCAAGGATGAACCATACTTGGGGGATTGTCATCAAAATAAATGGCTCAGAGGATATGACGAAGTGTACACTTGTTTAATAAGGAATTTAATTACAATTTGCTTCTGCCACCGCAGTCAAAGTTTTCCCCGCTGATCATCATGGCTAAGCAGGCTCGGTCGGCTCAGAAAGATCCTTGAGTATATAGGAAGCGAGGGGAAGAGAAAAAGATCGTCTGTGCTGCCAGCTGCTGAATCCGACGACTTAGGTGCATAAGCGTCTATACACATTCGGGCTCGTCTCTTTCGAGGGGATAGAGGTTTGGGAAAGGAAAAGGATGGGGCGTTAAAATCAATGTAATAAAAGGGAGAGGGATAATGTCTTTTGAACGAGAGTGCCATGGGTGATGCAAGGTTTAAATAAACATAAAAACTAATTATCAGTCGGGATCCCAGCATGGTAAGTCAAAGTTCCGTGATACCAAACAGATTGGTTTTAGAAGCTTCCCACGTGACATTCTGTAAACTGAATTGGCTGTTCCTGCTGCTGACACTGGATTGGCTTCCAACCCGGCTACTACGCAAGCTCCTCCTCTGTAGATATTTTAAATAAATCCGTAGCATCTTTCATAAGATTGATACTCCTTAATAAAAGAGAAAAGTCCACATGGAAAAAAAAAAGGCGATGACAATCAATTCTTACATTCAAAACTGAATTTTTTTTAAATCCCGTTTGGAAAGTGTAAACATGAGTCAGTTCTATTCAAAGCATTTGCACAGAGATGTTAATATTAAAAATAAGAAACAAAAAATTTTTCACCCTATGAATGTCTTCGAAGAATGGCCGCTGCGTTGAGAAATTTCTTGGAATACTAAATCCATTGAACATTCTAAAATTCGCTTTTATTGTAGCAAAAAAAAATCCATTGCGTAATATTCCAATTAATTCATGATTGAAACTAAGATAAATGCTCTCTGTAAAATACTATGCGTATAACTGAAGCAGCACGCTCAGATAATTCGAATTCATTTCAAAGGAATTTCACTGAGTACTTCCAAAGCGTTTCCGAACCTGGTCAACTTAAATAACTGACGCTGATAAAAATTCAATGAAGGACTATATCCTCGCAAAATCTTGCATTCCTTGCAGATAAAAATTTCATCAATTTACGGTACGTCCGAGATACTTCTGTATGCGAGAAACATTCAGATTAAGAAATTTGAACGCATAAACTAATCCTCAATTATTAATAAACTATGCAAATGTAAAAAAAGCTATTGTCTAGTCCGTCGTAAAATTGTCTGGCCACCTGAGAAAACTGAGTAAACAAAGCCTTAATAAAATGACTCGTCTCAGATTTAACTCGCATTTGGCGAACTTTTGGCGACCAGTGATCAAATCAAATAACACCCAAACAAACAATTTTAGCTACCGATTTTCAATGAATTCTTAAAGAACAATTTTCTTTTAAGTTTCAAGACAACTTGAAGATTCAAAATAAATATTACGTACTAAAATGCGAAAGTCATACACCACAAAATTGATAAATAGGCCTGAAATGAAATTCTATCTTGTTCTTGAGTATACGTTGCCTAGCACGTGACTAAAATCTACCCAGGCGGAGATCCAAAATGACGGTGGCAGTCTTGGCTTAGTTATATCACTCAAAACTCGTTCCCGTTTGGTCTCATTTGATAAAGAGGGAATCATTAATGTTTTCATTATGACAGTACTGCCTTGATTTTCCAACATTTACAATGATAGACAGTAAATTTCACTTTTCATCCTCATTTACTTCCAACCTTTTCTTTTGAACCAGAAACAAAAATGATATACTTTAAAACACATGACATCATCCACCCTTGTCAAATGTAATAGCATGATCACTTCAGTTGTAATGCCTTCTTATCCCAACGTTACTTTATTTCTTTGCTACATTAGCGAACACTGAACTACTGCTCGTACTCTAGATATGAAAATCAACCACAAAATTCCCTAAACCAGATAACATTAAACATAATCCAAAAAATCATGTGTCAATTCACGAGTTTGCTCACAGAGCACTTTGATTTGCTTTTGTGTTAAGACAATAATACTCAATTGGGGTCAATCATCGAGTACAATACACGTTTAGGATCAGGAAGGAATGCCTACACACTGCTGCGTTCCAGAATGTTATGATTTGAAGGAAACCATCACAAACAAAAACAAAAGAATTGAAGAATTAGAGCAGGAAATCAATGACACTAAATTACGATTAGAAAGTGCTCAGCGGCAAATCACAAACCTTACAAAGAAACAGTTTGTGCTTGAGAACTTGAACGCTAAGAAAAATACAGCAGCTTTTTACACTGGTTTTGATAACTGGGATGTTTTTGAGGCGGTGTACAATTAACTTAATCCCTGAGAGCGGGGAGAAAACATTGCCTACTGGCGTTCTGGAAATGTTGAAGTCCCTGCTGATTACGACCAGAGGACTCTTTCAAGAAAAAAGGAAGAGCTACATCTTTAAGGCCAATGGACGAATTTTTTCTTGTAATATGCAGATTAAGACAAGGGTTTCATGAAGATTATCGTGCTCACTTGTTTAACGTGTCAACACCAACTGTAAGTCGGATAGTCATAATATGGATCACTGTTTCATGTACTTTAAGTTTGGTCACATTGACATTTAGCCTTCAAGGGAGGTGAGAGACAGAACAATGCCTGAAGCACTCAAGAATAAATATGAGAGTACTCGTGTGATAATTGATTGTACGGAAGTAAGGTGCCAGATGCCAAGTAGCTTACAATTGAGTGGAGAGCTCTTCAGCAGCTATAAACACTACACCACTATTGACCTTCATTTCCTAAAAATGATTCGAAGACTTTTTCATTTCCACTCGATCTGGGAGCAGCTTTCCTATGTAATTTCTAAATGAACACCGGTAAACACAATCACCAGGTGCCAGCTAATCAACTTACGCTACTTCAAGATAAAAGCCGTTCTCCGTAATAATATAATTTGTTTCAAAGTTTAGGTTTGCTATGAAACTCTGCAAGTACGTGGTAATCACGATGTATTGGCCAGTACTTTCAGTTTCCGCCATGTTCATCAACTACAGAGTTAAAATTGATTATTGTAGTTTTGGAGCCGGCAAAGAGCCAGGGCTGTTTACAGTTCTCATTCTTGCAATTATATAATTAGATTGCCCCTTTCCAAGAGTGCACCACTTGAGTAAATTAATAGTTCTGATGAAATCAACCTTGGGCAGGACTGCAATTATCAGTCTAGTCACCAAATATCTCCCAGTGACCGGTTAACTCGTGCAACTTTCTCAATCATTCAGATGAAACCATAAGACGCGAATTTCTTTTGATTGGCCGTGGTGATTATTTTGCAGTCAGTTTTGAGACACGTCGATAAGAAGGCACTTTAACAAACTGCAAAACCAGATTTTTTCGGTGGAGTATCTAATTCGTGAACAATCCTAGCCACACTGGCTCGTTCCGCGTGATCAGTGATGGGAAAACTGGGAGAAACCAAAGTTATGAACAGTCCAGCATTCGGGCCTAACATGCGAATACTAGCACACACTTGATACATAAATTCAACGCCACAATCTACTACCGGTATGCCTTAATGAAGATCGCAAACACAGGCAGGGAGTGCACAGCTCGCTTACGTACAATATATTTACAACACTTCACTCAGTCCATTGAATATTTCGCAAGGATGAACCATGCTAAGGAAATTGTAATCAAAATAAATGGCTCAGAAGACATGATGAAGTATACACTTGTTTAATGAGGAGTTTGATTACAATTTGCTTCTGCCACCGCAGTCAAATTTTTCCCCGCTGATCATCATGGTTAAGGAGGCACGGTCGGCTCAGAAAGATCCTTGAGTATTTAAGAAGCGAGGGGAAAAGAAAACGATCGTCTGCGCTGCCTGTTGCTGAATTCGACCACTTAAGTGCTTAAGCGTCCATACACATTTGGGCTCGTCTCTTTCGAGGGGGTAAAGGTTTGGAAGGGAAATGGATAGGGCGTTAAAATCAATGTAATAAAAGAAAGAGGGATAATTTCTTTGTACGGAAGTGCCATGGGTGATGCAAGGTTTAAATAAACATTAAAAACTAATTATCTGTCGAGATCCCAGCATGGTAAGTCAAAGTTCCGTGATACCAAACAGATTGGTTTTAGAAGCTTCCCACGTGACATTCTGTAAACTGAACTGGCTGTTCCTGCTGCTGACACTGGTTTGGCTTCCAGCCCGGCTACTACGCAAGCTCCTCCTCTGTAACGAAATAAAGAGCATTCGTAAAAACTAGGGGAAAAAATGAAGAAAGCAGCCTTATAATAACATGACTCCGCAATTTAGGCGAGAACCTAATATATTCAAGTACAGATCAAATTACTAATACGTCGAAAGGCGTCAACGACCCATTAAAGCTTTCGTTTTAGGCAAAGCCAGATTGGTCAGTCAGAAAATCAAAACAGAAACTATTCACAACGAACCATACCATCAGGAAAACCATCAGTTAGAAGGTAAGAAATGAGAGTTAGACATTACAGAAAGCATGAGCCGCTAGTTGTGTGGTGCGTGGCGAGTGGAAGGTTGTTAACTACATGCACAGAAGTGTAGAGAGTTTCATTGAAATGTCACTTGCCTTTATCTTCTACAGTGTTTCCAATGCTTATGGTGCCAACAGGAGGTTAGGCGTGCAAAGATATGGTACCACTGTGCATGCGTCCAGTAGTCTGTCAAGACACTCAACTCCAAAAGTGCAATAGTTTACAGAGTCAGTTCTTTAGACACGTGGGACAAATTTAGGATAACTAATTGGTTCATGGCGAGAGATCAAAACATTAAGATTCGTAGGCTCTCTGAGACTCCACATGCATTGTTTAAGGAATGAAATCGCGTCACTAATGATTCTAGGAAATGTTATATGCGCACAAAAGTGTTAGATTGGAAAGTTGCTGATGCGGAAATTAGCTGTGTTACTTGGCAGAAGTCATGGAATTTTCTTCAGAGAATATTAGGCTACTTAAGCCAACGCATGTGCTTGCTAAGAGGAGCAGCATTGGTTTACTGTAAAGAAAGCTAAGAAGCTGTGGTGCTATGAGGTTTTTAGTTATCCGGAGATATTTAAAGTAAATCCGTAGCATCTTTCATAAGATTATACTCCTTAAAAAAAGAGAAAAGTTCACAAAGGAAAAAAAAAAAAAGGTGATGACAATCAATTCTTACATTCAAAACTGAAAATTATTTAATCCCGTTTAGAAAGTGTAAACATGAGTGACAAGTCAGTTCTATTCAAGGCATTCGCACAGAGATGTTAATATTAAAAATAGGAAACCAAAAGTTTTTCACACAATGAATGACTTCGAAGAATGGCTGCTGCGTAGAGAAATTTCTTGGAATACTAAATCCATTCTAAAATTCTAAAATTCGCTTTTATTGTAGCAAAAAAAAGTCCATTGCGTAATATTCCAATTAATTCATGATTGAAACTAAAATAAATGCTCTCTGTAAAATACTATGCGTATAACTGAAGCAGTACGCTCAGATAATTCGAATTCATTTCAAAGGAATTTCACTGAGTACTTCCAAAGCGTTTCCGAACCTGGTCAACTTAAATAACTGACGCTGATAAAAATTCACCGAAAGACTATATCCTCGCAAAATCTTGCATTCCTTGCAGCTAAAAATTTCGTCAATTTACTGTACGTCCAAGATACTTCTGTATGCTAAAAATATTCAGATTAAGAAATTTGAACGCATAAACTAATCCTCAATTATTAATAAACTATGCAAATGTAAAACAAGCAGTTGTCTATTCCATCGTAAAATTGTAACCTGGCCACCTGAGAAAACTGAGTAAACAAGGCCTTAATAAAATGACTCGTCTCAGATTTAACGCACATTTGGCGAACTTTTGGAAAGAAAAAGAAAGTCATAAGATGATACATACAAAAGACAGCTGATGTCTTCACATCTGTTGACAATTTAATACATATTGCCGACTTTGATTGTTCAAGGCCATGCCTTTGATTATATTCTTACAAATGAAGCCTCTATTACCCATTAACGCGAAGCGCTTACGCGACCTTAATTGCTAATCCCCTGTTGGCCCCATAATTCCAAACCTACGAAACTCTCTAGGGTCACCTGAACTTCCCTATTGGCTCCTTACCTATTAACTCCCAAGACATGATTGGTAACTCGCCCCTCTAGTGACCATTCATTTCCTTACAAATCAGTGGAGAGAATTTGGTGTTTTGTCAGGGTAACAACCCCCAGCTGATCATTTCGTCTATTCTCTTCACTTATTCACTGGATAATGCATTAAGGAGTTAATACTGAACCTTTCCTACCTTAATTGTGTACACGGACATGGAACTCGATTGAATTAAGAACCATCGATGTTATCTACTGAGTAATGAGCACGTGACGAGCCTCATTCACAGAAGCAGAATAAAATATCGCCTGTCCCTGTTAAGCTAGCTTAAACTAAAGTTAAAGTGACCTGGTGTTCGTTTGAGTGATGTTTCCAAACAGGTGAGCCGCCGGGCCTGGAAGCCATCACAAGCGCATCCACGTCTCCATTGATTGGCCTAAATGTTGACATCGAGTTGTAAGAACCTTCGGTGGTTCTTCGTCTCCGCATGCTGCCGTCCGTAACGCTGTCGGAAGAGGGGAGAACGCTCTCGGAATGATACACTATTCGTCCATCTGGTGGTTTGTACCGTGAGATCTCCACCTCGTGTCCATCGCTCTTCCGATGATCTAACCATCGAGGGTCGTCGTGCGTTGTGCGCTGATTATTCAAGTCTCCTCGGTAACTCGAAGGTAGTTGAGGGTGTCGCTTGATTTCTATTATCGTTGATACCGATGCTTCACTTCGGTATTCCGTCGGAGTACCGGGAAATGTCGAAACAGACGTCTCGCTACGATTCATATTAGATGGAGGTGAATGCGACAAATTCGTCGGAACGCCACGAAGAGGTGATATTTCCGGTGAGACTGGCGAAGGAGGCCTGTCCATGGGTACGCGGATAATTTTGTCTTTCTCTTTGTTCTTGCGTGCACGCGCAGATGCTGTTTGATAGACGCCTCGTTTTAATGAAGCACCCGGTGGGAGAGACGGGAACTCCGCCCTGGAGGGCGCAGGTGGAGTGTCCAATCCCAAACGTTTCAAGTCGAACATCGCAGCCTGGAGCAACTCGATTACTTCATCGTCGTCGTAGTGATATGCATGCATTTTCTCTTGTAAGAACTGAACGACGTCCTCGAGGCCCATCTTTATGAAGATTTCTGTGAAGAAACAAAGCGGAACAGCCCTTATCATACACTGGACCTATTAAGAGTAGGCCTCATTGTCAGCACTTTCACACGAGCCTCTTTTTACCTACGGGAGTGTATGATGCCTTCAGCAACACCAGCAGCAGAAGCAAGCCAGAGGTCTGCAAAGGGTCTAGCAAAAATGAGGCCCCCAGGCCCCCTGCAAACCTCTCCTCGACTCGTCTCAAATCTTACCGTGAGCGGAGAAACGCGCGTTCTGCAGCGCTAATGATAAGGACTTCTCACAGGCTACGAATAATTTGGACCAGAAATCCTGTGAGTAGAAAGACTACAGCCGAGTTGATAAGAGCATCGCAGCAGGATCGCAAGATCAAAGGTTCAAATCCCGTTGAACTCATTTATTTATTGAAAGTTGTTCCAACACTATTCAAATCTACATCAGCAAGTGTCACTTCATGTACGCGCACAAACTATGAATTCAATAAGTTAAATCACTAGTTTCAAGAATTAGCGGTTACACTCAAGAAACAGCTACATGTACTCATCTTCTGACCAAACTAAAAGTGCAGCACACATTGTATATGTTGTGAGTATCCATTGCAGTACAAAATGGTAGTCAGGGTTCCAATAATTTACCACGTTAAATAGCGATGGAGGCCATATAAGTGATCAAACAGTCACGATCTTCAAAGTTTTTCCACCCGCCAACAAATTACTCAATGAAAAACTTGGTTTGTAAGTCTGGTCATCTAAAATCAATTTAGACAGACTCGCTAGTCGGTCGATAAGTCAGACAGCTAGACAGCAAGTAACTGGATGCATCCAGCATTACACGTAGGTACAACTCAATCCACTCAATCAAAGCGGAGCTCGCAGAGCGTAGCCCCATAATTATACAAAATAGTAGTAACCCATCGGGCCGAAAAAATTTGGATGCACGACCGTACAAGGTGCTACTTTTAACATGCGTGGTCAACTGTACTGCGGGCACGCCAACGCCACGGCTTTGTTCAGTAGTCCAGTGGTCAGTGCACCGGGCTCCGAGTCGGACGACCCGGGTTCTAGGCGAGACGTGCGGGAAAAAAAAATGCGAGCTCCGCTTTTAGGCTTGGCTAAATCTATATATTATTAACTTACTTCTGTGCATTTTCATGATGTTGTAGGCCATAGCAGTCAACAGTCGGTCCCCTTCCAACATGAATATGTCCCACAATCTAAGTGTTAATGTAAATGGCACCTAGAAATTCACGTAAAAGAACTCTTTAATTATATAACAGTTTTCTCCTTTCAGCATGACATTTTCGCAGCGCAAAAAACTTTGATGGCAAATGAAACAACATTAAGTCTGAGCCCAAGAGTATACAAAATGAGTCTAATCTCAACTGTAATTTCTGAGGATATTTTCAGTTCTTTGGAATGCACCATAACAAACAAGTCTTCTTAAATCAAAAATACTGATTGATGCCTTAAATCCCAAGACAGCACTCCTAACAGACTGCAACCAAATGCATAATGCTTTAATCTAGTAAAAAAAATCCCCTTAGCATCATAAAACTTATTACTAAAAACTACTTGCAAATAATTTATATTATTGATCTTCATTTATAATTTCTACCACAAACTTTACAGTTCATCATTCATAGGTAGAAGTAATTCTCTTTGTACAAAGTACAACATTCAATCTCAGGAAATCTCCATTTTTTTTGGCTACATATACATGTAATAGCACTACGGCATACCCTGTCCAGAAAGCACTGCATAAACCATTTCAGAGTATAAAGAGTTGAATAACAACCTTCTTTTTCCTAGAGAAAAGAGCAAAGTTAGTACGAGCAACAGTAAATCAAACCTGAAAAAACAAAGAAAATTGAACACTCAAGAAAGAGGTACTCTGGTAACTATTACATACAGTGTTCTAACACTCTAATTTCCCCTAATAGTAATTTCTCCTGTTAAGAACCAAAATTCTCATCAAAAGAGTAATTTTATTGTGATTATTTTAAGAAGAATTGAAGTTCTTGCAAAAAGATTGAATAGAAGAGAATTATTCTGGTAAGAATGCACTACATCTGAATATCTCAAGAAGAATCTCTATGTCAGGAACTCTTGCCACAAGAACTGGGAATTATTTTCTTAAGAACAAGAATTCTTTCTAGAAGGCTAAAAAATAGAGAGTTCTTCTGGAAAGAATGGTTAACCCTTTAACTCCCACGAGTGACCCGGAAAGAATTTATCCTTACAATACAAATACAATGTCAAGCAGATAAGTGATATGCACAAAGAAAAATATCAATTTGGGGATAATTAGTTGATCCAATACTAAATTCTCCAAACTAATATTATAAGAATTGTATGATTGACCATAAGGAGAATTACAAATTTGATCTGGGAGTTAAAGGGTTAATTGCACATCTTATGAATAGAATTGCAATTTTAGAAACTCTTGCTGTCAGAAACAAGAATTCTTTTCTCAACTAAAAAAGAATTCCTTTTGGCAGGCAATGAAGCAGAAAGTTCTTCTGGAAAGAAAGTTTAATTGCAAATCTTACAAACAGAATCGCAATTTCAGAAACTCTTGCCACAAGAATCAGGAATTCTTCTTCTCAAGAACAAGAATTCTTAAAAACCCCACTGGTGCATCACCAATCATCAATGCACATGTAGCTTACAGTGACAAGTATGATGACAAGTACATGTACCAGAGTTATCATCAGTAAACTAAATGAAGATATTACCTAGACTTTAAAAGACCCTGATGAAAATTGGGAAATGTACCTAGGCATTGCTTTTAATATCAAAATATACAGTACTTCAGAATTTCTTACTAATGAGTACAATGAACATATGCCACTCGCCTAATTAAGATAAGAACTTACCAAATTCTTGTGAAGTCTTGACAAAAGTTTCCTTAAAATCTTATCATGGTGCTCTTGAAATCTTATCAGCTTTGGAAAGCCAGGTACAAAAAAACCTTACATAGGAAAAAATATAACAATACATACTTTACAACAATAGTAGGAGATACAATTCCCACCAATTACTTATGCAGCACTCAAAAAGACAGCAACACAAAGAGCAATTAACATTTAAAACATGCGGTCAGTTTAAATAATGCCAATATCATATTGTGCCTGATGTATGAAAATCAAAATGAAACACAGTTTTCCTATGAACCCTTTCACCCCAGGATCCAATAAAGACATGTCATTCTCGCTGCTGACTGTTATGAATTTCCTTGTAAATTAGACAGGCCTTCTAATTTCAATCAAAATAAGATGGGAGTTGAAGGGTCAACAGGCCTCCACATTATAGAGGTACCCTTATCTAGACTTAAAAATTCTATGTAGCTGCACTGTATGGTGCTTACAACATTGTACATCTATTTAGTAAATGAATTTAACTTCTTAGGACCTCCTCTACTCCCTTCCTTCAATGTTACAAATGTTATAAATGTTACAATGTTACAAACATAAATGTAGTTCCTCCCCCCCCCCCAAAAAAAAAAAAAAAAAACAATTGGCAAGGGAGTTAGGATGTGTGAGGACTACCCACCATGCATGGCATGTTTCTTGTCAGTGAGGAGTGCAGACAATGCCCAAAAAGCATCCTAAAAGAAAGACAAAAATGAATTATAAAACAGAGTTGGATCTTTCCTTTAAAAGTGTTACCTCCATCTAAAAAGCACTTTTACCAACAAAAACTACCGTTGAATAATAAACTAAAAGCTTTTGGCCACATTGCTTCACCTACTTACAAAAAGCATTTCTAGATTGATCATTTCACAAGTACACCACTTGCTGCATAATTTAACCTAAAGCACTAGGGCTCAAGTTTGTATAATGTATATGACAAGCACCCAATAAAGAAAGTAAGGGCACTTACCTCTTCATTAAGATACATTAACAGCAAGGCGGCTATCCCACTCATGCCTTGACAGTAGCCTACCTCCTATCACACCAGAAGTACATGTAATCAATCATTGGTTTGTACAATGAACAAAACTGATTGATGCCAAAAATTCTAAGTTTCCAGTGTTTGTTCCTACATTTGGTGGCTTTTTTTGTTATTGTCAAAGACTATTAGTGGATGTTGAGGTAACATATCAGGGCGTGAAACTGTACCTAATACAGGCTAATTTGGCAACCAAATCCTGAAAATTAGTCACCAAATTGATGACAAGATTGTTTCATAATAACCTTACTCAGAAATAAAGTGAATTAAAAAGATTTGCAAAGAAAAATCCATAGCAAACTTCCCTGTTAAGTTTGTTTCCAAAACGCTGCACAAGCCAGGTCAATCGCTCTGACGAAGGGCTAACGCTCAAAACGTCAGCTTTTTTACCCTTTACGGTGGCTAATTTACGTTTTCAACCCAGTTGTTAACTCTAAATTACCTGCTATACTCTCCCACCGACGCAGCACCACAGTTTCTTTAGAAACTTACCCCTTTATCCATCTTGGATTTACGTGAGCTTAAATGTTATATATCATCCATCCTAGTGTCCACTTTGTAGCACATGAAAGATCTCTTTCCTAACTTAATTTTTGAGGGTCTATCTAGAAGGCTGACAGCGTAAAAAAAGGGTTTTGTTTGTCTTTAAAAATGGCGACTAACTTTTTTTGAATTGGTTACCACTTTGAAGAATTTAGGAGCCAAGTGGCTATCAGAAAAAAAATTAATTTCACGCCCTGCATTTTCCAAATTTACTTAAAATAAGAAAAACCAGATAATCAGACATTGGTCCGAATTAAAGACATAAGAACAATTTGATGCTTGGAACTTCTAATGATTGTTTCAGGTTATTTGAAATTCCTTGAAAACCATTCTACAATACACCTAAGCTTACCACATTGTACATGGAATATGCTGCAAGAACATGGAACAATGCTTGCTGTCTATAAGATGAAAAAGTAAGCGCAAACATTAATTATATGCAGTTAAAATTGAATGGAGAGACGAAACAGAACATTTTTATGACAGTTCTGTACTCTAACCATTGTTACATGAACATGGATTATATAAAATCCTTATGGCAACATGTGCTTAAATGTTCTTACTTGATTCCATATCTTTCCCTAAACATGATGTGATCTCTATATGTTCTGTTGACATCTAAGTCAATCTGCCGAATGTCTGGAGACTGATTTCTGGCAATCCTTTTCATGGACTAGAAAAAAATATAAATTCATCATTATCATGACAATGCAAAAAATCCACAGGTGGTGAAAATACCCTTAAAACTGGTGCTACATCCACAAATAACTGGAAACATAAAATAATACATATTTACTGTTGATTCATGTACCTCGTAGACAGTGCTCCTGTTTGGAACATTTTCAACTTGGAGGAGTTTTTTCCAGGTTTCTCCTCTCATAGAATTTGGAATTCCTTTGTAGATACGTCTCCTTAGCTGAAAAACATTTACTGACAAGTTAAATATAAGAGTATTTACAAATAAAACGGAAAAAAGTTACATATGTAAGATCTGTGAATAACATAACAAAAGACTTTCTGAGGGCAGGCATTTTAACTACAAAACACAGACCTTTTGTTGTCATCAACTGGAATATCAATAAATAAATTTCTGCCCATCATGAAATGATTGTTTAAGAGGATAGACAATATAGTATGCCACAGAGATGTTGCCCATTATTAAAAGTGTTAATAGACATTTATTATTATCAATTGACAAAAATAGTCAGTAACAAGGTAAAAGGAAAAAGGTAATTAGCAAGGAAAAAAATTAAATTTATCTATTTAGTTCAATCAACTATCACAGCTAGCAATTATTTATATATATGTGGCTTCTTAATGGGATAGTTCTAAAGCATGGCAAAAGTATATTTCTAAGGCTCAATCTTAAGTAAATAATACAGCAGCAATCAATCTTTTACCTTTTCTCCATGTATGTATTTGTCCCAGTTCTTTGTCATCTTGACCCATTTTTGGACCCTCTCGCGTTCTAATGCTATAAGCTATCAAAGAATACATGTATCATAAATTAATTGCAGGTTTTTAAAAAAGATAAATAATTTCACTTGTATATTGTACAAGATATAATGCCTTACTGTGCCACAAAGGTGGCAAATAATATGTTCTTTCGCACAGGTTCAGTACTCATGACTAACTCTTGGTTCCTACTTCATCAAAGATTCTACAAAAAATTCATGAAAAACAAAATGGTGACTCCAAAAGCCTTTGGTTCATCTAGGGTAATGCAGCACACAACCACAAGGTGACAGGCCACCAGGCATTTATGTCCAGTCCAAATTCCTTCTAAATAAAGTAGAAGGCACTGGGTAATTTTAGACAACACATCTACTCAATGTAACTCTTATGTGACACGCAAACACTGAGTGTGTGCCTCTTTAATATTGTGAGTACCTTATCGTCTCGACCTTCTGGTTGGTCATTTCTGCTGCAATATAAATGAATTTTTAAAAATCAAATAATGACAAAACAGTAAGAAGAATATACACAAAATACAGATGTGAATTATGCATAATTATTACATTGCACATACTCTTAATAGCCTGTCACCCAAATTCACATAAATTGTAAGTCTTAATACCCAGCATGTCTTAATACACTGTACCATGTAGGTGTTTTCTGAAATAGCAATAATACCAACATTTCCAAAGCAACCAAGTTTGCCACACCTTAGATCAACCTTTTAACAAACAATAATTTTATTGTCCATATGTATGCACCTCATTTTACTAAATTTAAATCATATAATAAATTTGGGGTTAGGATATGTTACAACAAAAAAAAATTCAAAGAGTACATGTGCTTAAACACTTACTGAAGAAATCCATATCTATCAGTTATTTTGTACACAAAGAAGTTTGCATCCTCCCAGTCATCAATTTCAGCATTTTCATCATAACCCTAAAATTGAAGAGTGACAATAATTAATTTTTCAGTCTTTTTATCAATACTACATTTACATGTAGTACTTTTAGAGAGCCAAGAAACCAGAGTACTTTGAAAAAAAAACTGTATCATACAAGGCCACAAAATAACAAAAAAAATACTCAGATATTTCTTTAACCAGTTAAATCCCAAAAGTGATTCACACATAACTTCTCCTTGTAATATTAATACATTATCCAGCAAACAAGTGATGAAAATATTCAAACTTATTAACAAAGAGTTCTTTAAGTTCTTAAGGAAATATCTAGCAGCTAGAGGTGAGTTCGAATTAATAATCATATCGTGTGAGTTTAAGGGTTAAGAATCTGAAACGGACACTGGATGTTGCATCATTTTCACTTTAAGAAAAGATTAAAATCAGAGAATACATTAATGTAATTTACATACATGAATAAGTAGTCATTTACAATTCTTGTATTTGAATATCTTATTTTCATTGCTCCTTCTCTTTCAAGCAACAATTCCATAGATTGGAAAACCATGTTGCATAGTTAAAGTTCAATTCATCACTACAAAGTTACATTCTATAATGCGACACAGCTGTATTTTAGATTTCAGGACAACTTACTCTGTCATACTTTGCCACAATATGATTTCTTGTTTTCTCGTAGTCTTCATCTATCTCAGATGAAAAGCCTGAAAATAAAAGTAGATGGTTAAAAGCTATACAAGAAAATTGAGCTATTTACTGGGTTAAAATATCTAAAAAGTAAAAATCATATGTTTTCACCTCTGGGTCAATCATCAGGGTAAAATTTCCCATTATTTATACTGATGATGACCTTGTGTCAAAATTGTTTGGTTTCTTTTTAAAATATTTTAGCCTTGTAAATAGCTCATTTTTTAAACCTAAGTAAAATTCAAGAACAAAAAGCTATATATTAGTAAACCCTCACCAATCTTCCAAACTTCTACTAACATACCGGCTATTTAAAAAGGGTGTCCAAAATCAAGTTGGAAATAGAATTGTTTTTATTTTTAGATGATTGTGATTGATGAGATATAACCAAACTACATGTATTACTTGTGAAATGCACAATGGCGCATCTTTCCATGCAAATGTACACAGTTGTAATCACTGAGTCCAGTTATTTAAACAAAGTTTAGCCATTATTGAACAAAACTGCATTCTAAGACATCTCCAATTATTTTAACCACACCTTTCATCTAAACATTTATTTTTGTGAACAGTATCAAGAGGGATGGAAACTAATAGTGGAAGGTCATTTAATTAATTAAATCAACCCTCATAGAGAGAATCTCTGAGACCCACTGCTTGCATAAAACCACTTCTTGGGTTAGACCTCATGTCAATAACCAGCCCTGAATCTCTAAGTAACTTTTTGTTGTTTGAGTTTCATTTTTCAATGGACCATCAGCATCGTAGTTTCAGATCTTACAGTTACTATCAACTGAAGGCAATGTTTACTGAGATACACACCATGTTAATAATGTTTCTATCTCTATAGTTCAATTAATTTAGATGTGCATGTTCTTTCAAATAGGGTCCAGTTCTAATTTAGTCAACAACCTTGACAAAGTGCAGATTTGTGCAAATGAAAATAACTTCTTGTTTATTCAGTAATCAAAAATCAAATTAACTCATTTTTAAAGAAAACACCCAGTAACATTGCATTACTACTGGTAATTGTGCTGTGTGCAGCTGCACACAAAAAATATATTTTAGATAGGTAACTTTTGTTCCTTCATCTTAAAAAAATTATAAATTCTGAACAAATTTCACTCTTCACACAAACAGAATCATGAAGTTTCTAGTTAATTCTGTGTCATCACTATATTGGCTTTTTTTGCTGTTTTGTAAGCCTAGTACTAGGATTCTCAGTAAGATGCTTTAAGAGTGGATGGATGAGAAGTATAAGACAAGCAAAGGCCCATTTTGTACTGTTCCTAGCACTTTGACTAGGTTTGATAAATTTCGTTTCTTATCAACAGATTTATCAAGAATTGTGCACACCTGGATTGATAAATTTTTTGGATTCTAGTGCCATTGCATTGCCCCCAGTGATATTAGCCTTAGGTAGTAAACAATAGCAGAGATTTTGTTTAACATTTTTCAGTTATCTTAATAGTGTTCTTGTATAGCAGCTAATTGTAGCGATGACTTCATCTAGAAGATTGAAAGAAGAACGAAAGACTTCAACGAGAAAAAAATATTCAGAAAGGAAAATTTGTCGTTGCATTTCAATAACAATACTAAATGTAAACGTAGTCCGTGATTAGACGTTTGACTGAACTGCATATCACCACTCATTGCTTACAACTTCTTGAGAAAACATAAATAGGATTATTGCTTTCACGCGTTGAAAGCAGTCACCCTTATCGCCCTGTGAAACCAAATCGTCCGATATCAGACGAGCCTCTACTTAACTCAACTGCATGAGAACTCAATTAAATCAAATTGTTAGGAGGTATTTCGAAGTCAAAAAGGCAACTGGAAGAGACTCGATGAAAGAACGTCAAAAACAATAAAGTATTCTCTCGTCAACTTAAATTGTATCATCCTAAACTTGTCGACTACATGGGCGAAATTGAAAGGAGCTTTGTGCTGTTCGGAAGTAAGAAAACGTTCAAAAGCTGAAAGGTTTCGATTTGTATTCACGTGGACATCCTCTATGAAGAGTTTCTCAAGTACAAGCGGCACGACATGAGGACTGTTTACATTGATTTTCCCCAGCTAACAACCCGTGACGCAAGTCGAATGAATCTATCGCGCAGATTTATGTAATATATTGTCACTACCGAAGGATTAACACGAGAGCTGTGATAATATTCGAGACAGAATTCCATGCATGTTATTTTGCCAGGCAATCATGCCGCCTTCGACTGAAGGAAACAAAAGACTCCGCTTGTATTTGCTCACTTATTTCTGGCAACTTAAAATTTGAGAAAAAGACCACTGGTACGAGAAACGACTAGCACTGTCGCGCTAAAAACTTCAGCGTTACGAAATGCTAGACAACGACGATCTCTTCTTCCGCCTCAAGGCTTGAAGACACGAGAATCACGGTGAATAGATATAAAGGAAAGACGATTCGGAAAAAAAATAAGTGCACAACTAACTCATGAACTTACTCATTTTGTCGCTCGATGGCTGTGTTCACAAAACAAAAATATTTCTGTAGCGACGAAGCGGGTATAAGCACACAAATCTGTTCATAAGGTTGCTGTTTATGGGTTGATCAGCCAGTTTCCTGTATAATGTAGAACGTAGAAGGGAGTTGTACTGCGACAGTCTCAACACCAAAAGGAAATTATCCGCGAATTTGCCGCAGTCACCGATTTAAAACTTGCTGTACTCCTGGTATTGTATGTCGAATTGATTCCCTTGATATATGGAGCATTTTTGGACTACCAAACTTGTCTACGAGTTATAATTCAGCGAGAAACCTCCCCCTCGTTCGCCATAAATTTCAATGTATTTGCATTGCAAGTGCATCCCGCAAGAATGAGCTGCGCATGACATTAAGGTGGCCTCGTTCTCGAACACATGAGTGCTCGTAACCAGTACCTCACAAGTAACAACATGTCACTTAAAATTATGGTAAAGAAAAGTAATTTACACTTTGCAGTCGAAGCATGGATTTCAAACTTAACTCAGGGATTTTTATCATTCATAAAGTTTTTGAGCTAAGTGCTGGGCAGAAGGGGTTATGCCTACCCGTTTTTTGTAATGTTTGCCCACAAAAAAACAACAACAACAACAATACCAACGATCAAGCGATCAAGCATAAAAAAACAAAATGATTCAGTTTAAAATAGTCTTTCCTAGTAAATATGTAAGAATATTGTTAGTATGCTGCGAGGCTGCGATATCGCTTAGATCAGTGTCTCGGCTCTTTTCTAATTCTAGATCTGAAAGGTTAATGATACATTTAATAAACACAGCCCCGTCACTGAGCAATACAAAAGATTTCTGAGTGTTTGAACGAGTGAAGCATTGTCAGTTGAAGTCTAAATGGCGTCTGGTGCAATCCCTGAACTAAACAGTTGGTATCTTTACCCATGAAATGAAGAATATGTGACGATAAACGTACTAACTAAAGAATGGCCTCTGTAGGTTAAGCGGGTTACCCTGTCTGTCAACTCAGTCACTCCAAGCCAGCACTCATTCAGTGTGGCAGGAAAACTCACTTCCCTATCTATCAATAGAAAGAAAATAAGTCACTTCTTTCTTCTTTGTGAGTTTTGATCTGGCCTGTCAAGTCAATAAACTTCCCTATGTTTCTAAAATCGCTTCCCCTCTGAAGATATCAGCCATGACTGAAAATCGAAAATACCATACTAGCCGTACGCCTCTCGGTTAAAACGAAACTGAAAAAATGAATGATGTCAACGTTTAGTCTTCTTTCACGATCAAAATGTGCATATGAAGGATATAAAAGCGCTTTTCTCCTATTTACGCACCAATTAATCTACATTAGGCATTATAGAGCTCCAAATGTGTCGCAAAAAGAAATCTGAAATTCCTCACACCTAGACATGGATGATTGATTTGGTCCCAGTACTCTACTACTTGGATTATGACTTTCGTTGACATTTCCCGTGACTAGATTATGGCAAAATCACAGCCGTCTTTCAAGATGCTCATAACTGAGGTTACCGTAAGACTTAACGCACGATCCGAACCCTCTCAACGACCGATGAAAGTTACGCCACAAATGGAGAGTGGACTAACATGTCAAGTTCTGTTGAGAAACAATAAAGATTTCGCGTTTCGAGAAGTCGAAAACAAAGTTCAGTTTCCTGCATTGATCAGTTTTTACCATAACTTTGCGTGATTCCTCCCTAATGGCTAAGGGCACAATAATGAAATTTTACATCTGCAAACTTGTCTACCACCGTAAGTTGCTGCTGTGGAACTTGGAGTTTTCAAATTGTGATTGGATTATTTGTTGTGCGCATAACTCGGTTTTTTATAGCAAATGTTCTTGGTTACGAATGCGAGCATGAATATGGATAGCCCTAAATTGCGCGGCGAATACAGAAAGATGAGTACATCAGGATTGTGGAGTGGATTGGAAATTTTGCTGTAATTATAAAAGATATTAGAAGTCATCGTCTACAATATTTTTCAGAGTATTTTTTCAGACTCGAATTCCCAATTATCCATAACCTCAGTAAAGTGTTACTCATCTTCTCCGCGCGCAATTTTTAGTTCTTGGACTGACATTATTACTCATTTATTTCACACAAGAAGTTGTTTTAAGTTTAGGCGTTACGATTAGCATTTCCTTTACTTCACGTATCGTAGGTCGGAAAACAAATATCTGTTTTATTCGGTCGCTTATCTGATCCACTTCTCAAGATATCAAATGAAAATCGATCAGTTATAGGCGTGAAAATGATAGAGCATATAAATTGATTAACAGTTTTATTGCATTTATTTTTGAACTGTTTCTTATTTATGTTAACCTTTCGAAATTTACTTCAAATCATATCTGGAAAATTATTTTTTGAAACTAAATGTGTTTTTCCCGCAATAACAATGAGACCTTAATAATTAACGATTTTATTTGAACGCCTGGTTGGACAGTTTTAAAGATGGCTTGATCTTTTAATCATTGTTCAATTATTATTGCAAATGACCATGGTATCGCGTCAGAGTTAATCAGATGAGCAGATCTTAACTGATGCGCAAAACACTGAGTAAAAAGAATTAACAAATCAAGAAGCGAAATTAAACTTTGCCACAGGCGGGAAATTAAGAAGTCCGCCGTCCTTTATGTACAAGAAAATTGCCAGAGAGTTAAATTTCCTCTGTCTCCACGCAAATCCCGTTTTAGTCAAAGCTTGAACAAAACGAACTTGACTCCCTAAGGTTTTATTTTATAAACTGCATAAATTCATTCCTTTTCTTATTTCTGCTTTCATTTTTATTCCCCAGGTGAATACTTAATTATTTTTCCATGATCAACCGGCAGCCCTTCCATCTTTTGTTTGAAGTCCTCTGCTATTGCAAGATCTAGCTCTTTAGACTTTTCAAATCTAATATCTCGTTCATTTGGATAAAACTTTCTTGTACTTTCCTTGAACCTGAGGGAAAATCGATCAATTTAATTTGAAAACTAGCAGCTCCGTGTATATATTGACATAAAAATGTTTGACTTGAAAGTTCCGGAGAAATCGGAAATCACGCTGAGTTTTTCCTACATTTTGGCCGCGAACCGGTTGCCTGCTATAAGATGTTTACTTTTCGGTGGTCTCATTAACTTTTTACTCTTCCTCTTCTTCGTCTTGTCCTTGTCGAATCAGGTCTTTAAAGAAAGCTACATGGTGATCTTCAATCTCTACACAACTATTTTCATCTACTTGAATTTGGTCTGTTCCTCTTGTTGATTGCGGAATTGCCTACCGAACAGGCTCTTTTTTTTATCAATTTTCTTTCAGTGGTGTTTGAAGGCTGGCGGAAGCAAGCCGCAAGGACTAAAAAACCGAAAAAAAATAATAAAAAAGGAAAAAAAATAGGAATAAAAGAAAACGGAGCTTGTTTTGCTGTTAAATGCAGCGCTGAAAGAGATTAAAATGAAAGGGCTTGATACCTCATTTAACCGAGAGATCGTTAAATTACATTTACCATAAGCGTACTTTAGTGATGTAATTGTCGTGAACAAGTGCAATAAATTTATAACAACTGTAGGCAAAAGATGGGAATAAGTTGTTTGCCAATTGAAACGAGAAACCATTCCTTTATCGATGTGTTATTTTACAAGACACCAACTAATAAAGAAAACTTGAATTTTTCCGAAAATATTTCTTAGGATGAGTTTAAAATTCAGTCCGATCGGGTTTCATGTCAGGACAACTCACATGAGTTGTCTCCATGTCATCTTAAATCACGTTAGGCTTCTATTTTGAACAGTATTTATAGCATGTTTAATATAGCTTTTGAGTAACTGCGAGGTAAATCGATCATCAAGTCATCTGTAAGGTTTCCTCTTGAGCTAGCAAGCTTTTGAACAAATGTAAACAACTTTTTTCAAAGCCATTACTTCACGCTTCCTCTACACACAATCAAACGTAGAATTCATGGTTGACATTGTTTAATTTGACAGTTACTGGTAATAATAATAGCTAGGGGAAGACGGCAGTTCATTTATTATGTTTGTTTAGTGGGGTGAAGTCTCTCAAAAGCATTAAAACAAGTTTTTTTCTTTTCAATTTTTTCCTTTTGAAATTTTAATCCTGTGAAGTGCATTTTAAATTTTTGAGAATAATGTTAAAAGTAGTTAGGTTTTTAATGTTATACTCGGAACGACCAGGTAATTTTCTAGGGATTAAAATATTTCAACGTCCGTTTTATAGTTAGCTAGCGTTAAAACTACTTTGAATGGTGTCGGATATTTATTCGACATGACCAAATTAAAACCTCTCTTTCAGCCATTCACTTCCCCTAAACTGCGTATTTAATTAAACACATAAAGAAAGCCAGTTTTTATTGACTTCAGTGTTTTCTATTATTATTATGTGCAATTGAATTCTCTCTTGGAATTATAAACATAATTGTTTTTAACTGCCACGACTAAAGATTTTGATATCACTAATTGACCGAAATTTGTCTTGAAAAAGGGTTTTAACGAGCGCCATTTTCTGCTTGAGTAGAGCTGAGTAGTTGATGATGAGCTAAAGTTCGTATTAGAAACCTCGTACACGTTTGAATGCCGGGTGCAACTAGCATTTAAGCTATTACACTTTTAATTTAAGACTGATTCCAACATTTGTAATCTTGAAAAAATAATTAAATACAAATCTAAATTTAAGCATATATGCATTTTTAACTGTCAATCATGTAAATGGACATGTCTATGAATGAAAACAACACAAAGTGTGATGTACTGTAATGATCGACACCCCTCCCAGCAGCCAGACTTTAAAGTGATTCCTACTCACAGCAAACACATTTCAAGTCGAGCTCGCACTTTGACGACATCAAGATTCAGCTGAAACCTTACACGCCGGGATGTTTTTTTCACAAGATCCTATGCTTTTATACCCGCAGCCTCCGTACATGCAAACCGGGCCGGCCATTCCTCGGAGCCCTCCAAGCAGACCGTCGTTTTTGATCGACGATCTTCTCGTCAGGAGACAATCGCCTTATTTAGTACCGAAACCACCACAAGAACACCCACACGAACCTCAAGTCCCTTCTAGCAGCGGAACGTCGTACAACTTTGGTATGCCAGCTTTATTCTCAAGAAGTCGCAAAGAACATTCTACAGTTTATCAAGGTATATTTCCGCTCTCAGCTCTTTCATAACTTTTTTTTCCTCCACCGATTAAAAACTTCGCACTAGGGCGTGCCTAAATTCAGCGTTTTCTTTCGGGGTAAAATTAACCGCTGTAAATTGAAAAAGTATACATAACGATTACCAGTTTCAAGCGTTTAACTGAACTGTATTTAAATCTATTACCAACTTTGTAAGAAAATTGTTAACGGGGAGGAAATCAAAGAAATTTGAGCCGTTAATGAGTTGATACCGAGATTTTCTAACCTCAGAGCAAATACTTGGCGATGAAATTAGTTCACTAGTATGTCACTCTCAAACATGCTCACCATATCTACAGCGGTAGACTTTCTGTTTTGAAATGATTGGTAAAACCTTCTTTGGAGGTCGCATTTATTCGTTTATCATCATATCACAAGTATATAACATTTTTGTTCGTCTTTCTGTCTTATCATTTCAAAACAACGAATGATAACACACAGCCGCTCAATTAATTTCAAATTTATCAAGCGAAAAAAAAAATGGAATGTAGCTCTGATGCAGACCTTAGTCGTGGACTTTTAAGATTAAACTTACGTTCCCGAAAAGAAAGCAAAGCCATGTCCATGTAAATTATTATCATCATCATTAGTTTTCTATGCTAAGCGAGAAAAAATGAACAAAAAGGAAGAAAAAGAAGAGAAGAGGATTTCCCCTGGTTTGACTGTTCTTTTCACATTCAACATTATTCGATAATTCTTTCTCCTTCATTTTATTTCGACTTTAGTGTACTGAATCACGCCTATTGTAACAGTCCTTAAATATTTTTTGTTCGCGTAGATCCAAGCCCAGAGGTCCTTAATTCGCTCCCAGTCTATTTCCGTCTCAAGCCGACGATGAGGACTCCGAGTGGACGAAGATGCCGTAAATCACGCACAGTATTTACCGATCTTCAGCTACGAATCCTAGAGAAAACTTTCTCGGAACAGAAATACCTGGATACCTCGAGCCGCGCCAAACTTGCCCAAACGTTGGGTTTGAACGAGACACAAGTAAAAACGTGGTTTCAGAACAGGAGAATGAAATGGAAGAAGGATACCAAACAAAACAAACAAACTGGAAGCATGGACGGAGAGTGTGCGCATTCTCAACGCAAGAATGAGAACGAGAAAGGCGGAGAGGAGGTCAGAGAAGTTTCGAGTGAAAAAGCGTCGGTAAGGCGAGGGGATGGTTCCTAGATTTACCAAAACAGCATGGTGTGAAATATCATATGTTACAGTTTGAAGAGAAATAACGACAAACTTCAAAAGCTGTTTATAATGCCACATCGCCCAAATTACGCACTTTTAATCAGATGTACACATATAATACTATAAAACGCGCCTTATGGAAATTATTGTTATCCATATTGCAGACATTACTATAATTATTATCTATAATTACAATGTACTATATTGTAAATCATCATCAGACTTAAATTCTAAAGGTCATAGTTGAAAGGAATCGGTTTTCTGCCAGTATCTGTAGGGTTAATTTACTTATACACTGTGCTAAAATAGATCCAGCTTCAGTGCATCAAACTGGTGTGCGATTTCATCAAAAATGACAAAACTAAGAAATCTATACGAAATTTAGTGTTTAGGACATTTGGTTAATTAGTCATTTACCTAACGTGGCGATTACTTTTTGTAGGGGGGAAGGGTGAGGGGAACTTCCCCTTAAAAAGGATGTAGGATATAATTATAGTGTCATTTGTATTGGTCTGGAAACAGGTATATACTTTGTCCATAATGGAATTGACTAGTCTGATATTGAACTACGAGTGCTTGTCATCGTATTGGTTGTTACAGATCTGGAAACTGGCGTGGAAAATGGCAACCCCTGGTCTGAAATAAGATCAGAAATAAGCCGAGCGGTACACCCTACTACGCATTCCACGGGTAACATTCTAAGGGACAAATGAGAAATTCTTACTTAAGTGTGTGAATTCTGCATGAAGAGCTTGGGTGCGGTGCATTACATTTTACATTCAGTTTTAAGACAAACAAACACAAACAGAAACCACCTTATAAGATACCAAGAATAATCAGACGATAACGAAACTTTAAAATAGGTTAACAGCTTATTGATATATAATATTATAGCTGTAATATATATGTAAATATATTTATATATTAGCTGTGATATAAATACGATACTATTAACTCAGAAAAGTTATGAACTCTCTGTCTCTACCTCTCCGTCCTCCAGATCGCAGTTGCTGTCTAAAAAATGAATTCTATACCCTTCATATTGTACTCCCCAACACTACATTAATTAATTCCATTTTTTCGCGTTTATTCCGAACAGTGCGTGCTTTCATTTGACGTTGAATTATTCACATCTACTCCAAACCCTTATTGTAAATACTCCTGATATTTGGTAAGCTATACAAGTTCCTTGACACCCAATATGCTGTGACAGGCTTACTTTCCCAGTCGAAACTTGAAAAATTGCTCCTTTGTTGAAAAAAGCTTTAGTACAGTTTTTGCAGAATTACTCCACTGAATCAGTCGTTTGCTTAGTTAAAAGAGGTTGCTGCGAAAGACGTTCCTGTCATCTGTCTCAGATAGAATGTTAAAAAAGGTTTATCAACCGTCTGTTTTGAGAAATACAATAATGAAACGAAACTTAAATTTTCCATCAACATACTATGAGAGCAATGAGGTCGAATAATCATATTGTTCACCAAGGCTAAGCCGAGCAGCGATTGGTTTGTGAAATAGGTTATAAACAGGTGATACTCATTGTAAGATGATCACAAAATGTCCATCCCCTGGCTTTGCCACTTATACCGAGGGTCATCCGTATTCGTTTTTTCTATTGTCACCAACCGGACTTCTGCATTAATATAAGAGTAAAATTCGTATTTTTTTTCTTTTCCTTTTTCCTTTTGTTGTTGTTGTTGCTTTTTTTAAAGGGGGGGGGGGGGGGGGAGTCTCCATTTGGTTACTCTCAAATTCTGTTTATCCGCTTAAAATAAAACGGTTTCATAATAAACTTCGATTTATGCAAATTTCTTTAAATTTTCGCAGGCCTTTTACCTAGTATTAAAACGTATAATCGGTTAAAACAACGCACAAAAATGGTTCTCTTTGTTAATTTACTTTCCATGAACGGAAATGGATGGTTATAAGCCGCAACTCTAAGTTTTTTTTATTGTAAAGAACGAAAAATATAGTTTTTAATTAAATATGAAAACATCAATAAAATTTAGGAGGCAACTTTTGAAATTTAGATTGCAACTTATGGATTTTGGCAACTTTTTAGCACCTTTTTGGCAGCATTTTACGAACACAGTCGGGACAGGCCGAGTTATCAGTTTTCTTTAACAATCTAAGCTAAAAAAATATTTACTTCCGCGGTGAGCTGAGATAGGTATTTTGACATACTACGAAACTACGAGTGGCGCCCACCGAGTCCGTTATCAGACACTTAATCATTGCCTCTGACCATTATATGCCAGTTATACCTCATACCTCTTTGTCTCTAAAAACTCCGCTGTCCATGGTACTGCTGTTCCGTTTTAAATCGCTTCCGGCTGTCAACAAGTCCTTGAATAACAGTGGTCCTTCGCGGATGGCGGTGTATCTGACTTCCTTTAGACTTTTGGTCGTATGTTGTGCCCTTATCTACCATGTATTAGGAGCTAATCAAACGTTTCTTTCAGGTAAGTTAACTGCCTATCTTCTTTGTAGTAAAAGCAGCTATTGCTTTTGTTCGAGATAAAGAAAAGACATAAGTAATTCTGTGAAAGCTCCACATTTGCATTGGCAGAACTGATATATCCGCGTGCGGTGCTTATTTGCAAGTTTCATAGTTTCAAATAATAGCCAAATCCTTTTATTCATTTAAGTTCGAGCCCCACAGAAATATCTCATAGAAGGTAAAACTCTTAAACTGAGTTGTAAAATCCACGGCACGCCACTGTTCGCCAGCCGAGTTTCTTGGAAGCACAGCGGAGATTGGCTTCACAATCAAACCAAACGGGAAGTAGGAGCAGTGGGGCTTACTCTCGAAAGAGTTTCGCGTCATCAAGAAGGAATTTACCAGTGCGGTGTATACAATTTTTCCGGGCTCAGCTCCACCGAAGCAATTCCGGCAGACGCAAATGTGACACTCTTTGTAGGAGGTGAGAATGATAACCTACAAAATATCACGTAATTAAATGGTATCGGTGCTCCTAGCTATGGAATAAATCCATTCATCCTTTATAAAACAGATAGTCCTTTAAACATATTGGTTGCTACTCTGGGTTTTGGAGGTTTGCTTATCATTAAGTTTCACTTTTGGTTTGTTTTCTTAAGGAATGAATTTTGAAAACATATTCGTATGGCCCCATACTATTTCAAAGCAAAGCGGTAGTCCCAAAGGAGGTCAATCGTTTTCGCTATTGTTTTCTTTTCCAAGAACTGTATGGGGCTGTGCGGAAATCTTTCCTTAAAGTTTGATGGACAATAGCATGTAGTTTTAGGAGCAACTTCAGAATACCCCGCAACTCATTTACATGTCATTGAATAAGAATAGCGTCTATTGTGTTATGCCTCGATCTTCACAGCCTCCCGACACATGTAAGTGAGGCGGACCAAAGTTGCGGGGTATTCTGAAGTTTAGCCTAGTTTTAAATCAACGCCGGGATTAAATGGCAGGCAGCCAGTCAAGATTTTGAAACACTTAATGAACAGTAGTCCTGCACTTTTGGTGAATTCAGTTGACATCAAATAAACCCAGCATATTTAAGGTACGATAGGGTGGTCGCGAAATGCTGTGTAGCGATCCTGAACACCGTTCATAGAGCATAGATCTAATGCTTCGCTCAGATTACGAAACCATGGTTTGTGACACTTGGTATGTGTTTGAGTGCGACTTCTGATCAAGATTTTCCACACACTAAATGACTGGATGTCCTACACCACTGGTAAATTTGACAAATCAGAGGAAGTCAGCCAATCTGAACAGGCATATGTCGGTTATGAAGTGCCGAATGCTTCTGATGACCTTAACAGATCTCAAACGCAAGACTTGGTTTATATTGCCTGCAGAGCACAGGAACCAAGTTTGTCTTACAAAATTTGTTAGAGGTTACCATCACAGTGTCATAGTTTGTCTCACAAAATTGTTGGAGGTTGCCAGCTAGTCAAGGTTTACAAACCAGTTAATGGCCAGGAACTAAATATTTTTGATAGATCAGACAAATTAAAGAAATTTATGCCTATTCAAAGTACTGTATGTTGGTTAAGGATTCCTAAGTGATCCTGAAGAGCTCCATGAAACTCAAATTCAACCCTTGGTATACAGTACATAGCCTAGGGGACACTTAAACTATGACTTCCTAACTAGTGAATTTCTTATGTTCAAAATTAGTATATACTAAATATATGTCCAACTAAGAGGTTGTTGTTTTCCTGTCTGCAGGACCAATCCATAGGCCAGTATGTGAATCAAGTGATCGTGCATTTCCTGATTTTGAGGACTTGCTTCATTGGAATGCACTGGTTGACTATCAAGGTGTTCAACGGCCTTTCACCTACCAAATATTTTACTGCAATTTTTCATGTTTACGTCCTCCCAGACGCTACAGCATTTTCAGAGGCTGTCCTATAGTCCCAAAGTCAAGTACTGGAATAGTCATGGAATGCAATCTTATATCCCTCTACAAAAAAGTATTTCCGAAGCTGTTTAGTGGCAGTAAAAATATCCGTGGTCTAAGAATTTCTTTGGCCATTGGTATAGCAAATATGGATGATGAAATCATTAGTCGACCAGTCAGGTGTACTGTGTACCGTCTAGGTATATATAGATGATAAAAAACTGTTTACATTTTTTTAAAAGACATTAAAAAAATATATATTTGTGGGCAATGCAGATGCATAATGACTGTTAATATAAATTGTACCTGTAGTGACAGTTATTTTTCAAATAGCTCATTAGCAAAGACATGATTGTTTATTGAAAAACTCTACATTGTTATCAATGTCAGACCAGAGATAAGGTGGTTAGATTTTGATTTTAAGGCATTTGTTATAGTGCAGGAGGTCTGACAATCCACTTATTTAGATGAATTGTATTACCCTTTCGACCCATGTGGCCCAACACTATAAGGGCATGGTATATTATGCTTATTGTACTTATTATTCACCTATTCAAAAATTGTTCTGTTTCAAGTGAATATCAGTGATCTCTGTCAATATTTTGTTTTACTAGTGAAGTGTACAAAACCAGCAAACATACGTTTAAACAACTCAACAGCAGGTCAACTGACATTGATATGGGATCTCCCAAAAGATGTGCCACAGGATTATCAGAGTAATCTGATTTATTGGATTCGTGTAGTAGGTAGTGGACATGGAGTTGGTGATTTTCCTAAACTTATAAAGGTAACTTGTGATGATTAACTCCTAAACTCCAAAGATCTGATTGTTAATTCTCCCTTCATTCTCCTATACATTTCCTTGTAAACTGATTACAAGTATTTGGTGTTAGAACGAGATAACAACTGCCACCTGATAAGTTTGAGTATCCTCATTACCTGTTTGCTGGATAATGTGTGAATATTATGGGGAGAAGTTACCTTTTAATCCGTTCTGAGAGTTAAAGGTTTAAATAAATGATGACTTGAAAGTTTTTAACCCTTTAAACCCAGACAGTGACCAGCATATAATTTCTCCTTACAGTAGTATTGCTAAGTTATTAATTAAGATCATGAGAATAAAGGAAATGATGGCAAACCTTTGATTTTAAAACAAACTCTCTTCATCAGTGCTAAAAGAAATGTGTAGAGGACAGTATAGAGAACTTAAATACTGATGTTAAGGTGTAAAAGGTTGAAATAACCCTCAGCTATGAAACTTCTCTTACCACCAAAAGGTTACATCTATTCAAAGTTATCATAAGAAATTTAGGGATTAATTAAGTAATTGCTGAGTTATAAGTCAGAATGTTTCCATCTTAAACATTTTAAAGAAAACATGTTTGAGAGACTTGCTTGCAACCAAGGAAAGACATCCTCAGTTGTTCTAACAAATCTGTAACACTTAATAGGAAGTAACCCTTGGGACCTTAATATCAGTAAGCATATTTTCCATACTGTTCTCTATACATTTCCTTGGTGCTGACAAGAAGCATTTGGTAAAAAGTCAAGAGCTTCTTAGTTGTTGGTCATTTTCTTTATTCTTGTGACCTAAAAAGTGTGATTTGATGATGATACTGTAAGGAGAAATTAGATGCTGGTCACTCTCAGGGGTCATAGGGTTCAAATGCCTTCACATAAATAGGCTATTCATTTCTGTTACAAAATGTTTGTTAATAAATTTCTCTCAGTCCTTTTCACACAAGAATAAGTCGAGGTATTGGAGACCAATATTGCTTTGACTTTCAGTTTTTTCCCTCCAATTGGTATTTTTAATTATGCACCTGTATGTGTCAGAGACTTTGAATGATTAAAAATCTATCATTATGAGTTCCAAAATGATAACTCATATTGAATCCTTATGAAGTAATTATTAGTTATGGAGTACAATTTTAAAAGATAATTACTGTTAGTAATACAAGTTATTGTTAACTAAAGTAGCTTTAGGTCAAATTGTATATTAACTGTCACTTTTATTGTATCAAGGTGATAGGAAAAAATTATTCAAGTGAGACTATAAGAAGAGACATCAGTGGTCTACACCCATATACCTGGTATCATATCTACATCTCTTGCTCAATTATGTTTTCAAATGCTACTCGTGGAGAAGAAGTGGGTCCTCTCTCAGCCAGGACAAGGGAAGAAGGTAATGATGACCACAGGTTTGTTCTTTACCTCTCACGTAGGAACAGAGGTAGCCTATTAGCACTCCCTAACTATTGGCACCTCGACACAATCGTTTCTCTCCCTGCTAGAAATTATAAGACCTTTAGCTAAACGAACTGGGGAGAGGTCTTCCAAGGGTCTAGCACTGAAAACTGCCAGACCCCCAGCAAACATCTGCCCGACTTGCCTCAAACCTTCCCGTACGTGCCCGAGAAACGTGCATCCTGCAGAGCTCACAATGAAGACCTGCATGCAGCCCAGGACACAAATGCGGTGGAATTTGATCCGGAAGGTTTGTAAATAAGATGCTAGAACTGCAATTGAAATGACAAAATTTTGGAGGGCTGTGTACAAAACTTTTATAACTGAAAGGTAGTGTAAGCAAACCAAAGAACATGGAAAAAAAAAAAGCAGCCTGTTACTCACATGTTCATTTTCTTTTCCTTCATCGCAGCACCCAGCGCACCTCCTAAACTCTCGGAAGATGTCACAAATACAACACTGCATGGACAGTACAGAGATGTGATTCTTCATTGGAAGGTACGTGTTACAAATACATGGATTTTTCTGCACTATGTGTTCACGTGTTGAAAATTACTCTCGGATTAGTAAATCTAATTATTGAGCAAATTCCTTAAAATTTGACTCTAGACTAGATTAGAGGTAATGAAATACTTACAGACAGGACCCTTTGTTATTAATTTCATTCTTTGATTTTTGTTTATTAGTTCATGGAGGTCACAAGTCGGATTAGTTTTTATATATTAATCACTTCCATATACTGCTATATTGTAACCTAAAACACATATAACTTAAGTTGTTTATGTCACCTTCCGCTAATACATTTACCTATTCCTTTTTTTCTTTTTCTCGACTGTCTTATTTCATTATACATGTAGATGTGATTTCGCTCCTCTGCCTTTTCTATCGTACCTCTGTCTGTTTGCATCTTGGCTTATTTGTATGTGTTTGTTTCTCTGTGTGATAAACGTACCTCTCACCAACCGAAATAAAACAGAATAAAGGGGAAGATTTCATTTCAAACAAACTTTTGAATTTAGCGGGCTGTACAGTGAAATGTGGCTCCCTAAATTGACCAGTCGTAAGGGATGTGCACATACTATGTACTTTTCGACTTTGTGGGAGGGCCGGACGGGAAAATATTTATCTCGAAGTCATGACCTACGGACCGAGTGCAGCGAGGTTCGTGCACCATAACAGAGAGGCAAACTTTTCCCGTTCGGCCTGACCAAACTCAGTCCATAAGCAATTTATCATATTACCAACGAATGTTGAAAATTTCGTTTCAACGTCGATAGTAAGCAATAGACGGGTTATATGATAACAAATATTAGTGTGCTCTAAAAATTGCTAGCCGTCTCCTTCCCTCTTTATTTCGAATTCTATGTCAATTTTTATACTTCTTCATCCTTGTTGGTCAACTGGAACATCGCTAACTCAAGTACATGAATTTTCACTTCACAGCTTCCGGACAATGGCACATGGAATGGTGAAATCACTCACATTGTGCTGCTTTATTGGATAGCAAACAGTGGCGTCACTGAAGCTAACAGTAGTTTGGTTGTGTTTAGCAATGTTTCCATGACAACCGGCACCTTAAGAATGTTACGCCAGGATGAGGTGTATGAGGTGACGGCAAAAATATGCACCAGCGCGGGGTGTGGCCCTCCCAGCCAATCGGTTTTCATACGAAGACTGGATCACGCAGGTTTGTTCTCTTTGAGAAGCTTTTAGAGTTCTTCTCTTAATGAGTCATCCAGTTGTATGGAAGAGCGAAAAATGTGTTAGTTGAAAGATAGATAACACTTTCTATCGGTTTACCAGCGTAGTAACCCACGTGGAATGTTGGGAGAACAAGAGAAAAGTTGTTAGATCGCTCGTGTGCTGGTTATCTTCCAACTTCTCTCGTGTCCTCCCAAACTCCCAAGTGGGTTAATACGCCGGTAAACTAATATTGCTTTGATAAAATAAATTTCAATGTTCTATGGGTTTACTTTTGCTTTCGATGATAGTTTTCTGACCAATCAGGGTGCTCGTACTATCTCGGGTATTTTATGATGGTCCATATAGTTCCATTTTTGTTAATAATGAGCCCCGTTTAAAAAAAAAAAAAAAAAACCAGTGTGGGTTCGGCTGGGGAAAAAAAACGGCGATATCAAAATGCTTTACCGAGTGGGTTACAAATGATACTTTCGTAGAATGCGGACAGTAGAAGAAGGAAACTCGTTCTTCTGATCATTCAAATGCTACATATACTTTATAAAAAAAGAAACAGCGGGGGCAAAAGCGAAGGAGATCAAACACGGTTTTAATTTTGCTTGGTAAATTTGGAGAGAAAAAATATAACATTCTGCGGTCTCTTACGAGTATTTGTCACGGTGTTTTTTTTAGATGGAACCCATGTTCCACGTACGCAGGAACAAGGAGATAAGTATTACATCATTGGTGTCGCGTTAGGGTTGCTGCTCTGTGTTGGATGTTTAACTGTGATAGCCTATCATTGGCTAAGGTACGTTACACTATGTGCTTTTTTAAGAAACGGTAGCGTTAACGGAAAAAAATCACCTTTATATTTTTTGCACTCCTACCCTCGTATGTGTGAATACGTATTGAAAACTCGAATAACAAGCTGTCGTGGCGGATGGCTGTGTACCGTAGTCTGGTTTGCTAGGTACCCAAGAACAGAGTAGTCGTTTGAAGGAGGATGGGAGGGGAGGGAGGGATTGGCGGGGAATTCTATGGTGGGTTCATGAAGTGTTTACTTGAAAAACTTCGCCCAGGCTCTTGCAAGTTTGACGAGAAAACATGTAGGAACTGATGTTTAAACCCCTTAACCTCTTAAAATAAGTGCTGGATAATTGGCTGTACTGTGACTCTTGGCATGCTGTTGGTGAATACAGCTCTAGATAGCGCACAAAATAAACTTGAGTTTGGGAATCAATTCCTTATTTATCACTCACAGTGATATTTTCTTTCATTATTTTCTGGTTGTTTTAATGATAACAAGCGTATCTTAACAGGAAACGTAGAAGAGAACGCGTCCCACCGCTCGGAAGTGTCCTTGGAAAATTACCGGTAATCTCTAATCTTGTTTCAATTTCTTTTTTTGATTTTGAAAATGGGTTTATCTCTGTGAGGCTTTCGATCAATTATAGACTTGAAAAATCCGCTGTTTTATCGTAGAACTGAAAGGAGCTTTTCAGTATCTCAAAATGGCGCTTTTAGTGAGTGCACTTCGCTGAATTCGCTGTTATTTTCTCAATCAAAACTATAACAAAATTCTCGAACGTGATTGGTTATCACCAGCTTAATTTGGGCTCTAATAGGATAGTGTACGCGTCATGCTAGTAATTGGACAGTGTAATAGGACAGTTAACGCGTCGTGCCAGTGTAAGTGGACAGATGGCGTCATGTGCGTACGCTCTTATCTCGCATTTCGCCGGGTTAACTGTTGTTGTTTTTCTTATGAAAATCGTAAAACCGATGTCTAGTTTCTATCTCAAATTTGTAATAGTTTGGATTAATTTGTAACAGGGCTTCGTGTTGTCCAATTCGGTCTGTAATCAAACTAGTGATTAACAAATCACTAGTATGATTACAGACCGAATTGGATTCCACTTAGTCCCATTCGCATCATTAATTGCGGTGCTTTTGTACATCGTGCAAACATCCAGGAATAGCCCGCCATGGTTTCCATTATTATTCGTTTAAGTCCGACTTTTCTACTCAATGTATCTTTGGGTCTAAAGTGGAAAACCTTCTGACGTGACTTGCCAGTATGGCTGCCGGAGCCAATCCCGGGAAGGACTGTTACTTGCAGAATGCTTTCCACTTTCTCTTTGTATTGCTTATTTCAGTTGAGTCGCCCGAGTAATGTGTTGTAAAACTCCTAGCATTTCGTTAATGTTCTCGTGTAAGCTGATAAGCAATAATCTATATCCCTGAGGGGAAGGGCACTAGGAAGGTGCAGTGTCTTATCGCTTCCCTTAGCTGTTTGTTTTCACAAGATTTACAATGTCTCCGACGTACAAAAATGCGCGTAAAAGAATTGCTAAGAGAGTTTTAGATCCACGTTTGGTGTGTTCACCGCTAACATCAAACCGCGGTCAGCAGTTTGTGGTTAGACGTTAGAAGTTTCGAGACTTTTAGTTTTTTTAGATCGACGTGGGCTTTCACCTGAAAAAAATCAACAAGTGGATGGAGGTCCTTCATTTCAAACACGTAATGTGGCTAAAAGATTGGTTTCCTAGCGTCCCAAACGGATTGGTAATAAAAAAAGACTTCACCTCGTATATGTTTATAGGAGAAAATTCGAACAGGAGGAAAAAAAGCGTCGAGGGAGTTCACATACCTGAAACTGCCTTGCCCGAAGTTCAAAGGAAGAGGAAGTCGATCACGTCCATCTCACCTTTACTTTTCTCCTTGTCTGCCTTCTCCTTTGATGACCTAAAACTCAAGGTCTTCCCCAAATTCATTGATCAAAACAGGCTCAAAGTTGTGCATAAACGAGACATACCTAATCGGGTCACCATTAAATGGCATACACTCCACTTCAGGAGTGGAAACAACTTGACGTGGAATTTCTTCTCCGCTTCCTTGCCTCGACGCACTAGTCCCTTGAGGTGAATGCTGTACTGGGTGTGTCGACATGAAACTGAACAGACTCATAACTATTAATCTGGTGTGTTAATGGTAAATGTTCTTGGTTAGACCTGGTGCGTTCATTGGGTTCGTGAGCTCCAGGTCTTCTTTGTACTGTGTGGTCCAATTTCCTAACCACAAATTTGATAAGCATACATATTAGGGGAGAAATTGTGTATAGGCATTAACATTTTCACTTTTTCATCAGATTTCAGAGCGTCGTGGGTGGCACTCATGGCTAATAAAATCATGAATATTTTAGATTGAAAAGACACAAAAGACACCCCGCACCACAACTTAAGAATTACCCACAAGTAGTTTCTTCAAAACTACGAAGCACTTCTAAGTGATTGTCAGTGGTTATTGCATTTCTCAACCAGCTGGGATAACGATTTAAATCGTGAGCTCTTACATCGGCATGTTATATGCATGATCTAACACATTGTCATTTTGTATCCTAGCCTCCTCCTTTAATTCCGTGTGGAAGCGATACTGGACCTGAAAATAGAGAGGACAACCACGTTTATGACACAACAATTTCGCCTCTGCTCATAGGTGACAAGAACGAGTACGTACAAATTAAAACCTCTAAGCCTGCGCCGATTACTTTGATGAGGTCAGAGCTCGACACAGATGATGTTTAAAGTTCTCATGAAGTTTGATAGAGCATAGAGCGCTTCATTTCCAGTTCTATCTCTCTCACACTTCCACGGAGCCTCTGAAGTAAACTTCCGCTCAACGCAGGGAATCTACACCACCAAAGAAATTCATAAATAAGAAGCAGTAGTATGGAACCTTAAATGAGTTCACTTATCACTAATGTAATTCCCTCCTCCTCAAGTCTGTCTCCCACGCGCTTTTCTGCGGGTCTAGCTTGTAATTGAATATTACTGGTTATCTGGTCGTTTAGGAACTTTTGAATTGGGCAATTGGTACTCTGAACCAAATTTTTTTACTGTCTATCCAGTTCTAGATTGATGCCCACTCGTACGAAGAGCTTTTCACTTTTCGCTACCGTACTCAGTTCGGCAACCTCTAAAAACCGCTTATCTCTTTCATCTCCATTATTGCTGATTATGGCACCAAGCGCTTATTTTTGAGATCGCAAAAAATTAGCCAGGGTTTATTTTTACGTTAATTATCAATCTTTTTTTGTTTCCCTTTGTAGCCGATATACAAAACAGTTTATGTAATAAACACTGCAGCATACAACGAAACATATTTATTGGAGAATTAAAATTTTTAACTAAGAGCTGGTGCACACAGTTTTATACAAAATTATCCTAAAGAATATTTAAAAGCACGACGTCGGGATTAAATAAAACATGTCTTTTCCTTCATTGCACTGTGATCTTATTGACTGAAAATTCTGTACCTTGTAAGTTAGTGCACCAGCCGGACGGCCAGTCAACCTTGTTCCCAAGGTTCTGCTCCTGAGAGCAGGAGACGGGTAGAAGAGAGACTGATAACGAGTTTGACACCGCAGCCACTCCTTGGGATTTCACACAACGCCCCTCCTTTCCTAAGAAAGCGTGACACCTCAAGGATAGAGGCCCCCACGTTAACCCCACTTGTCCATCCGCATGCAAAGCATATGAGCCTACCTCGTTCCAAATGATTATTCGGATCGCCCCGAGTTTTTCCAGACGATGGGTACCATGCGGGCTATAGCATCCAGTACAGGTGATAATTTGTTTAAAAGCTGAGAATAAAGAGAGCAGCAGCGGGACATGGTCAGTTTCATCTTTGAGAATGGCAAACTCAATCATTACTCGTTCATTTTTCCTTTTTCTGATGAAAAAATTACTGACTTAGTTTCATTCCGAGCCATCCTTTTTGCTTATATATATACATAGCGTAACTTATTCATTATTCACAAAGAGGCATGCGAATAGCAGGCTACATCATAGACAGGGTAATTTAGCAATATAATTTATAATTTATTATTTTAGCAATATATCAGAGTTGATAACGTAAATTAGCCACCGTAAAAAGTTTAAAAAGCTGACGTTTTGAGCGTTATCCATTCGTCAGAGCAAAACATAATAATGTGGTACAGTTGGTTATTTATTTCATTAAATTTTTATTTTGTTATGTACATAACATAACATAAATGTACGTTGAATAAAATAATGTACATTAATTTTTCTCTGACGAAAGGCTAACACTCGAAACCTGAGCTTTTAAACTCTTATCAACTCATTTGGTAATACTAAATTACTCTGTAATACTCTTCCACCAACGCAGCACCACAGTTTGTTTTTTGAAACTTACCCTCTGACTCATATCTTAGAGAAAAAGCTTAAAACGCGCGCGAATTATTTACGCGAGACGCGTTGTGAGGATTATTTTTTAAATTTTGTTTTATTTGACTAAACTGACCTTTGTTTTTTCCGCAGGTTTTGCTTTTGCCTTTGCCTTTGCCTTTGGCAACTTTGCTCGTTATTGTGTCGTCCTCCTTAACGCTCCATCGAGCGATCGAGATAAAAAAACAAAACGTGTCTCCAATGGGTTACTTTTCCCGGGAAATTATGACCCATCGTCTTTGACGCCAGGAAGTCCCGTTGTCCCATTAAGAGACTCACGAGTTGTATTCAGTTGTGAGGATGGAAGTGATGCTTTTAAAGTTACTTTGGTCGTTTCGCGCCTTGCCAGCTCCTCCATTGCTGAGAAGAACGTTCGTTTCGCGCCTTGCCATAGTTTGCTAGGATTTTAGTGAAACTAGCGCGCTTACGAATTTTTTCCCGAAGGTGGGAGGTAACCTTAAACAGATCTAACACACTAATCTGTACCTTCTGGCTTCGACATTCTAAGAATTATAAACAATTGTGTATTGATATTTTTCCTTTCTGTGGAGTATGCGTCCATCGATGATGCAAGTGGTGTATTTGTATCCCTTATTTGCATCCCTTGTTTTAGCCTGGCTATTCAAAGCAAGCGGGTGACCAAACTAACTAGACCAAATTGCCTGTGCTGATGAGTCCCATTTCTCATTTGGTCGGCAAATAATTAATTTCCTTCTTCACCATTTTAATCGTTTAAGCGTGCCTGACTTAAATTTTAACTTCGTATGTAAGCATAAGCAATCGTTTTTCGGGGCTATGTAATCCATTCAGACGTTTAGTTGATAAACTCCGTCATTTTAATCAGCCTATGAGACCAGTTTTGTGAAAATTAGTTTAAAAAATGCAATTTCAGTTCCCATAGACAAAACAAGTTGTCATTCAGTATCTGAACAAGTTTGAACGACACTGACAAGTTGTCAATCCGCATCTGAACAAGTTTGAACGTCAAGAGCAAAGCGGTGTACTTTATTTTTTGATAAAAGCATATTCGTTTTGAATCTACCATCAGAAAAAAAACCGACGGCAAAAAAAAGTCCGACCGATACTCCTACCCCACCCCCGCTTCATTTTCTTCCTGTCCCACCGACCATGCGTGTCCTTCAAGAAAGGGGTGTCAGATTACCTCAATGGGCGTAAGCGTCGCTTAGTGCACGCGAGGAAGTCGAGTGAAATTTAAAAAAATGACTTATAAGACAGGATTTTAAGTCTTATTTAGATTGGAAATCAAACGAGGCAATGAAACAAAACAGCTTGAAAATTTTTATGGAAACGGAAACTTGAACTGAATTCAAGATGTTACTCAAACAGGTGGACGCGTTAGAAGACAAACAGTGTGCTCTTTATTTAACACGTGCACTTTGTGTTCTGAATATTCAAATCTCTAATTTCTCCGGCTCCAAAGGGGTTCAAGCTGACAATCAATTAAATTTCTAACACAAGACTCATTTGTTTTCATCCTGAAGTACAAAAGAAGCGTTCTTAAGTTTCCATGGAAGATTGATGTAGTTGTAAATTATACTTGTGACCGCGCGAAAAGCTGGGGGAAAATCCCCAGAACAAATATTGTATGTGCTGTTATAGCGAATAAAAGATGTTAAAATAAACACATGGAATTTGCATTCATTCAACCGCCAGGACGCAAGAGGTATAAGCGATGGTAGCAGTGTTTTTCTATATATTTTCCTCTATTTTGCTTGTGCTTCACATCGTAGCGGAAACAAAACCCACAGGTAAGAGTCACCCACGCACATATTTTTATTTTTTCGCCTGAGTGTGACCCGAGCGCGTGGTAACAAATCTGTAAGAACCCATGAATTCTATTTGATTGTTAACAACACTGGCAACAGTTCACGTTTCGATTTCCTCGATGATGCAAGTGACGAAGTGACCAAACCGAGATCTGTCAATGTAAATCTACGCCCTACACAGGTACACCTAGTTCTGACTCGGCGATTTTTTTTAATTTTAAAACGTGCTTACGAGTCGTTATTTGTCACAATTCACAAAACAAAAAAAAAATTTGAAGCGGTAAAGAGAAAGCGCCAGTTACCGAGTAGCACACGCGCATTTAAATGTCTGAATGCATATTCCAAAAATAAGGGTAAGTTGATCCGCGGAGAATTTATGGGAAATAACAACCCTTTAATAAATGTTCTTGCCTGACTCATTTTAATTTATATTGGATGATAAATCTTTGAAAAATGTTAATTTTCCGGCTCAGATACCTTACGAAGCGTTGACAGCGATCTAGATGTAGCCTGAAAATAATATTTTGAAACGTATTGAATGAACAGACGCTTCCACGGTTTAAAGCGGCCATATTGGTTGGGGGTCAAACAAAAACTTGTTGCTAGGCAACGAGCAATAGACTCTTTTGTAATTATTGGACGATTTCAATTCATCTGAAGCACTCAATTATCTCGCTCTTACTCAAAGCTAAATAAAACTACATCGAAAAGAAAAGTAGTTCTCATGCCCAAGAATAAAAAAGGGGAAATTTACGATTTTACGAAATTTACCAGCTAAATTATTTGTCTAATTGAGGAATTTCAGTATTTCAATGGTCTTTATAACAGAGCTAGTAAATTTGTCTAATCAAATTCAATTGCGCGAGTATGTTTCATTGAAGAAAAAAATTCATCTTTTGTGCCCTCCAAACTTCCCGCGTGTTTCACATCTCGATGAACGCACGCTGACATATGAACCAATTGTTAATTTGAGAAACCTCTGAGACTCAAAATCGATGACATTTACTTGGCCAGCGGCTTAGGACAATAAAATAAATGTCACTCTATTAATTATGGCGGCAGGTATGTGGCGAACCCGTGGCGAACGAACTCGTGCAAATTGCCACCAGCCATCATAGAAAGGAGTAGCAACATGGGATTTTTGTTAAAGATTTGGCCAATTTTCAGAATACCCTGCCACTCATTTACATGTCATTGGATAAGAAAAGCGTCTGTTATGCCTCGTTCTTGAAAGCCTCACGACACATGTAAATGAGGTGGACCAAAGTGGCAGGGTATTCTGCAGTTAATCCAAAGATTTTATCTTGAGGTGAGAGGAAAAGCTGATTAGAGCTATTTATGACGAGTTGATTCACTACGTTTTTCGTTTATCAAGCCACAGGAGGTGCAATACAGCCGCCCTTTGACTTTGCCCTTTGGGAAAATATTTGTCAAATGTTCCTGAATATGAATTTCTCTTCTTCAAAAAGCTCAGTTCAATAGACACTTCAACGAAATGTTGTCAACCTGTTCGTAACATGCACAGTTCATCAAAATATTCCTGAATATGAATTTCTCTTCTTCAAAAAGCTCTGTTCCATACACGCCTCATCGGAAATGTTGTTAACCTGTTCGTAACATGCACAGTTCATCAAAAAAGCCTAAGAGTGAATTCGACGGAGAGCATGAAATCTATGAAACTGTGTCTGCTGTCATACCTGATCAGCAGCAATCATTTTTAATTTACCACGGTAGCTGCTGACAAAAATATCAGCCAGATACATGTAGGTCTTTGTTATACAGTTGCACAGTATCCAGAATTCATTTCCTAGTTTGCAGCAACATTATTTCCTATTTCATGGTATCTGGCAAAACTGTCATATCACCCATGAAAGAGGCTGACTCCCATGCCAGATGATTATCTCTGTAATTCAGAATATCAAGAGGGTAGAACTGAAAGGTAGTGAAGCACAATAATATCAGCTGGAGAACCTTGTGATTATTAAATAGTGAGGGCCTGTTTATATCAGGGTGGGGGACCCCAGGTAGGTGAGGTAACCTGCCTAGCTGTGGTTGAAAAAAGAGCCTGGGTTTACATACAAACTTTCAACCCCAGGATCCTAAGATGGGGTTTTTGGTGGGCTTGTAAATAATTTAACGTGAACAAGACCCCAGCTGGGCAGGTTAACCAACCTTGAGGTGATTACATGGTGAATAGCTGGCAGACCAAACAACTGGCCTTGGCAGGTCACCCCTTCTATCATGAAAACATGATCAAGATTAAATAAGAGATTAGATGGACAGGTGGGTTTCTCCACCTAGATGGGTATCTCAACTACCTGGGGTCCCCCACTTTCATGTAAACAGGCCCTAATTAAAAGGAGGGGAAATGCTTTAAAATGCAAAACAATGCTACATTTGTGTGGTATATACTTATTTTGTAGAGAGATTGTCTGGTCTTCTCAATGGTGATCCATTGTTTTGATTAAGTAGTCTGTCAGGAATGTTACATAAGGAAAGCAGCAGCTGTGAGGAGAGAAATGATTCATGTAATTGCAAATGTGACAGGGGCTTAAGAAATTTTCCTTTGCTCTTCAGTTGAAGGTTTGTCTTCTAGTATGTTACCACTTCTTCTAAGTGCTGATCATTTATGTTAACCTAAATAAAAAGATAGGGATTCATTCTTTTCTTTTGATTTTAACAGACATCAAAATACGATCGTATTGTAAAAGTGCCTTTGGGTTGAAGGATGTTGATATTATTTGGATACCGCTTGCACAGAGGAATTCTTCATCTTGGGCTATCTACAGGATATCGTATTGTCCTCCGTTTCCAAGTTGCACACAAAATGAACAGTATCAATTGGGTTGCATACTGAACACAACACAGCATCAATTAAAGAAAGAGTTACAATGTAGAATGACTGAAGAGTCACTTTTCCCTAACAAATTTTATTATAATGTGGAGTTACAAAATTTATCTGGAGTCTTCGTAAGCCAGCGATTAACATGCCGCCTAAGAGGTATGGTAGGAAGGGAAACACCTTAATAAATTCACCTAAACAAATTCCTTGAGAAAAAAGACGTTTCAGATGCTATCCTCAATTGTGGCCAGAGTTTTAGCCTGAGTGGACCAACCAGTTGTACCTTGGCCAGGTGCAGCATACAACTGTGAATTGTGATTATCAGTTGAGTGAAGTGCAATAAAAGCTAACTACAGTGAGATCAAATGTCAAACATGAAAGCCCTCCAAAAGGAGTAGAGCGACAGGCTACCACTGGAAATAAAGTCTGTGAGAACAACTCAATTTTAATGCCAAATTGTGGTCAACAAACTTCTGTTGCGCCTCACCAAACCAAAAATTGTAGTTGTAAATGAAGCAAGAATAGGCTTTAAACTACCCACCATGACCAACAACCAAAAATTGTAGATTTATTTTGTAAATGAAGCAAGAATATTCTCTAGTCCTGCTGCAAGGGTTGTACCCTGATTAACCCATTTACCCCTAAAATGTAAATATAAATTCTCCCCACTGTTTTGTATTGAATTTCTGACCCTCTAGTTCCTATTTTACACATCACTTTCCTACTTGAAAGGGTATTGTTATTGCAGGGCTTACATTCAAGGGTTAATGTGGCATAGTTGGTTATTTATTTCATTTTAATTTTTATTTTGTTTATATATAACTTGTGTATTTATTTTTCTTACTTTGATGTAAGGCCTCTATATTACTGTACATATGTACTGTTCTATTTCAAATAGCTCATATAACTATAGTGTATTGAAACTTAAATATAAATAACTAAAGTTTGTAATTATTAGTTTTATTATAATTGGTTTATCAAAAATTATTGGTTGGAGCCCCAATTCTATGGTAGTGATTATATTCTGATCCCTATTTAATAGCCTTCAACTGGTTATTTGCATGCAAAAATTGCCTAGTTAAACATATTTTGGGTCAGATCATATTTTTTAAATCACAACTTTGTAACTTTGTTGTATTATCCTAACTGTGGCCTCTCATTGATTTGTTGAAGTTCACTGTACAAGGCCTCAAAACCTGACAGCCAAAGCAGTTAGGAAAAGAACTGTTTCACTTTCATGGAAACCTGCACCTTTTATGGGAAGATATACTGACTACTTGTGTTATAAAATTTGGTATGCGGCTGCAAATGACAAAAAAAATGAGGTAAATTTTACTTCTCTTTTTTTTTTCCTACATTTATTTTTACAGTGGCTGCTTTATAGTCTGCAGGGTCTGGGGTTTATACCCCTTCCTCCTCCCTCTGGAAACAATGGTTGTTCCTCCAAACTTCTTTGACCTTATGACCTCTCGTTTTTCATGACCTCACTTCATCCTCCTCCTCCTTGGAGCTTAGTGACCACTAGTCTCAAACTTCTCTCTACTTTTTGTTGAATTTTAGTCGGTACAGATAACCTTTAGGGGTGAATCACGGATCATTGATGACCTTTCTCCGTACACAATATACAAGTTTTATATCCAGTGTAGCTTGCCAAGCTGTAAAGGCGGTTGGGGATTGGTTGATGGACCTCTTACTGCCCAAACTCTTGAGGAAGGTGGGCTTAGCTCAGCAATTAATTTTGTTTCCAACGTTTAATCATGTCACTAGTATTTGTAAAAATCTTAGTTGATTTCCTCAACAAGACTTTTTTTCTTGTTCTATTTTGGTCACCTGATTGCAGCAATACTCACCTCTTATACTTTATGTAAATAAATAGTTTACTATGGGAAGTCTGAAGGAGGCTTTTTGCAGCAGGCCTATAATAAAATCTAGTTTAGTCACAAGAAAATAGTTAACCCTTTAACTCCCAGAAGTGACTAAGACAGAATTTCTCCTTTCAATATCAATACAAAACCAAGCAGACAAGTGATGAGAATAAAGAAAAATATCAGTTAGGGGATTATAAGTTGATCCAATACCAAATTCTCCAAACTAACATCACAAGAACTGTATGGGAGACAGTAAGGAGAATTACTAATGAGATCTTGGGAGTTAAGGGTTAAAGGTTGGTTATAGCCATCGAAACAAACTCCTTGTGAGCAATAGAATAAAGGTGGTACATTTCTAAAGAAACTGCAGTGCTGTGTCAGTGGGGGAGTATATCAAGGTAATTTGGTATTATCAACGGAGTTGATAATGTAAATTGGCCACCGTAAAGAGTTTCAAAGCTGACATTTTGAGCGAATAACAAAGGGCTAATGCTTGAAACGTTAGTCTTTAAACACTTTACAGTGGCCGATTTACATTATCAACTCAGTTAACAAAACCAAACTATCCATGTAGGTAACAGTTTTTGACTGTCAACGGTAAATGATTAAATGTCTAGCAGTTTTAAAGATCTTGTTTTGAATCTGGTTTTGCTTAAAACAAAGGCTGAAATGTACGAAAATATCTAAATTGCAACAGTGATCAGTCCAGGAAATGTAAATTTAGAAATGTTGGGATAATAAGGTGCCTGTGTAGACACTCAGGACCCTAATTCTAACATAGTCATCAATACCTTAGGTCAGAACTAGCTGGCTCAATTAGTCAGGAGTTTCAAGTTAATGTGCTGTTCAAAGTGGATTCAATTAAGATATTGGTTTATTGTGCTAGCAGGGCAAAATGTTTTTGTATAGTTAATCACATGATTTCGAGTGCAATTTGGAACAAATAAGCACGAGTAAATTTTTTTAAAGACTAACCAAAAAAAAAAAAATTAAAAGTGCTTATTTATTCCAAGTTGCACGAGAAAAATCGTGTGATTACGTGTTAATAATATACATGGAAAAATACGAGATGGCTTATCATAATTAAGCATAAGCAAAGCGCGCGCATCAAATGCAAAAATAATTTATTCAAACCGTGCGTTCGGTCAAATCAACTGCGTACGATCAGCTGCGGTGGCGAAAGAAAACCTACTTAAAACGCCGGCCATTGTTTCGCTCGGAAATGTTCAAATTTTGTTGCGACATCCAAGGCTCGCATTTGGTTGGCTATCTGTGAGTTTCTTTGATTATTGACCAATTAGAATGTCTGATTTGTTACTTTCTTCGCACTGAATTAACCCTCTTCTGCACTGAATTAACTCTCTTCTACACTGAATTACCTGAAAACTGCATTTATCTCAACCAATCAGAACTGAGTAATTTTTTCATATATATTTTTAGCTAGGTAATGGAATTCTGTCAATCAACGAATAGGCTTTGATGTGACTAGTCAGACCTGGTAATGCTTAACTCGCCCAAAGTGAGCTTGTTTGTTTGTTTTTAAATTTATTATTTTAATTGATTGCCTTCAGCACCAACTCAAGCTCCACAGTTTAGCAACTGGTCAGTAACTAACGCACAAGAAGAGGAACGGGATGTTACAGTTGTATGGCAGGTAATGCGTGCCTCTCTTTTTACAGAGCAAAATATACATTTAGGTATACTTGTTTACTTATTTTTTACCAGGCGTGAGGTAAAAACGGTAAAAGATTAACCCTTTCCACTCTAACATCAGTATGCAAACTCTCCATACTACGCTCTATACATTTCCTAAGGTGCTGACAAGGAGAATTTGTTCATGATTATTTCCTTTATTCTCGTTACCTAAATGTGCGATTCGGGGATGATATTGGAAGGAGAAAATAGGTGCTAATCACACTTAGGGGTTAAAGGGATCAGGCCAGCGCTCGGCTAACCGTCAGTCTAACGCTCTTTTATTGGAGTTTATGATAAATAGTGAGTTTAACCCTGTAACTTCCAGATCAAATTTGTAATTGTCCTTACTGTCAACCGTACAATTCATGTTATGTTAGTTCAGAGAATTTAGTATTGGATCAACTAATCATCCCCAAATTGATATTTTTCTTTATTCTCATCCCCTATCTGGTTGATATTATATTGATATCGTAAGGAGAAATTCTGTCTTGGTCACTCATGGGAGTTAAAGGGTCGATATGGATAATATGGTTCTGAATACAGGCGTGTGGGAAGAGTGATTTAATCATTATGTACAATAGAAGGGGAGCACAAACTGCACTTACTTTCAGCTGACAATTCAGCTCAAATATCCCTGGACGTCGGCTCGCCCATTGCGTATAGCTTTGTAAAAACTTAAGGCTAAATTATCAAATAACTTTCCTCGTTCATAGCTGCCACCTTTGATTACGTGGAATGGTGTCCCTAATAGATTCAACATAGACTACTGGAAGACCACAAAGCAAAATGATTCGTCGGTTCCAATCCCCAACTCCACAAAGAGCCTGCAAATTAACGACAGCTCGGCGACTGAAGCAACTTTACGGGGGTTAAATCGCTATGTTGAGTACCAAACACAAATCAGTATGTGCACAGCCGAGGGATGTGGACCGAAAAGTGTTCCTTGGCCCTTGGAAGGTTTGTCGTTGTGTGTTCCATTTGAACGGTACTTTTGCAGTGGGCGGATAAACTCAGGCTTATTGTAATTTGTTGTGAGATATTGTTAAGAGGTAAAATAGTGAGAATTGAAGCGACTAAGCGGCAAGGTAACATTGTGGCTTTTTCTTTTTTTTCTTCAGGCGAGGAGGCCGGGGAGAATGAACCCCATGTTGATAGTCTTTCTCTCGATAGTCCACTTATCTGGATTGTACTTGTAGTAGTAATTACTTCTGTACTTTTATTTGGCGTCGTTATGGCGGCGATTTTCTTGTACAGGAATTATAGAGTTAGGTAAGTCTTTTTGATTGTTTTTATTAGTACTTTTATTATTTTACTTGTATTTTTAAGGAGATACCTTAACTGTTTCGTTCCGTAGGAGAAAAACCATGAAATTCAGTTGTGAGTTGAAAAGAATCTTGTTATCTAACGGAGACCAGGACCAATCCAAAGATGGTTTTCGCTCTGAGACATTAACTACAATTTGTAATCTAGAGGAATTGTTGACTGGATATGCTTTCCTTTCCGTAAGCTCCTTCACTCTTTCTTTTTGTAGGCGACAACAACTACCATTGCGGCAAAGAATACAGTTGGTAAGGAATGTGGTGCGTCTTCTTTTTTCTTCTGTTTCCTTAATTCACCCATCACTAGGCTTGAGGTTTGAAGTTGGTTAGTTATAAAACTCCTCACAAACCGTTCTTTAACTTTAAAGGCGTTTCTATTGCAGGCCATGGTGCAGTGGGCGCAAAGTTTTGATGTTAGTTGTAAAATTCTAGTGATTATTGTTAAGCTCTAGTGCAGGTTTTTTTGTAACTTTGAGATTTTTCTCACAACGATCTCTTCCTATTTAGGAACCGCTGTATGAGGATTTAGAAAATGCAGCTTCAACCTCGGGAAATACTTACTACGACCGTATACATTCCCATGGAGACCTCACGGATCCTCAATTAATAATCCAAGATGGTGGTGATTCAAATTGTCGTGTTTTAGTAACGGACGATTTACATGGTGCAATTTTGTCGCGGTTGACAAGCTTGTAACAGGCCTACGACACTTCTTAGGACCATTTACACGCGCACGACATTTCCTCTTACAACATACCAAAATCGCGTACAATTTAACTTCTTAAAATATTCTAGTGTCGGCTATTGAACAGGACTTCTTCACTCCACAGCGAGATTAATTTCTCTCTGTCTCATCCTCTAAAAAAGTTACCTTCGCTTGTGTTTCGACGACTTACCATCAACCGCAACTTCGTCAGTCCGCCATTTTGACGCAAGAAATCTTTACTTTCCTCCCCCCAACTCAGTGGAAATTTGTCACAAAAGACGTTATCTTTACCGCTTTCGGCTACGATTGTCGCAACGTTTTATAACGTGTTTTAAAATCCAACAATCTTTTTTAAGAGAACTTGTTTTACTTATATGCTTATTTAAGGTTCTAGAAGGAACGGTATAATAATTCCTTTTTTATGTTCAAATTCATTGCATTTTAGGTTTTTTTAATGCTTCGTCATTTTAATTCTACTGATGTGTTCACTTGGATAATCTTGCTCAGATTTACTATCAATTCGTGTTTCTCCTTCCTTATAGAAGCTTAAAATTGAGGAGAAGAAAGATTGATTTCGATTCTCAACAGTGCTTATTCGCACGTGTATCCTGAATGTTATTCTGCTCCAATATTTGACGATATTTTCACTATAAATTGAGCAATACGCGTTGAAAAATACGCTATGAGAGAGACGAATGTGGTGCTACACACCCAGGCATTTCTAAGAAGTGAATGCCTTAAACAAATTATCCAAAGACTCTTAAGTATCAGAGAAAAAACTGAGGAGAACAAAGTTTAGTGAACGCTTAGAAAAATGTTTTTAAAATGTGTCAAGGGGAAGTGTACAGTTTTACTTTTTGCTTTTTAGTTAGTTCTGGTTTAGAAGGTGAACTCAAGCTTTCCGCTATTGAATTACCAAAGAAATCTATCCTGTCTTTGACGCCCCACTTCATTGGATTTGTCTGTCCATCTCAAAAGCTTAGACTTCAAGTTATTTGAAACCAAACTAGTCGGTTCTTATTTGATATCCCAAATTATTTTTGTGATATAGAAATGAGACAAGGATTAGATTTCCAAGAAATGTAACAGGGCTGCTTTAAATACTCAAGAGTCCTGTACCTCATGCGGAAAGAAGAGGAATTTTAAAAACATAGTTTTGAGTTTTCCACTTTGATTGTGTCAACTGAATTGTGAATATTAGCCGACTTTTTAATCATGGAATTATTAAATGCAGTTAAGTCTAATGAATGTCACTGTTCGATGTAATTTTGTCGGTCTGTAAAGTAGCTGATTTTCAAACAACGATTCATTGCCTAAGGGGTTCGTTGACAAAGTTCACAAACAGAAACTTAACAGTTACGGAAAATGTTGTAGTTCGTCGTGGTTTTGTAGATAAATGAATGTTTAATCTTTTACTTGCCAATGTAGAGTTAGGCTGGAAATTGCACCGATCGAGATGTTTCGACTGCTAGTCCCCTAGTCGTCCTAGTTGCCTGGCGACGAAATGAATTGTTTACGTGTCGCTTCTTGTATAACCTTGGTTTGTAATCAAAAAAAGACCACCTCGCATATGTTTAAAGGAGAAAATTCGAACAGGAGGAAAAAAAGCGTCGAGGGCTAACGCATTAAAACTGATCGATTAATCCGTCCACTTAGTCTATCTCCTGCAAACAGAACTATAATGATGCTTGTCCCATTCACGTTCTCCCTTACACTGTCGTTTGGCATGCGTCGCCTCAGTGCAACTGGTCTGTACTCTCACTGTGGACACTAATCCATTTCGACCAGGAATAATCTCTACAATTCGTCCAAGAGGCTACTTGCCTCAAGGAAAGGACTCGTTCTTCTTTTCTTATAATGTTGGCATGTAATCTCTCGTCCATCTATGCCAGAACAAATCAGCCAAATACAGGGCTTGCCTCTTTGCACGTCTAGTTTCGACTGATGGTAGATCACTTCCTTTCAATTGGTCTTTGAGGGGAACAACCCTTCAGCAAACTCGCTCACCAGCTCCAGTTGCAGCAGTTACAGTAACTCCCTCTTAATTGTTTGTTGCACCAAACATCAGTTTTGTTCAATTTCTGGCCTTCCTGATTAAGATTCTGGTTTGCACCACAACTACGAGGATTCGTAGGGAGGAGGATGTAGCAGTTATTTGATGTTCCTTATTGCGCCCTTCCTTCTGGTATTTGAGGGTTTTTCTGGGGTATATTCTCGCATGGTGGCCACAATCAAGACACTTGATACAAAGGCTATGTTCCTGTACTATCTTAATTTTGTCTTGGTAGGTTAAACCTGTAAATCTGCTACATCTTAATACTCCATATTGGTTGGAACAGACCGGACAACCCTGCCCAGTACCATTCAGTCCGTGTGACCGCTGTGTTGACCACTCTGAGTGTCATGACGCACCTGTACACCAGTGGATAGTGATGAAATTTTGTGAGGAAGTCGATCACGTCCATCTCACCTTTACCTTTCTCCTTGTCTGCCTTCTCCTTCCTTTGATGGACTAAAACTCAAGGTCTTCCCCAAATTCATTGATCAAAACAGGCTCAAAGTTGTGCATAAACGAGACATACCTAATCGGGTCTCCATTAAATTACATATACTCCACTTCAGGAGTGGAAACAACTTGACGTGGAATTTCTTCTCCGCTTCCTTGCCTCGGCGCACTAGTCCGTTGAGGTGAATGCTGTTCTGGGTGTATCGACATGAAACTGAATAGACTCATAACTATTAATATGGTGTGTTAATGGTAAATGTTCTTGGTTAGACCTGGTGCGTTCACTGGGTTCGTGAGCTCCAGGTCTTCTTTGTACTGTATGGTCCAATTTCCTAACCACAAATTTGATAAGCATACATATTAGGTGAGAAATTGTGTATAGGCATTAACATTTTCACTTTCTCATCAGATTTCAAAGCGTCGTGGGTGGCACTCATGGCTAATAAAGTCATGAATATTTTAGATTGAAAAGACACTAAAGACACCCCGCACCACAACTTAAGAATTACCCACAAGTAGTTTCTTCAAAACTACGAAACACTTCTAGGTGATTGTCAGTGGTTATTGCATTTCTCACCCAGCTGGGATAACGATTTAAATATATATATACTTACATATACTTTATTGATGCTCCCTAAGTGGGCTTTTCAGCTCAATAGAAAAAAAAAAAAAAATACAAATATATAAATTAATTGAGAATGTAAATACAATAATATTATAATTACAAAATATATATCAATAATATAATATATCAACTTAATAAAACGTTTGCAAGATGACGTCTAAAATTCCTGGGGCATTTTAAAGACTTAATGTTATCGTTCAAGGAGTTCCAGAGTTTGGCTCCTCTGAAAGCAAAGGACCGCTGCCCTGTTGACAGGCGACATAAAGGTATATCCAAAGCACCAGATGATCGAGTTTGTCTATTATGGACTTGAGAACGTGATTTAAACATATCAGCAAGATAGTCTGGAACAAGCTTGTTAATACATTTGTGCATCATAGTAGCGTCATTTAGAATGAGTTTCTCTCTAATAGGAAGCCATTTCAACGATCGCAACCCATCCGAAATATGGTCATACTTTCTTAGTCCCAGAATAATTCGCCCGGCAAAGTTTTGGACTTTTTGTAACTTGTCAATATTGCTGCTGCTGGTATTACTCCAGACAGTTGAACAATATTGGAGTTTACTAAAGACAAAAGAATTTATTACTAACAGAAGTGTTTTCCTATCCAGGAGGTGTTTGATTCTGTTAATTTGGTACAATTTAAAAAGGCATTTAGAGGCAATCTCAGTGATATGTTGGTTATAACTGAGGTGTGTGTCGAGAAGAACACCCAAGTCCTTAACGACAGGCACAGGTGTTATTTCTTTGTCAAAAAGTGTTATACTGAATGATGACAGTTTCTTTAAAAGTTGTGGTAATCCAACAGCTAGAACCTTAGTTTTGTCCGGATTAATCAAAAGAGAGTTTTTACAGCACCATTGAGATATTCTCGTAAGATCTTCGTTTAAGGCGAGGATGGACGTGGGTAATTCGGCAGGTGAAAAGGACAAGTACAATTTACAGTCATCAACATACAACGTTTAGGAACAGAAAGGAGGTCGTTAACATAGATTGTAAACAAAACCGGACCTAAAATAGAGCCTTGCGGAACTCCGAACTCAAGTGGGAGTACTTTAGAAACTGCGTCACCTATTCGAACGCACTGTTGTCGGTTAGAAAGGTAACTCTGAAACCAATTCAACGCACCCTGGGAAAAATCGAGATTTTGTAGCTTGGATAACAAGATGTCGTGTCGAATACTATCAAATGCTTTAGACATGTCTAATAAGACCATGATGGAAACTTTCTTGTTATCCATAGCCTGGAGCAACTGATCTGTAACGTACAACAGAGCTGTTTCTGTCGAGTGAAGCTTTCTATTTCCGCTCTGATGTGCTGCCAGTTTATTATTTCTAATTAGATGCTCCATAAGTTGTCCATGTACCAACCTTTCAGTGACTTTTGAGACTATTGGTAATAATGAGATGGGGCGATAGTTGTTAGGGACATCTGGATTACCGCATTTGAGAATAGGTGTAACCTCTGCTGTTTTCCATGCACGTGCAAATGTGTTGGTAACAAAGGAGTTATTCACAATGTTATTCACATTATTGGTAACAAAGGAGTTATTCACAATGTTATTCACAAATCGCGAGCTCTTACATCGAAATGTTATTGCATGATCTAACACATTGCCATTTTGCATCGATCCTAGCCTCCTCGTTTAATTTCGTGTGAAAGCGATGCTGGACCTGAAAATAGAGAGGAAAGCCACGTTTATGACAACAATTTCGCCTCTACTCATAGGTGACAAGAATGAGTACGTACAAATTAAAACCTCTAAGCCTGCGCCGATTACTTTGATGAGGTCAGAGCACGACACAGATGATGTTTAAAGTTCTCGTGAAGTTTGATAGAGCATAGAGCGCTTCATTTCCAGTCCTATCTCACTCACACTTCCACGGAGCCTCTGAAGTAAACTTCCACTCAACGCAGGGAATCTACACCACCTAAGAAATTCATAAATAAGAAGCGGTAGTATGGAACCTTATATGAGTTCAGTTATCACTAAGTCTGTTTCCCACGCGCTTTTTCTGCGAGTCTAGCTTGTAATTGAATATTACTGGTAATCTGGTTGTTTAGGAGCTTTTGAATTGGGCAGCTGGTACACTAAACCAATTTTTTTTACTGTCTATCCAGTTCTAGATTGATGCCCACTCTTACGAAGAGCTTCTCACTTTTCGTTACCGTACTCAGTTCGGCAACCTCTAAAAACCGCTTATCTCTTTCATCTCCATTATTGCTGATTATGGCACCGAGCGCTTATTTTTGAGATCGCAAAAAATTAGTCAGGGTTTAATTTTTACGTTAATAATCAATCTGTTTTGTTTCCCTTCGTAGCCGATACAACAAAACAGTTTATGTAATAAACACTGTGCAGCATACAACGAAATACATTTATTGGAGAATTAAAGGTTTTAACTAAGAGCTGGTGCATACAGTTTTATACAAAATTATCCTAAATAATTTTTAAAAGCACGACGTCGGGATTAAATAAAACATGTCTTTTCCTTCATTGCATTGTGATCTTATTGACTGAAAATTCTGTACCTTGTAAGTTAGTGCACCAGCCGGACGGCCAATCAACCTTGTTCCCAAGGTTCTGCCCCTGAGAGCAGGAGACGGGTAGAAGAGAGACTGAGAACGAGTTTGACACCACAGCCGCTCTTTGGGATCTCACACAAAGCCCCTCCTTTCCTAAGAAAGCGTTACATCTCAAGGATAGAGGCCCCCACTTTAAACCCACTTTTCCATCTACATGCAAAGCATATGGCCTACCTCGTTTCCAAATGATTATTCGGATCGCCCCGAGTTTTCTAAACGATGGGTACCATGCGGGCTATAGCATCCAGTACAGGTGATAATTTGTTTAAAAGCTGAGAATAAAGAGAGCAGCACCGGGACATGGTCAGTTTCATCTTTGAGAATGGCAAACTCAATCATTACTTATTTATTTTTTATTTTTTCTGATGAACAAATTACTGACCTAGTTTCATTCCAAGCCATCCTTTTTGCTTTTATATATACCTGGCGTAACTTATTATTTATTCACAAAGAGGCACGCGAATAGCAGGCTATTTCTAAGACAGGGTAATTTAGCAATATCAGCTGAGTTGATAACGTAAATTGGCCACGGTAAAAAGTTTAAAAAGCTGACGTTTTGAGCGTTATCCATTCGTCAGAGCAAAACATAATAATGTGGTACAGTTGGTTGTTTATTTCATTAAATTTTTATTTATCAACTCATTTGGTAATACTACTCTGTAATACTCTCCCACCGACGCAGCACCACAGTTTCTTTAGAAACTTGCCCCCTGACTCATATCTTAGAGAAAAAGCTTAAAACGCGCGCGAATTATTTACCTTTGTACTAAGAGACTCAAGAGTTGTATTCAGTTGTGAGGATGGAAGTGATGCTTTAAAGTTACTTTCCACCTTCAGAGGCCGAAAAAGTCGATTTTAAATTAAAGAAAGTCGTCGTCAAACCGGTTTCCTTTATTTATCCAAGTACCCGCCTTGATAAAAAACATAAACAATCACCTCGAATCGTAATTTTAAAAGCTGTCTGTCGATTCGTTGTCTTGCACCTCAGCACATTTTCCGGTTTTTCCATTTTTTCCGCGGGTTTTTCCTTTGCATTTGGCAACTTTGATCGTTACTGTTTCGTCCTCCTCAACGCTCCACTGAGTGATCGAGATAGAAAAAACAAAACGTGTCTGCAATGGGTTAATTTTCCCGGGAAATCATAACCCATCGTCATTGACGCTAGGAGGTGCCGTTGTCCCATTAGTTTGCAGTTTCAGGAGGCGGAATAATCTCCTGGCGTGGCGCGAGTTGTTTGCTATCCTTTATGAGCTAAAATCTCGCATTGATTTCGGGAGGAATACAGCCTCTTTGAGAAAATTTATAGGGTATATAAATTTGACCGATTTTCGTTAAATCTCGCCAAAATATTCCAGGAATAATAACAAACGAAAGCGTGTCGGGAACTGATATTTGAAATATTGATACACCACATGTATCAATGATACAAGTGGTGTATTTGTATCCCTTATTTGCATCCCTTGTTTTAGCCTAGCCATGCAAAGCAAGCGGGTGACCAAACTAACTAGACGATGTTCGAACAATACACGACAATGGGTGGGAAATAAACCGTTTCGCGGGAGACAGGCAGCTGCTACGGATAGAGGGGGGGGAGGGTGGGGCTTGGAGGGTTGGAAATTGCCTGTGCTGGTGAGTCCCATTTCTCATTTGGTCGGCAAATGATGAATTTCCTTCTTCATCATTTTAATCTTTTGAGCGTGCCTGACTTAAATTTTAACTTCGTATGTAAGAATAAGCAATCGTTTTTCGGGGCTACGTAGTCCATTCAGACGTTTAGTTGATAAACTCCGTCATTTTAATCAGGCTATGAGACCCGTTTTGCGTCCAGAGAATTAGAAAATTAGGTTAAAAAATGCAATTTCAGTTCCCAAAGACAAAGGGTCTGAACAAGTTTGAACGACATTGACAAGTTTTCAATCCGTATCTGAACAAATTTGAACGTCAAGAGCAAAGCGGTGTACTGTATTTTTGATAAAAGCATATTCGTTTTGAATCGGCCATCAAAAAAACTGAGGTGGACTCTTTACAGAGACACGGCAGAATAGCGCGACATAAAATAGTTCTCTTTTCAGACTAATTTTCACCACGAATACTGTTTAGGGTGAAGTGTAAAAGCCTAACTGAGGCTGAATTTGTTTGGTGTTTTTGCTCGCTGTCATTTTAGAGACGCTTAAAATTATGCAAATATCAATTATTTCGTCACACTAGGGGACAAACAGTATGGTCTTTATCTTAACACGTGCGCTAAGTGTTTTGATTTCAAGTCATATTTTAGCTGCTCCATAGGGGCTCAAGCCGACAATTAATTAAATTTTTAATACAAGAATCATTTGTTTTTATCCTGAAATACAAAAGAAGCGTTCTTAGGTTTCCATGGAAGATCGTAAATTATACCTGTGACGCGCGAAAAGCTGGGGAAAATCCCCCTAATAGAAAATAAAAAGATGATAAAATAAACACAAAAGACATGCATTCATTCAACCGCCAGGCCACAAGCGATGGCGGCGATGGTAGCAGTGTTTTTCTATATATTTTCCCTCATATTTCTCGTGCTTCACATCGTAACGGAAACAAAACCCACAGGTAAGAATCACATACGCACATATTTTTAGTTTTTCGCCTGAGTGTGACCCGAGCGCGTGGTAGCAAACCTGTAAGAACCCATGAATTCTATTTGATTGTTAACAACGCTGGCAACAGTACACGTTTCGATTTCCTCGATGATGCAACTGACGAAGTGACCAAAGTTAAGAATGCGCAACTTGTCTGCTTCATACTCAATCAGTTCAGGTCAAATTTTGTTACGTGGAAGACTGCGAGATCTGTCAATGTAAATCTACGCACAACACAGGTACACCTAGTTATAAAGCGACGATTTTTTTTAATTTTAAAACGCGCTTACGAGTCCTTATTTGTCTCAATTCACAAAACAAAAAAGGTATCGCGTAATTACGAATTTGGAACGGTAAAGAGAAAACGCCAGTTGCCTTGCAGCACACGCGCATTTAATAGTCTTGAATGCATATTCCAAAAATAAGGTAACTTTATCCGCGGGGAATTTATGGGAAATAACAACCCTAAATATTTGTTCTTGTATGACTCATTTTTATAAATATATCAATTTATATTGGATGATAAATCTTCGAAAAATGTTAATTTTCCGGCACAGATACCTTACCTAGCGTTGGAAGCGATCTAGATGAAACCTGAAAATAATATTTTGAAACGCATTGAACGAATTTCGATTTCAATTCATCTGAAGCACTCAATTATCTCGCTCTTACTCAAAGCTAAATAAAAATACTTCGAAAAGAAAAGTAGTTCTCATGCCCAAGAAATAAAAAAAAAGGAAATTCACGATTTTACGAAATCTACCAGCTAAATTATTTGTCAAGTTTATAGAATTTATTTCAATAGTCTTTCAGATATCAGTTCCTTTGAGATCTATTTAGCCAGCGGCTTAGGACAATAAAATAAATGTCACTCTTTTAAATTTGGCGGCAGGTGGGGGCTGTCCTGGTGTACCGGTACACTGGGGAATTCCTATTGTTTTCATATCCATACATGGAGTTGTGACGCATTCGTTAATGTTTCGTTCCTTTGTGTGCCGGTACACGAGGACACAACCGGCGAGTGTAAGGCGATCGAACTCATGCAAATTATAACAAACTATCTAGGAAAGGAATAGCAACTTGGGACTTTTTTTAAAGATTTGGCTAATTTGCAGAATACCCTGCCACTCATTTACATGTCAGTGGATAAGAAAAGCGTCTATTGTGTTATGCCTCGTTCTTGAAAGCCTCACGACACATGTAAATGAGGTGTACTAAAGAGGCAGGGTATTCTGCAGTTACTCCAAAGATTTTATCTTGAGGTGAGAGGAAAAGCTGATTAGAGCTATTTATGACGAGTTGATTCACTACGTTTTTTCGTTTATCCAGCCACAGGAGGTGCAGTACAGCCGCCCTTTGGGCAAATATTTGTCAAATGTTCCTGAATATGAGTTTCTCTTTTTCAAAAAGCTCAGTTCCATACACGCTTCAACGGAAATGTTGTTAACCTGTTCGTAACATGTACAGCTCATCGAAAAAGCCTAAGAGTGAATTCAACTGAGAGCATGAAATCTATAAAACTGTGTCTACTGTCATAACTGATCAGTAGCAATCATTTTTAATTTACCACAGTAGCTGCTAACAAAAATATCAGCCAGATACACCCTTGCGAACTGAATTCCCAGTTTTCTGGGAATTCCTAGGAATTCCTAGGAATTCTCAAAAATTCCCAGTTATGCTAATGACCCTTGCAAACTGAATTCCCAGTTTTCTGGGAATTCTCAAAAATTCCCAACTTTGCAAATTAACTCTGATTAAAAAGTTTGGAATTACTGGGAATTTCTGGGAAATTCTCCAGTTTTGTGAGGACTTGGAATCCCAAGGAATTCCTAGGAATTCTCAGCTTTAAAAACTACCTATAATTTAAGAAGTGTGGAACTCTTGGGAATTTCTGGGAATTGAATTTGAGGCAATTTTAATACCCTGAGGTCCACATAAATTCTAAGAAATTCTCAATACCTTGAATGTGAAGGTTTTAAGAAAAAGAGTAATTTCAGAGGCTAAAAACTTTGGCTCAATAAAAGGTATGCTATACAAAACTTACCAAGAGATAAACATACATGTATATGTTTATAACTTAAAGATCATGAAATTTATTATTCAAACTAAGTTGTAGTAAATCTTTACATTAATATGGATTTTCTCATGAACCAGCTGTCAGTTATGTTAAATGGAAATTGCCAATTAATCCAATGTACTCTTATCACAGATTTGCTTTCTAACCTTAAAGGACTCTTGGATTCCATGATCAAAAAATATTTTTATTGTGATGCAAATTAATGTCTCATGTTCACTGATGTACCAAAATCATCAAACACTCATTGGCTGTTCCTTGGTACACAACTTCCACAATAATTAACAATAATTACATTGTTATCTACACTTAAAGAACTTTGTTAGTTATGAACATAAGTTACTTCCCTAACCTACATTACTGGTTGCCTTTGTTAGAAAACCCTGGAACAGTCAAGCTCAGTTGCCTCAAACACTTTCAGAGACTTTTTGTTAACAACATTTTTAGTAGAAATTTTATGCCTTAGACAAACAAATTCAACAACTAATTAATCTTTCTTTTTTCATGATTGTTGTTGCTGTTTTTTTTTTTCAGTTTTTTGCTCTGTTTTCGTGACTAATTGCTGTTATTTGTTTTGCTGTTTTTATTCTTACAAAACATTTTTGTAAGAGTTCCAATACTTGTGGATCATCCACACGCTTTGCAAACATTTGGCATACAGACAAGACAGAGGTAGTCAATGTGCCCTTTGAGAAAAAACACCTTTTAAATGACATCTTCAATTTACTTTATTTGAAACTCTGATCTGAAAATATTTGTCAACAAGACTTGTTAGTAGTGAGAAGTACCAACCAAGTTTCCTTTCATAACTTAATTTCTTAAATGTCCCAATCACTGGATCTCCCAAAAAATATTACATCTTTTTTATTTTTGGTGCAAAATACAAGTCCTTCTTTATATAAAAATGAAAATTGCAAGTCACACTTCAATAATAACAGCTCTAAAGTTTACTTGTTGTTCTTCTCTGTCTGTCAGCTATCAACAAAATTGTTTTATACTTCATACAGTGCATAACTATTTGTGGACCAGAGTTCCAACGCACCTCTGTAATCGCATATAGTTACTTCTGTCTCTTGTACAAATGTATCTCCTTTGTAAGACGCACTCTACTCTGTTGTCACTACTGCTTTAAGTTCAGTGGAAACGACTGACTGAGGAATCGAGATGGCGGTGTTGGAACATGTTGCTGAACGCTTGCTACGATCAAGCTTTGTAGATTTAGGTACTGGTACACTGGGATCATCTATGTTTCTCTTATACTTCCTAATGTGGTATCCTTCTTTTATAAATATGAGGGTAAAAGACGATTTGTAGTCCCATTCAAAACTGTGATTAGCTTGTATTTCACCTTTGCCATGAACACAACTCAAGTGAGTTTCGAGTCTTTGTTTCCTCGACAACTTTCGGCCACAAATCGTGCATTTGTAATACGATCGATTCTTGTCGATTATTTCTACATAGAGTGAGCTCACATCATTATTTATATTACCAAGGTATCCATCGTCTAGAAGTAGAGAAACGGTCGGAGAAGTCAGAATAAAGTTGTGCGCTTCTCCTAACACTACAATCGGCAAGCCAGCGGATTCACTTTGCTAGCCAATTACAAGTCCTAAAAGATCCACGTGATCATGCCCGTGATCGGAAACAAAGAAGACTCCATTTGGCGCTCATCCTTGAATGTACTTTTCATCGGTTGATCGTTTTTCTCAACTGTTTTGCTTAATATAACATTTCTAAAGATAGCTTTTATTGTGGTTCAATGGGAAAACGAGAACAGCGTGAGTGTTGTAAAAGAAATGAAAGTCGTTGGCGCCTTGGAGTTAAAAGAAGGGACAACAGTTGACATATTGACTGGTACAAACAAGGGTCGAGTGGCCACCTGTAAAGCTACGATTTTGAAAGTTTGTGGTGAGTAAAAATTGCGATATTCGTTACGTGATCAAAATCTTATAAAAGAATAGATGTAGCGGGTTGAATTAAGCTTACATAACGCTCGGCGCAACTGAAACTAGAATAATTCTGAGAATCGAATCGGTCACTTGCATGCCGCAGTTTCTTAAGCTTATTTTTTACAATGAAATAAACCTATCAGTAAGGTTTCAAGATTCCTTTAGTAACGTTTGGGAACATTCAAGATTCATAATAGGAACTGTTATTAAACAAACCTTATTACATAAAGAAGCCCTCCTTGGTAAAAACAAAATAATGTATTCAGCCCTTTTTTAGTAAAATCTATGAGAGAGATATACTAACTCCAATATAAAAGTCACTCAATATAACAGAGATTTCTCAATTTGAGAATCCAATGAATGCCCTTTTCCTCAGCCATCTTAAAGGCCTGGTCTGAGCTTTAAATATATATATTTAAATATATATATTTTTTTCAAATTCAGATGTCATGGAACCCAGATACAAAATGGTCAAGCTTCTTGTAGACAACCTCATTCAAGGCCAACTCATTGTGAGCCTAGGAAAAAAATACAAACAGTAGCTAAGTTTGCATTCTAATTTATTGTTACAGTTACAACAAGATTTTTAATCAAAAAATCAATTTTATTTGTCTGTAATTAACCCCTTCACTCCTAAGAGTGCTTGGTTTTCAAATATAATTTAAGATATTGTATTTTATGGAAAAGAATCAACAGATTTTATTCACAATTTGTGTCAAACCAAATTTAATGATTGATTAGGACTATTTTATATGAAAAGCTGTAATTGAGGATTAATCCTTATGAAGTTGTCAAGAAAAGAAAATCAAATTCCATCCTAATATTACCACACATTGATGTTAATAATGAATCAAAAATATTTTACATGTAAGCCTTAATTAAGCTTCTAAATAAATTTCATTGAATACTTGAATTTTAGCTGGGTTTTTTAATTTAAAGTATTTATTTTATATCATGAGCCTCAAATTTTTGCTTAAAATTCCCAGTAATTCCCAGAAATTCCTAGGAGTTTTTTAGATTTACAGCTTTTCAGGGAAAGTCATTGGTTCTCTGAGTTGGAATTCCTAGGAATTCCAAGTCCTGTTGGCTATAAACTGGGAATTTCTGGGAATTTCTAGGAATTTCTAGGTTTTTAGAACCAGAGTTGTTATGGTTGGGAATTCCTAGGAATTCCCAGGAATTCCCAGTCTGAATTTACCATGAAAATTCACACCTTTATTCCTAGGAATTCCCAGGAAAATCCTAGGAATTCCTAGGAATTCCAAAAGCCATTTCGCAAGGGCATGTAGGTCTTTGTTTTACAGTTGCACAGTATACTGATTTCATTTCCTAGTTTGCAGCAACATTATTTCCTATTTCATGGTATCTGGCAAAACTGAGATTTTTGCAATGTAATTATCACCCATGAAAGAGGCTGACTCCCATGCCAGATGATTATCTCTGTAATTAAGAATATCAAGAGGGTAGAACTGAAAGGTAGTGAAGCACAATAATATCAGCTGAAGAACCTTTTGATTACTAACTTGTGAGGGCCTGTTTATATTTGGGTGGGGGACCCCAGGTAGGTGAGGTAACCTGCCTAGCTGTGGTTGAAAAAAGAGCCTGGGTTTACAAACTTTCAACCCCAGGATCCTAAGAAGGGGTTTTTGGTGGGCTTGTAAATATAACATGAACATGGCCCTAGCTGGGCAGGTTAACCAACCTTGAGGCAGTTACATGGCAAATTGCAATCCTGGCTGACAGAGTTACCCTAGCTGGCAGACCAGGCAACCGGCCTTGGCAGGTCACCCCTTCTATCATGAAAACATGATCAAGATTAATTAAGAGATTACATGGACAGGAGGGTTTCTCCACCTAGACGGGTTTCTCACCTACCTGGGGTCCCCCACTTTCATGTAAACAGGCCCTAATTAAAAGTAGGGGAAATGCTTTAAAATGCAGAACATTGTTTTGATTAAGTAGTCTGTCAGGAATGTTACAGGTGGAAAGAGGCATTTGTGAGGAGTGAAATGATTCATGTAATTGCAAATGTGACAGGGGCTCAAAAAATTTTCCTTTGCTCTTCAGTAGTAGTTTTGTCTTCTAGTATGTTACCACTTCTTCTTAGTGTTGATCATTTATGTTAACTTAAATAAAAAGATAGGGATTCATTCTTTTATTTTGATTTTAACAGACGTCAAAATACCATCATATTGTAAAGGTGCCATTGGGTTGAAGGATGTCGATATTATTTGGAGACCGCTCGCACAGAGGAATTCCTCATCTTGGGCTGTCTACAGAATATCATATTGTCCTCCATTTCCAAGTTGCACACAAAATGAACAGTATCAATTGGGTTGCATACTGAACACAACACAGCATCAATTACAGAAAGAGTTGCAATGTAGAATGACTGAAGAGTCACTTTTCCCCAAAATGTTTTATTATAATGTGGAGTTACAAAATTTATCTGGAGTCTTCATAAGCCAGCAATTAACATGCCGCCTTCTAACAAGAGGTATGGTAGAAAGGGAGACACCTTAATAACCTAGACTAAAACAAATTCCTTGAAAAAAAAGACTTTTCAGATGCTATCCTCAATTGTGGCCAGAGTTTTAGCCTGTGTGGACCAACCAGTTGTACCTTGGCCAGGTGCAGCATACAACTGTGAATTGTGATTATCAGTTGAGTGAGGTGCAATAAAAGCTAACTACAGTGAGATCAAATGTCAAACATGAAAGCCCTCCAAAAGGAGTAGAGCGACAGGCTACCACTGGAAATAAAGTCTGTGAGAACAACTCAATTTTAATGCCAAATTGTGGTCAACAAAATTCTGTTGCACCTCGCCAAACCAAAAATTGTAGTTGTAAATGAAGCAAGAATAGGCTTTAAACTACCCACCATGGCAAACAACTGCTCCAATAGCAATTTACAACAAACCATGGCCACCTGTTTTCCCACTTTCAAAGTTGCATCTAGCAGTGACATGTTTCTTCCTTGAATTATTTTGCCTTGCACTCTGCAAGAGTAGAAATTAAATGTAAGAGGTTTCCATTTTTTTCTCAAAGTTTTCTCCAGGAAAATATTTTCTAGTCCTGCTGCAAGGGTTGTACTCTGATTAACCCTTTTGCCCCTAAAATGTTAACATAAATTCTCCCCACTGTTTTGTATTGAATTTCTGAGACTTTAGCTGTGAGAATATGGTGTTTATGGTATACATATCCTCTAGTTACTATTTTACTTTCTTCTCATCACTTTCCTACTTCAAAGGGTATTGTTATTGCAGGGCTTACATTCCCTTTTGGTCACACCTGGGTGTGGAAGGGTTAATGTGGCATAGTTGGTTATTTATTTCATTTAAATTTTTATTTTGTTCATATATAACTTATGTATATATTTTTCTTACTTTGATGTAAGGCCTCTATGTTACTGTACATATGTACCTTTCTATTTCATAATGTCCCTAATTAGCTCATACAACTATGGTGTATTGAAACTTAAATATAAATAACTAAAGTTTGTTATTATTAGTTTTATTATTATTGGTCTATCAAATATTATTGGTTGGAGCCCCAATCCTATGGTAGTGATTAAATTCTGATCCCTATTTAATAGCCTTCAACTGGTTATTGCATGCAAAAATTGCCTAGTTAAACATATTTTGGGTCAGATCATATTTTTTAAATCACAACTTTGCAACTTTGTTGTATTATCCTAACTATGGTCTCTCACTGATTTGTTGAAGTTCACTGTACAAGGCCTCAAAACCTGACAGCCAAATCAATTAGGAAAAGAACTATGTCACTTTCATGGAAACCTGCACCTTTTATGGGAAAATATACTGACATCTTGTGTTATAAAATTTGGTATGCTGCAGTACATGACAAGAAAAATGAGGTAAATTTCACTCCTTTTTTTTTTTTTTTTTGCACACAGCAAAAATGAAAAGTATTTTAAATTTCTGTGATGATTTTTACTTGCTACTTCAGAGAATATCTGTTCACCTCCTAAGCATTTTTTTATACCCCTTCCTCCTCCCTCTGGAAACACTGGTTGTTCCTCCCAACTTCTTTGACCTTATGACCTCTTGTTTTTCATGACCTCACTTCATCCTCCTCCTCCTTGTAGCTTAGTGACTACTAGTCTCAAACTTCTCTCTACTTTTTGTTGAATTTCAGTCGGTACAGATAACCTTAGGGGGTGAATCACGGATCATTGATGACCTTTCTCCATACACAGAATACAAGTTTTATATCCAGTGTAGCTTGTCAAACTGTGAAGGCAGCTGGGGATTGGTTGATGGGCCTGTTACTGCCCAAACTCTTGAGGAAGGTGGGCTTAGCTCAGCAATTAATTTTGTTTCCAACGTTTAATCATGCCACTAGTATTTGTAAAAATCTCAGTTGATTTCCTCAACAAGACTTTTTTCTTGTTCTATTTTGGTCACCTGATTGCAGCAATACTCACTTCTTGTACTTTTATGTAAATAAATAGTTTACTATGGGAAGTCTGAAGGAGGCTTTTTGCAGCAGGCCTATAATAAAATCTAGTTTAGTCACAAGAAAACAGTTAACCCTTTAACTCCCATGAATGATAGAGACCAGAATTTCCCCTAACAATATCAATACAAAACCAAGCAGACAAGTGATGAGAATAAAGAAAAATATCAATTAGGGGATGATAAGTTGATCTGCTACCAAATTCTCCTAAGTAACATCACAAGAACTGTATGGCAGACAGTAAGGAGAATTACTTATGGGATCTTAGGAGTTAAAGAGTTAAGGGTTGGTTATAACCATTAATACAAACTCCATGTGAGAAGTAGAATAAAGGCAGTTCATTTCTAAAGAAACTGCAGTGCTGTGTCAGTGGGGGAGTATATCAAGGTAATTTGGTTTTATCAACTGAGTTGATAATGTGAACTGGCCACCATAAAGAGTTTCAAAGCTAACATTTTGAGCGAATGACAAAGGGCTAACACTTGAAATGTCAGCCTTTAAACACTTTACAGTGGAAAATCTACATTATCAACTCAGTTAAAAAAACCAAATTATCCATGTAGGTAATAGTTTTTGACCATCAATGGTAAATGATTAAATGTCTAGCAGTTTTAAAGATCTTATTTTGAACCTGGTTTTGCTTAAAACAAAGGCTGAAATATGCAAAAATATCTGAATTGCAACAATGATCAGTCAAGGAAACATAAATTTAGAAATGTTGGGATAATAAGGTGCCTGTTTAGACACTCAGAACACTAATTGTAACATAGTCACCAATACCTTAGGTCAGAACTGGCTGGCTCAATTAATCAGGAGTTTCAAGTTAATGTGCTGTTCAAAGTGGATTCAATTAAGATATTGGTTTAGTGTGCTAGCAGGGCAAAATCTTTTTGCTAGGTGATGGAATTCTGTCAATCAGTGAATAGGTTTTGATGTGACTAGTTAGACCTGGTAATGCTTAACTCGCCTAAAGTGAGCTTGTTTGTTTGTTTTTAAATTCATTTGTTTTAACTGATTGCCTTCAGCACCAACTCAAGCTCCAGAGTTTAACAACTGGTCAGTAACTAACACACAAGGAGAGAAACGGGATGTTACCGTTGTATGGCAGGTAATGCGTGCCTCTCTTCTTAGAGAGCAAAATATACATTTAGGTATACTTGTTTACTTATTTTTTACCAGGCGTGAGGTAAAAATGGTAAAGATTAACCCTTTACACTCTAAAATCAGTATGCAAACTCTCCATACTACGCTCTATACATTTCCTAAGGTGCTGACTAGGAGAATTTGTTTAACAATCAAGAGCTTCTTAAGTTGGTGACTATTTCCTTTATTCTCGTTACCTAAATGTGCGATTCGGGGATGATATTGGAAGGAGAAAATAGGTGCTAATCACACTTAGGGGTTAAAGGGATGAGGCCAGTGCTCAGCTAACCGTCAGTCTAACGCTCTTTTATTGGAGTTTATGATAAATGGTGAATTTAACCCTGTAACTCCCAGATCAAATTTGTAATTATCCTTATTGTCAACCATACAATTCTTGTAATGTTAGTTCAGAGAATTTAGTATTGGATCAACTAATCATCCCCAAATTGATATTTTTCTTTATTCTCATCCCTTATCTGGTTGATATTATATTGATATCGTAAGGAGAAATTCTGTCTTGGTCACTCATGGGAGTTAAAGGGTTTATATGGATAATATGGTTCTGAATACAGGCGTGTGGGAAGAGTGATTTAATCATTATGTACAACAGAAGGGGAGCACAAACTGCACTTACTTTCAGCTGACAATTCAGCTCAAATATCCCTGCACGTCGGCTCGCCCATTGCGTATAGCTTTGTGAAAACGTAAGGCTAAATTATTAAATAACTTTCCTCGTTCACAGCTGCCACCTTTGATTACGTGGAATGGCGTCCCTAATAGATTCAACATAGACTACTGGAAGACCACAAAGCAGAATGATTCGTCGGTTCCAATCCCCAACTCCACAAAGAGCCTGCAAATTAACGACAGCTCGGCGACTGAAGCAACTTTACGTGGGTTAAATCGTTATGTTGAGTATCAAACACAAATCAGTATGTGCACAGCCGAGGGATGTGGACCGAAAAGTGTTCCTTGGCCCTTGGAAGGTTTGTCGTTGTGTGTTCCATTTGAACGGTACTTTTGCAGTGGGCGGATAAACTCAGGCTTATTGTAATTTGTTGTGAGATATTGTTAAAAGGTAAAATAGTGAGAATTGAAGCGACTAAGCGGCAAGATAACATTGTGGCTTTTTCCTTTTTTTTCTTCAGGAAAGGAGGCCGGGGAGAATGAACCCTATGTTGATAGTCTTTCTCTCGATAGTCCACTTAACCGGATTGTACTTGTAGTAGTAATTACTTCTGTGATTTTATTTGGCGTCTTAATGGTTGTGATTTACTTGTACAGGAATTATAGAGTTAGGTAAGTCTTTTTGATTGTTTTTATTAGTACTTTTATTATTTTCCTTGTATTTTTAAGGAGATACCTTAACTGTTTCGTTCCGTAGGAGAAAAACCATGAGATTTGTGAGTTGAAAAGAATCTTGTTATCTAACGGAGACTAGGACCAATCCAAAGATGGTTTTCGCTCTGAGACATTAACTACAATTTGTAATCTAGAGGAATTGTTGACTGGATATGCTTTCCTTTCCGTAAGCTCCTTCACTCTTTCTTTTTGTAGGCGACAACAACCACCATTGCGGCAAAGAGTACAGTTGGTAAGGAATGTGGTGCGTCTTCTTTTTTCTTCTGTTTCCTTAATTCACCCATCACTAGGCTTGAGGTTTGAAGTTGGTAAGGTATAAAACTCCTCACAAACCGTTCTTTAACTTTAAAGGCGTTTCTATTGGAGGCCATGGTGCAGTGGGCGCAAAGTTTTGATGTTAGTTGTAAAATTCTAGTGATTATTGTTAAGCTCTAGTGGAGGTTTTTTTATAACTTTGAGATTTTTCTCATAACGATCTCTTCCTATTTAGGAACCGCTGTATGAGGATTTAGAAAATGCAGCTTCAACCTCGGGAAATACTTACTACGACCGTATACATTCCCATGGAGACCTCACGGCTCCTCAATTGATAATCCAAGATGGTGGTGATTCAAATTGTCGTGTTTTAGTAACGGACAATTTACATGGTGCAACTTTGTCGCGTTTGACAAGCTTGTAACAGGCCTACGACACTTCTTAGGACCATTTACACGCGCACGACATTTCCTCTTACGACATACCAAAATCGCGTACAATTTAACAACTCCTTAAAATATTCTAGTGTCGGCTATTGAACAGGACTTCTTCACTCCACAGCGAGATTAATTTCTCTCTGTCTCATCCTCTAAAAAAGTTACCTTCGCTTGTGTATTCGACGACTTACCATCAACTGCAACTTCGTCAGTCCGCCATTTTGGCGCAAGAAATCTTTACTTTCCTCTCCCCCCCTACTGAATGGAAATTTGTCACAAAAGACGTTATTTTTACCGCTTTCGGCTACGATCGTCGCAGCGTTTTATAACGTGTTTTAAAATCCAACAATCTTTTTTAAGAGAACTTGTTTTACTTATATGCTTATTTAAGGTTCTAGAAGGAACGGTATAAAAATTCCTTTTTTATGTTCAAATTCATTGCATTTTAGGTTTTTTTAATGCTTCGTCATTTTAATTCTACCGATGTTTTCACTTGGATAATCTTGCTCAGATTTACTATCAATTCGTGTTTCTCCCTCCTTATAGAAGCTTAAAATTGAGGAGAAGAAAGATTGATTTCGATTCTCAACAGTGCTTATTCGCACGTGTATCCTGAATGTTATTCTGCTCCAATATTTGACGATATTTTCACTATAAATTTAGCAATACGCGTTGAAAAATACGCTAAGAGAGAGACGAGGAGAGAGAGAGGCATTTCTAGGAAGTGAATGCCTTAAACAAATTATCCAAAGACTCTCAAGTATCAGAGAAAAAACTGAGAAGAACAAAGTTTAGTGAACACTTAGAAAAATGTTTTTAAAATGTGTAAAGGGGAAGTGTACAGTTTTACTTTTTGCTTTTTAGTTAGTTCTGGTTTAGAAGGTGAACTCAAGCTTTCCGCTATTGAATTACCAAAGAAATCTATCCTGTCTTTGACGCCCTACTTCATTGGATTTGTCTGTCCGTCTCAAAAGCTTAGACTTCAAGTTATTTAAAACCAAACTAGTCGGTTCTTATTTGATATCCCAAATTATTTTTGCGATATAGAAATGAGACAAGGATTAGATTTCCAAGAAATGTAACAGGGCTGCTTTAAATACTCAAGAGTCCTGTACCTCATGCGGAAAGAAGAGGAATTTTAAAAACATAGTTTTGAGTTTTCCACTTTGATTGTGTCAACTGAATTGTGAATATTAGCCGACTTTTTAATCATGGAATTATTAAATGCAGTTAAGTCTAATGAATGTCACTGTTCGATGTAATTTTGTCGGTCTGTAAAGTAGCTGATTTTCAAACAACGATTCATTGCCTAAGGGGTTCGTTGACAAAGTTCACAAACAGAAACTTGACACTTATGGAAAATGTTGTAGTTCGTCGTGGTTTTGTAGATAAATGAATGTTTAATCTTTTACTTGCCAATGTAGAGTTAGGCTGGAAATTGCACCGATCGAGATGTTTCGACTGCTAGTCCCCTAGGCGTTGCCTGGCGACGAAATCAATTGTTTACGTGTCGCTTCTTGTATAACCTTGGTTTGTAATAAAAAAAAATACTTCACCTCGCATATGTTTATAGGAGAAATTCGAACAGGAGGAAAAAAAGCGTCGAGGGAGTCCACATACCTGAAACTGCCTTGCCCGATGTTCAAACGTGGACGGCAAACGGCGAAAGTGATTGCCGGAGTCTGGTCACGTGACTCTAGATCTAAAACTCTCCAATGACTTCAAACTGCGACTTCCTAGGGAATGTCTTGTGAACTGGAAACGAAACGAAACGGTATACACACCGACCCCTGGATGAGAATTTAAACAACAGTCACATTTACACGCAAAGTACAGAGGTTACCAAATATAACTGAAATATATTTATAATGTTCCATAATGTCTCAAGCAACTGTTCGCAAAGTTTTCAAATGTTAAAAGGCATGATCTCCGGTTTAGTCTTACTCTACAATTTACGCTAACGCATTAAAACTGATCGATTAATCCGTCCACTTAGTCTATCTCCTGCAAACATAACTATAATGTTGCTTGCCCTATTCACGTTCTCCCTTACACTGTCGTTTGGCATGCGTCGCCTCAGTGCAACTGGTCTGTACTCTCACTGTGGACACTAATCCATTTCGACTAGGAATAATCTCTACAATTCGTCCAAGTGGCTACTTGCCTTAAGGGAAGGACTCGTTCTTCTTTTCTTATAATGTTGGCATGTACTCTCTCGTCCATCTATGCCAGAACAAATCAGCCAAATACAGGGCTTGCCTCTTTGTACGTCTAGTTTCGACTGATGGTAGATCACTTCCTTTCAATTGGTCTTTGAGGGGAACAACCCTTCAGCAAACTCGCTCACCAGCTCCAGTTGCAGCAGTTACAGTAACTCCCTCTTAATTGTTTGTTGCACCAAACATCAGTTTTGTTCAATTTCTGGCCTTCCTGATTAAGCTGACTCTGGTTTGCACCACAACTACGAGGATTCGTAGGGAGGAGGATGTAGCAGTTATTTGATGTTCCTTATTGCGCCCTTCCTTCTGGTATTTGAGGGTTTTTCTGGGGTATATTCTCGCATGGTGGCCACCATCAAGACACTTGATACAAAGGCTATGTTCCTGTACTATCTTAATTTTGTCTTGGTAGGTTAAACCTGTAAATCTGCTACATCTTAATACTCCATATTGGTTGGAACAGACCGGACAACCCTGCCCAGTACCATTCAGTCCGTGTGACCGCTGTGTTGACCACTCTGAGTGTCATGACGCACCTGTACACCAGTGGATAGTGATGAAATTTTGTGAGGAAGTCGATCACGTCCATCTCGCCTTTACCTTTCTAGATCTCCTTGTCTGCCTTCTTCCTTTGATGGACTAAAACTCAAGGTCTTCCCCAAATTCATTGATCAAAACAGGCTCAAAGTTGTGCATAAACGAGACATACCTAATCGGGTCTCCATTAAATTACATATACTCCACTTCAGGAGTGGAAACAATTTGACGTGTAATTTCTTCTCCGCTTCCTTGCCTCGGCGCACTAGTCCCTTGAGGTGAATGCTGTTCTGGGTGTATCGACATGAAACTGAATAGACTCATAACTATTAATCTGGTGTGTTAATGGTAAATGTTCTTGGTTAGACCTGGTGCGTTCACTGGGTTCGTGAGCTCATTTAGGGGAGAAATTGTGTATAGGCATTAACATTTTCACTTTCTCATCAGATTTCAAAGCGTCGTGGGTGGCACTCATGGCTAATAAAGTCATGAATATTTTAGATTGAAAGACACTAAAGACACCCCGCACCACAACTTAAGAATTACCCACAAGTAGTTTCTTCAAAACTACGAAGCACTTCTAAGTGATTGTCAGTGGTTATTGCATTTCTCACCCAGCTGGGATAACGATTTAAATCGCGAGCTCTTACATCGAAATGTTATTGCATGATCTAACACATTGCCATTTTGCATCGATCCTAGCCTCCTCGTTTAATTTCGTGTGAAAGCGATGCTGGACCTGAAAATAGAGAGGACAGCCACGTCTATGACAACAATTTCGCCTCTGCTCATAGGTGACAAGAATGAGTACGTACAAATTAAAACCTCTAAGCCTGCGCCGATTACTTTGATGAGGTCAGAGCACGACACAGATGATGTTTAAAGTTCTCGTGAAGTTTGATAGAGCATAGAGCGCTTCATTTCCAGTCCTATCTCACTCACACTTCCACGGAGCCTCTGAAGTAAACTTCCGCTCAACGCAGGGAATCTACACCACCTAAGAAATTCATAAATAAGAAGCGGTAGTATGGAACCTTATATGAGTTCACTTATCACTAAGTCTGTTTCCCACGCGCTTTTTCTGCGAGTCTAGCTTGTAATTGAATATTACTGGTAATCTGGTCGTTTAGGAGCTTTTGAATTGGGCAGCTGGTACACTAAACCAATTTTTTTACTGTCTATCCAGTTCTAGATTGATGCCCACTCTTACGAAGAGCTTCTCACTTTTCGTTACCGTACTCAGTTCGGCAACCTCTAAAAACCGCTTATCTCTTTCATCTCCATTATTGCTGATTATGGCACCGAGCGCTTATTTTTGAGATCGCAAAAAATTAGTCAGGGTTTAATTTTTACGTTAATAATCAATCTGTTTTGTTTCCCTTCGTAGCCGATACAACAAAACAGTTTATGTAATAAACACTGTGCAGCATACAACGAAACACATTTATTGGAGAATTAAAGGTTTTAACTAAGAGCTGGTGCATACAGTTTTATACAAAATTATCCTAAATAATAATAATTTGTCTTTTCCTTCATTGCACTGTGATCTTATTGACTGAAAATTCTGTACCTTGTAAGTTAGTGCACCAGCCGGACGGCCAGTCAACCTTGTTCCCAAGGTTCTGCTCCTGAGAGCAGGAGACGGGTAGAAGAGAGACTGAGAACGAGTTTGACACCGCAGCCGCTCTTTGGGATCTCACACAAAGCCCCTCCTTTCCTAAGAAAGCGTTACATCTCAAGGATAGAGGCCCCCACGTTAACCCCACTTTTCCATCTACATGCAAAGCATATGAGCCTACCTCGTTCCAAATGATTATTCGGATCGCCCCGAGTTTTCCAGACGATGGGTACCATGCGGGCTATAGCACCCAGTACAGGTGATAATTTGTTTGGAAGCTGAGAATAAAGAGAGCAGCACCGGGACATGGTCAGTTTATCTTTGAGAATGGCAAACTCAGTCATTACTTATTTATTTTTTATTTTTTCTGATGAACAAATTACTGACCTAGTTTCATTCCAAGCCATCCTTTTTGCTTTTATATATACATGGCGTAACTTATTATTTATTCACAAAGAGGCACGCGAATAGCAGGTTACTTCTTAGACAGGGTAATTTAGCAATATCAGCTGAGTTGATAACGTAAATTGGCCACGGTAAAAAGTTTAAAAAGCAGACGTTTTGAGCGTTATCCATTCGTCAGAGCGGAACATAATAATGTGGTACAGTTGGTTATTTATTTCATTAAATTTTTATTTTGTTATGTACATTATTTTTCTCTGACGAAAGGCTAACGCTCGAAACCTGAGCTTTTAAACTCTTATAAACTCATTTGGTAATACTAAATTACTCTGTAATACTCTCCCACCGACGCAGCACCACAGTTTCTTTAGAAACCTACCCCATGACTCATATCTTAGAGAAAAAGCTTAAAACGCGCGCGAATTATTTACCTTTGTACTAAGAGACTCAAGAGTTGTATTCAGTTGTGAGGATGGAAGTGATGCTTTTAAAGTTACTTTCCACCTTCAGAGGTCGAGAAAGTAGATTTTAAATTTTGTTTTATTTGACTAAACTGAACAACCCCAAAGAAGAAAGAAAGAGTACCATTCTGTCTGGAAATGAAAAAAGTTCTTTCGCGAAAGCGGCTAGTACTGACGGAGCTCCACTCTGGCGTCCTGATTTCTAACAAAGAAGTCGCCGTCAAACCGTTTTCCTTTTCTTTATGCAAGTACCCGCCTTGATACAAAAACATAAACAATCACCTTAAATCATAATTTTGAAAGCTGTCTGTCGATTCGTTGTCTTGCACCTCAGCACATTTTCCGGTTTTTCCATTTTTTCCGCGGGTTTTTCCTTTGCATTTGGCAACTTTGCTCGTTACTGTTTCGTCCTCCTCAACGCTCCACTGAGTGATCGAGATAGAAAAAACAAAACGTGTCTGCAATGGGTTACTTTTCCCGGGAAATCATGACCCATCGTCATTGACGCTAGGAGGTGCCCTGTCCCATTAGTTTGCAGTTTCAGGAGGCGGGATAATCTCCTGGCGTGGCGCGAGTTGTTTGCGATCCTTTATGAGCTAAAATCTCGCATTGATTTTGGGAGGAATACAACCTCTTTGAGAAAATTTATAGGGTATATAAATTTGACCGATTTTCGTTAAATCTCGTCAAAACATTCTATGAATAATGACAAACGAAAGCGTGTCGGGAACTGATATTTGAAATATTGATACACCACATGTATCAATGATACAAGTGGTGTATTTGTATCCCTTATTTGCATCCCTTGTTTTAGCCTAGCCATGCAAAGCAAGCAGGTGACCAAACTAACTAGACGATGTTCGAACAATACACGACAATGGGTGGGAAATAAACCGCTTCGCGGGAGACAGGCAGCTGCTACGGATAGAGGGGAGGGAGGGTGGGGCTTGGAGGGTTGGAAATTGCCTGTGCTGGTGAGTCCCATTTCTCATTTGGTCGGCAAATGATGAATTTCCTTCTTCATCATTTTAATCTTTTGAGCGTGCCTGACTTAAATTTTAACTTCGTATGTAAGAATAAGCAATCGTTTTTCGGGGCTACGTAGTCCATTCAGACGTTTAGTTGATAAACTCCGTCATTTTAATCAGGCTATGAGACCCGTTTTGCGTCCAGAGAATTAGAAAATTAGGTTAAAAAATGCAATTTCAGTTCCCAAAGACAAAAGGTCTGAACAAGTTTGAACGACATTGACAAGTTTTCAATCCGTATCTGAACAAATTTGAACGTCAAGAGCAAAGCGGTGTACTGTATTTTTGATAAAAGCATATTCGTTTTGAATCGGCCATCAAAAAAACTGACGGCGAAGAAAGTCCGACCGACACTCCTACCCCGTCCCCGCTTCATTTTCTTCCTGTCCTACCGGCCATGCGTGTCCTTCAAGAAAGGGGTGTTAGATTACTTCAATGGGCGTAAGTGTCGTTTAGTGCACGCGAGGAAGTCGAGTGAAATTAAAAAATGACTTATAAGACAGGATTTTAAGTCATATTTAGATTGTAAATCAAACGAGGTAATGAAACAAAACAGCTTGAAATTTCCATGGAAACGGAAACTTGGACTGAATTCAAGATGTAACTCAAACAGGTGGACTCTTTACAGAGACACGGCAGAAAAGCGCGACATAAAATAGTTCCCTTTTCAGACTAATTTTCACCACGAATACTGTTTAGGGTGAAGTGTAAAAGCCTAACTGAGGCTGAATTTGTTTGGTGTTTTTGCTCGCTGTCAGTTTAGAGACGCTTAAAATTATGCAAATATCAATTATTTGGTCACACTGGGGGACAAACAGTATGGTCTTTTTCTTAACACGTGCGCTCAGTGTTTTGATATATTTCAGTTCCTCCAAAGGGGCTCTAGCCGACAATTATTTAAATTTTTCATGCAAGAATCATTTACTTTTGTCCTGAAATACAAAAGAAGCGTTCCTAGGTTTCCATGGAAGATTGTAAATTATACCTGTGACGCGCGAAAAGCTGGGGAATATCCCCCTAATAGAAAATAAAAAGATGATAAAATAAACACAAGACATGCATTCATTCAACCGCCAGGCCACAAGAGATGGCGGCGATGGTAGCAATGTTTTCCTATATATTTTCCTTCATATTTCTCGTGCTTCACATCGTAAAGGAAACAAAACCCACAGGTAAGAATCACATACGCACATATTTTTAGTTTTTCGCCTGAGTGTGACCGGAGCGCGTGGTAGCAAAGCTGTAAGAACCCATGAATTCTATTTGATTGTTAACAACACTGGCAACAGTACACGTTTCGATTTCCTCGATGATGCAACTGACGAAGTGACCAAAGTTAAAAATGGGCAACTTGCCTGCTTCATACTCAATCAGTTCAGTTTTGTTACGTGGAAGACTGCGAGATCTGTCAATGTAAATCTACGCACAACACAGATACACCTGGTTATCAAGCGGCGATTTTTTTAAATTTTAAAACGCGCTTACGAGTCCTTATTTGTCTCAATTCACAAAACAAAAAAAGGTATCGCGTAATTACGAATTTGGAACGGTAAAGAGAAAACGCCAGTTGCCTTGCAGCACACGCGCATTTAATAGTCTTGAATGCATATTCCAAAAATAAGGTAACTTTATCCGCGGGGAATTTATGGGAAATAACAACTCTAAAATATTTGTTCTTGCATGACTCATTTTAATTTATATTGGATGATAAATCTTCGAAAAATGTTAATTTTCTGGCACAGATACCTTACCTAGCGTTGGAAGCGATCTAGATGAAACCTGAAAATAATATTTTGAAACGCATTGAACGAATTTCGATTTCAATTCATCTGAAGCACTCAATTATCTCGCTCTTACTCAAAGCTAAATAAAAATACTTCGAAAAGAAAAGTATTTCTCATGCCCAAGAATAAAAAAAAATGGAAATTCACGATTTTACGAAATCTACCAGCTAAATTATTTGTCAAATTTATAGAATTTATTTCAATAGTCTTTCAGATATCGGTGTCTTTCAGATATCGGTTCCTTTCAGACTCAAAATCGAGGACATTTACTTGGCCAGCGGCTAGGACAATAAAATAAATGTCACTCTTTTAAATATGGCGGCAGGTGTGAGGCGATCGAACTCGTGCAAATTACAACAAACTGTCTCGGAAAGGAATAGAAACTTGGGACTTTTTTTAAAGATTTGGCTAATTTGCAGAATACCCTGCCACTCATTTACATGTCAGTGTTATGCCTCGTTCTTGAAAGCCTCACGACACATGTAAATGAGGTGGACTAAAGTGGCAGGGTATTCTGCAGTTACTCCAAAGATTTTATCTTGAGGTGAGAGGAAAAGCTGATTAGAACTATTTATGACGAGTTGATTCACTACGTGTTTTCGTTTATCCAGCCACAGGAGGTGCAGTACAGCCGCCCTTTGGGCAAATATTTGTCAAATGTTCCTGAATATGAGTTTCTCTTCTTCAAAAAGCTCAGTTCCATACACGCTTCAACGGAAATGTTGTCAACCTGTTCGTAACATGTACAGCTCATCGAAAAAGCCTAAGAGTGAATTCAACTGAGAGCATGAAATCTACAAAACTGTGTCTGCTGTCATACCTGATCAGCAGCAATCATTTTTAATTTACCACAGTAACTGCTTACAAAAATATCAGCCAGATACATGTAGGTCTTTGTTTTAGAGTTGCACAGTATACTGATTTCATTTCCCAGTTTGCAGCAACATTATTTCCTATTTCATGGTATCTGGCAAAACTGAGATTTTTGTAATGTAATTATCACCCATGAAAGAGGCTGACTCCCATGCCAGACGATTATCTCTGTAATTCAGAATATCAAGAGGGTAGAACTGAAAGGTAGTGAAGCACAATAATATCAGCTGAAGAACCTTGTGATTACTAACTTGTGAGGGCCTGTTTATATTTGGGTGGGGGACCCTAGGTAGGTGAGGTAACCTGCCTAGCTGTGGTTGAAAAAAGAGCCTGGGTTTACATACAAACTTTCAACCCCAGGATCCTAAGAAGGGGTTTTTGGTGGGCTTGTAAATATAACATGAACATGGCCCTAGCTGGGCAGGTTAACCAACCTTGAGGCGGTTACATGGCAAATTGCAATCCTGGCTGACAGAGTTACCCTAGCTGGTAGACCAGGCAACCGGCCTTGGCAGGTCACCCCTCCTATCATGAAAACATGATCAAGATTAATTAAGAGATTACATGGACAGGTGGGTTTCTCCACCTAGACAGGTATCTCACCTACCTGGGGTCCCCCACTTTCATGTAAACAGGTCCTAATTAAAAGTATGGGAAATGCTTTAAAATGCAGAACATTGTTTTGATTAAGTAGTCTGTCAGGAATGTTACACATGGAAAGAGGCAGTTGTGAGGAGTGAAATGATTCATGTAATTGCAAAATGTGACAGGGGCTCAAAAAAATTTCCTTTGCTCTTCAGTAGTAGTTTTGTCTTCTAGTATGTTACCACTTCTTAGTGTTGATCATTTATGTTAACTTAAATAAAAAGATAGGGATTCATTCTTTTATTTTGATTTTAACAGATGTCAAAATACCATCATATTGTAAAAGTGCCATTGGGTTGAAGGATGTTGATATTATTTGGAGACCACTCGGACAGAGGAATTCCTCATCTTGGGCTGTCTACAGAATTTCATATTGTCCTCTGTTTCCAAGTTGCACAGAAAATGAACAGTATCAATTGGGTTGCATACTGAACACAACACAGCATCAATTACAGAAAGAGTTGCAATGTAGAATGACTGAAGAGTCACTTTTCCCCAAAATGTTTTATTATATTGTGGAGTTACAAAATTTATCTGGAGTCTTCATAAGCCAGCGATTAACATGCCGCCTACTATCAAGAGGTATGGTAGAAAGGGAAACACCTTAATAAATTCACCTAAACAAATTCCTTGAGAAAAAAGACTTTTCAGATGCTATCCTCAATTGCAGCCAGAGTTTTAGCCTGAGTGGACCAACCAGTTGTACCTTGGCCAGGTGCAGCATACAACTGTGAATTGTGATTATCAGTTGAGTGAGGTGCAATAAAAGCTAACTACAGTGAGATCAAATGTCAAACATGAAAGCCCTCCAAAAGAAGTAGATTAACAGGCTACCACTGGAAATGGAGTCGGTGAGAACAACTCAATTTTAATGCCAAATTGTGGTCAACAAACTTCTGTTGCACCTCACCAAACCAAAAATTGTAGTTGTAAATGAAGCAAGAATAGGCTTTAAACTACCCACCATGGCAAACAACTGCTCCAATAGCAATTTACAACAAGCCATGGCCACCTGTTTTCCGACTTCCAAAGTTGCATCTAGCAGTGACATGTTTCTTCCTTGAATTATTTTGCCTTGCACTCTGCAAGAGTAGAAATTAAATGTAAGAGGTTTCCATTTTTTTTCTCAAAGTTTTCTCCAGGAAAATATTTTCTAGTACTGCTGCAAGGGTTGTACTCTGATTAACCCTTTTACCCCTAAAATGTAAACATAAATTCTCCCCACTGTTTTGTATTGAATTTCTGAGACTTTAGCTGTGCGAATATGGTGTCTATGGTATACATATCCTCTAGTTACTATTTTACTTTCTTCACATCACTTTCCTACTTGAAAGGGTATTGTTATTGCAGGGCTTAAATTCCCTTTTGGTCACACCTGGATGTGGAAGGGTTAATGTGGCACAGTTGGTTATTTATTTCATTTAAATTTTTATTTTGTTCATATATAACTTATGTATATATTTTTCTTACTTTGATGTAAGGCCTCCATGTTACTGTACATTAATGTACCTTTCTATTTCATAATGTCCTCAATTAGCTCATATAACTATAGTGTATTGAAACTTAAATATTAATAACTTAAGTTTGTTACTATTAGTTTTATTATTATTGGTCTATCAAAAATTATTGGTTAGAACCCCAATCCTATGGTAGTGATTAAATTCTGATCCCTATTAAATAGCCTTCAACTGGTTATTTGCATGCAAAAATTGTCTAGTTAAACATGTTTGGGTCAGATCATATTTTTTAAATCACAACTTTGCAACTTTGTTGTATTATCCTAACTATGGTCTCTTGTTGATTTGTTGAAGTTCACTGTACAAGGCCTCAAAACCTGACAGCCAAGGCAGTTTGGAAAAGAACTATGTCACTTTCATGGAAACCTGCACCTTTTATGGGAAGATATTCCAATATCTTGTGTTATAGAATTTGGTATGCTGCAGCACATGACAAGAAAAATGAGGTAAATTTTCCCCCTTTTTTTTTTTTTTTTTTTGCTCACAGCAAAAATGAAAAGTATTTTAAATTTCTGTGATGATTTTTACTTGCTACCTCAGAGAATATCTGTTCACCTCCTACACATTTTTTTATACCCCTTCCTCCTCCCTCTGGAAACACTGGTTGTTCCTCCCAACTTCTTTGACCTGATGACCTCTTGTTTTTCTTGACCTCACTTCCTCCTCCTCCCCCTTGAAGCTTAGTGACTACTAGTCTCAAACTTCTCTCTACTTTTTGTTGAATTTTAGTCGGTACAGATAACCTTAGGGGGTGAATCACGGATCATTGATGACCTTTCTCCGTACACAGAATACAAGTTCTATATCCAGTGTAGCTTGTCAAACTGTGAAGGCAGCTGGGGATTGGTTGATGGGCCTGTTACTGCCCAAACTCTTGAGGAAGGTGGGCTTAGCTCAGCAATTAATTTTGTTTCCAACGTTTAATCATGCCACTAGTATTTGTAAAAATCTCAGTTGATTTCCTCAACAAGACTTTTTTTCTAGTTCTATTTTGGTCACCTGATTGCAGCAATACTCACTTCTTATACTTTTATGTAAATAAATAGTTTACTATGGGAAGTCTGAAGGAGGCTTTTTGCAGCAGGCCTATAATAAAATCTAGTTTAGTCACAAGAAAACAGTTAACCCTTTAACTCCCATGAATGACCGAGACAGAACTTCCCCTAACAATATCAATACAAAACCAAGCAGACAAGTGACGAGAATAAAGAAAAATATACATTAGGGGATTATAAGTTGATCTGTTACCAAATTCTCCTAAGTAACATCACAAGAACTGTATGGCAGACAGTTAGGAGAATTACTTATGGGATCTTAGGAGTTAAAGAATTAAAGGTTGGTTATAACCATCTAAACAAACTCCATGTGAGAAGTAGAATAAAAGCTGAACATTTCTAAAGAAACTGCAGTACTGTGTCTGTGGGGGAGTATATCAAGGTCATCTGGTTTTATCAACTGAGTTGATAATGTGAACTGGTCACCGTAAAGAGTTTCAAAGCTGACATTTTGAGCGAATGACAAAGGGCTAACACCTGAAACGTCAGCCTTTAAACACTTTACAGTGGCCAATCTACACTATCAACTCAGTTAAAAAAACCAAATTATCCATGTAGGTAATAGTTTTTGGCTGTCAATGGTAAATAAATGGTAAGTGGATTCAATTAAGATATTGGTTTATTGTGCTAGCAGGGCAAAATGTTTTTGCTAGGTAATGGATTCTGTCAATCAACGAATAGGTTTTGATGTGACTAGTTAGACCTGGTAATGCTTAACTCGCCCAAAGTGAGCTTGTTTGTTTGTTTTTAAATTTATTTATTATAATTGATTGCCTTCAGCACCAACTCAAGCTCCACAGTTTAGCAACTGGTCAGTAACTAACACACAAGAAGAGGAACGGGATGTTACAGTTGTATGGCAGGTAATGCGTGCCTCTCTTTTCAGAGAGCAAAATATACATTAAGGTATACTTGTTTACTTGTTTTTTACCAGGCGTGTGGTAAAAACGGTAAAAGATTAACCCTTTCCACTCTAACATCAGTATGCAAACTCTCCATACTACGCTCTATACATTTCCTAAGGTGCTGACAAGGAGAATTTGTTTATCAATCAAGAGCTTCTTAAGTTGGTGACTATTTCCTTTATTCTCGTTACCTAAATGTGCGATTCGGGCATAATATTGGAAGGAGAAAATAGGTGCTAATCACACTTAGGGGTTAAAGGGATAAGGCCAGCGCTCAGCTAACCGTGAGTCTAACGCTCTTCTATTGGAGTTTACGATAAACAGGGTTCGAATTTAACTTTTTTCTAAGGGAGCCAACTGGCGATTAACCTAAAAATTTTGGTCGCCAAATGGAAGGGTTTGATTACTTAGTTAACTAGCTAATGTAAAAGCGGCATGTTACAGTCAATTGGTATCCCCGTTGGGATACAGAGTTCCACGGATCTGCTTCACTTCAGTGAAGACCTCTGGAAATGTGGCCTCCTCAGCCTTTCGCCTGCATCCCTGTTCCTTGCCAACCATTTATTGACGCTAGGTGTGGAGTCAAATTCGGCTGCTGGAGGCCCCTCTGCTGAAATGCGAATCAAATCTTCCAACGTAGACACGGCGAGGTTGACTCGTACGCTGCTCTTGATTGCTTCTGGTTGGATAATGACTGCACGATAGACTGTTCATTAGTTAAAAGTGGCCATACTTTTGGGACTCTTGTTTTATTACTGGCATTTACTCTGTTTACTGGTATTTAGGTAAAGTATTAAAAGATTAATTGAGCGCGCGTGTTTCGGCTGACGCTTTATTTGTCACGACTCGTCACGATTTTCGCCACGTCACGTTTTCGCCCGCGATATCAAAATTGGGAGAAGCCGCTGAAACAATATGGCGCCGGGTAAATATGGTGATCGTAAGATCGTCGCTTTGTTTTACTACAATTGTCCACGGCAGCTTTATGTTTTCTTTTAAAAAAAGCCCATTTACCTTGGAATTTCAAATGCCGAGGGGAAAAAAGGTTAGTCGCCTGCTGGCGACCAGTTCTAAATTTCTGGTCGCCAACGCTCAATTTTTGGTCGCATTGGCGACCAGTCAGTCGCAATGTCGGACCCTGATAAATAGTGAGTTTAACCCGGTAACTCCCAGATCAAATTTGTAATTGTCCTTACTGTCAACCATACAATTCTTGTAATGTTAGTTCAGAGAATTTAGTATTGGATTAACTAATTATCCCCAAATTGATATTTTTCTTTATTCTCATCCCTTATCTGGTTGATATTATATTGATATCGTAAGGAGAAATTCTGTCTTGGTCACTCATGGGAGTTAACGGGTCGATATGGATAATATGGTTCTGAATACAGGCGTGTGGGAAGAATGATTTAATCATTATGTACAACAAAAGAGGAGCACATACTGCACTTACTTTCAGCTGACAATTCAGCTCAAATATCCCTGCACGTCGGCTCGCCCATTGCGTATAGCTTTGTGAAAACGTAAGGCTAAATTATTAAATAACTTTCCTCGTTCACAGCTGCCACCTTTGATTACGTGGAATGGTGTCCCTAATAGATTCAACATAGACTACTGGAAGACCACAAAGCAAAATGATTCGTCGGTTCCAATCCCCAACTCCATAAAGAGCCTGCAAATTAATGACAGCTCGGCGACTGAAGCAACTTTACGGGGGTTAAATCGCTATGTTGAGTACCAAACACAAATCAGTATGTGCACAGCCGAGGGATGTGGACCGAAAAGTGTTCCTTGGCCCTTGGAAGGTTTGTCGTTCTGTGTTCCATTTGAACGGTACTTTTGCAGTGGGCGGATAAACTCTGGCTTATTGTAATCTGTTGTAAGATATTGTTAAAAGGTAAAATAGTGAGAATTGAAGCGACTAAGCGGCAAGATAACATGGTGCTTTTTTTTCTTCAGGCGAGGAGGCCGGGGAGAATGAACCCTATGTTGATAGTCTTTCCCTCGATAGTCGGCTTATCTGGATTGTACTTGTAGTTACTGTGATTTTAATTGGCGTCTTAGTGGGGATTTACTTGTACAGGAATTATAGAGTTAGGTAAGTCTTTTTGATTGTTTTTATTAGTACTTTTATTATTTTCCTTGTATTTTTAAGGAGATACCTTAACTGTTTCGTTCCGTAGGAGAAAAACCATGAAATTTGTGAGTTGAAAAGAATCTTGTTATCTAACGGAGACTAGGACCAATCCAAAGATGGTTTTCGCTCTGAGACATTATCTGCAATTTGTAATTTAGAGGAATTGTTGACTTGGATATGCGTTCCTTTCCGTAAGCTCCTTCACTCTTTCTGTCTGAGTCGCTCGCTGTACTTATCTATGTATTTGTTTGTTTGTCTATGTAGGCGACAACAACCACCATTGCGGCAAAGAATACAGTTGGTGAGGAATGTGGTGCGTCTTCTTGTTTTTTCTTCTGTGTCCTTAATTCACCCATCACTAGGCTTGAGGTTTGAAGTTGGTTAGTTGTAAAACTCCTCACAAACCGTTCTTTACTTTAAAGGCGTTTCTATTGCAGGCCATGGTGCAGTATGCGCAAAATTTTGATGTTAGTTGTAAAATTCTAGTGATTATTGTTAAGTTCTAGTGCAGGTTTCTTTTTGTAACTTTGAGATTTTTCTCTCGACGATCTCTTCCTATTTAGGAACCGCTGTATGGGGATTTAGAAAATTCAGCTTCAACGTCGGAAAATTCTTACTACGACCATATACATTCCCATGGAGACCTCACGGATCCTCAGTTGATAATCCAAGATGGTGGTGATTTAAATAGTCGTGTTTAAGTAACGGACGATTTACATGGTGCAACTTTGTCGCGTTTGAGAAACTTGTAACAGGCCCTCTACACTTCTTAGGACCATTTACACGCGCATGACATTTCCTCTTACGACATACCAAAATCGCGTACAATTTAACTCCTTCTTAAAATATTCTTGTGCTTTTAAAAAAGTAACCTTCGCTTGTGTATTCGACGACTTACCGTCAACTGCAACTTCGTCATTCCGCCATTTTGGCGCAAGAAATCTTTACTTTCCTCTCCCCCTACTGAATGGAAATTTGTCACAAAATACGTTATCTTACCGCTTTCGGCTACGATTGTCGCCGTGTTTTATAACATGTTTTAAAATCCAACTATTTTTTTAAGAGAACCTGTTTCACTTATTTACTTATTTAGGGTTTTTAGAAGGAACGGTATAAAAATTCCTCTTTTATGTTCAAATTCATTATATTTTAGGGTTTTTTAATGCTTCCTCGTTTTGATTCTACTGATGTGTTCACTTCGACAATCTTGCTCAGATTTACTATCAATTCGTGTTGCTCCCCCCTTATGGAAGCTTAAAACTGAGGATGAAGAAAGATTGATTCGATTCTCAACAATGCCTATACGCACGCGTATCCTGAATTTTATTCTGTTCCAATATTGACGATATTTTCACTATAAATTGAGCAGTACACGTTGAAAACCAGCTTATAGAGAGAGAGAGAGAGAGAGAGAGAGAGACGAATGTGGTGTTACACACCCAGACATTTCTTAGAAGTGAATACCTTGAACAAATTATCCAAAGACTCTCAAGCATCACAGAAAAAACTGAGAAGAACAAAGTATAGTGTTAATGACTCCAAATTGGTATCCTCGTGGAGCACTTAGAAAAATATTTTGAAAATGTATAAAGGGAAAGTGTACAGTTTTAGTTTTTAGTTAGTTCTAGTTTAGAAGGTGAACTTAAGCTTCCGCTATTGAATTACCAAAGAAATCTGTCCTGTCTTTGACGCCCCACTTCATCGGATTTGTCTGTCCGTCTTAAAAGCTTAGACTTCAAGTTATTTAAAACCAAAACAGTCGGTTCTTATTTGATATCCCAAATTATTTTTGTGATATAGAAATGAGACAAGGATTAGATTTCCAAGAAATGTAATAGGGCTGCTTTAAATACTCAAGAGTCCAGTACCTCATGCGGAAAGAAGAGGAATTTTAAAAACATAGTTTTGAGTTTTCCACTTTGACTGTATGAACTGAATAGTGAATATTAGCTGACTTTTCATCATGGAAATATTAAATGCAGTTAAGTCTAATGAATGTCACTGTTCGATGTAATTTTGTCGGTCTGTAAATAAAGTAACTGATTTTCAAACAACGTTTCATTGCATGAAGGGTTCGTTGACAAAGTTCACAAACAGAAACTTAACACTTATGGAAAATGTTGTAGTTGGTCTTGGTTATGTAGATAAATGAATGTTTAATCTTTTGCCTGCCAATGTAGAGTTAGGCTGGAGATTGCATTGATCGAGACGTTTCGACTGCTAGTCCCCTGGTCGTCTGGCGACGAAATCAATTGTTTAAGTGTCGCTTCTTGTATTACCTTGGTTTGCGGTCTATGAGGGCGGTTCGGTGCGCTGTCATTGGTGTACTTTGATCATATCATTGTTCCAACCACTAGATGAATTTCTGATCGGCAGTTGTGCTTTTGGGTAGAAGGCATCCATGCCGCAGGAATTTCGATTCCGTCGTCTCTATTGAGTGATATTAGGATGAAGTCTTATGTGGATTATGATATTTATGGTAAGAATGTTCATATTTCCTAAATGTTAGTAGTGCCAAATGAAGACGAGACGATGTCGTGACTGGTAAAGGGGAGGGATTAGGGAAGTACAACAAAAGGAATCCTTGCCTAACCGGGCTACGGCAACGCAACTTGTACTTTTAATTCTCGTGCTCTGTAGGAGGCCCGAGTTTTTGATTCGAGGTTTTTTCCCGTTTAGGTTCTTAATGCATGCGCTAGTACGAGTTTTCTGCATGTTGGCTTCAAGTGCTGTTTGAGAAGCAGTTGAAAACACGAGATGACATTTCCCACATGCCTTAAAAGGTTTTACCTTACACTTAGGTATGCATGTAGTTCACCAAAAAAAAAAATATATATGCTTCGAATTGTCGTTGCGACCTTTCTTCACTTTTAATCTCCGCCTGGTGTCTGTTTCTACTTAGTTTCCCGACTTACGGTCTTCATAGTACGATAACATAACAGCCCGCTCCATATTAGCTAAATTAAATTTCGGAGTACGCCAATCATTGATCCTAAATACGAACCATTTGCTGCGAAATATCGTGCTTCATGGAGTGATACAACAGCAGTTGGCCTCATTGCCCGAAGGCACACAGCAGTGTGAAGTGGAACATCGGAAGTGACGACCTAGTGAGACAAATCATGAATAACATGCTTTCAAAAAAATTCTCTTTTTTATTTTAATTTTTTTCTGTTAATCTGATTTTTTTGTTTGTCATTTCGTGTAGTATTTTGATTTCTCCACGCTGACCACCTTAATTTAGTTTTCGTCACGAAATTTGATTTACATTTAAGGCAGAAGACGTGCTCCGAGTTATCTCTAACAATAGAAAATGGTCGACCGGACAAAGGTTAATCGGGATTAAGATATACACACTCTTCAAGGCACGAAAGCTTCGCGACTCACGCACAACATTTTGCTTCACGTTTCACAACTCGCTGCAGCGCACGCCTTTCACGGCTTGAATGTTTGCCTATAGACTGATTCTCCGTAACCAATAGTCATAGCCCGATGTGTTCGTGGCAGATTCTCGCCTCAAATGTTTTTTTTCAGAATTTTTCTGGTGGGAATTTTGTTTTGCTTTTCTTTCTAAATTTAAGAGCTGAGAAAAATTAGAAGTGGTCAATGACTGAGAGCGGCTCGTGCGGGCGGGTAATTACGTCACTCGTCTCAAACATGTTTCGCGGTTCACGGTTCACGCCTTACCGCTCACGCGCTAAGTACTCACTGCTGAAACAGTGCGCTACTTTCTGCTTATTTTTTCCCCTTCGCAGATTTCAATTGGGCTGCTTCTTCTCCTGTGTATGTTGGATCCGATCAAATCAGCGACTTAATTAATTTTCTGTCATTAAGAATTGTATTTCAAGACAAGAAAAATGACCACTGTCTCCTTGAAAACAGAAAATGAACTAAACACTTAGCTCGGTTTGCACATAGGTGCTGCAGGAAAACAAACGAGAAAATAAACGTGGGAGAATTTCATCATTAAATGAGACTGCAGTAAATCCTGATACCAACGCTGCAGAATCCTCCTCCCCTTGTCGACATCATGTGTTGAGTCATACACTGTTCATGACACCTACTTTCCGTCGTCTCTTTTCGTTGCCGGAAACATCGATTAAACTGCATCCTTGGGTACTGTCTCCATTATTATAAGAACGGCAATTTGTCGCCCAGTATGTTTTTGATGCAGCGTGCTAATTCCAAAGTTGCCGTCTAATTGATTAAAGACAAAAGTTAACTCTAAGCTGAACTTGGTTCGATTTTCAATAATTTTGCGACAAGGACTGGGCGACGGCGATTATGAGGTTAAAAAACAGAAAACAAAAACACCTCTGAGAATGTAATTGTCTCAAGTTAAACCGTTCGATAGTTTATTGTTGTTGAAAGGCAAGAAGATAAATTTCGTGTTAGAGCCACAAAAAAAATAAAACTAGAGCCTTCAGAAAGAGCCAACAAACTCAAGCTGAATCTCTAAACTCCTTGCAAATAGTATTCGGAGCATTTTATCTCGGTTAGGGCTTTTGATTTTTTTTCTTGTGGTCAAGGAATGTTGGCGTTTCAACGCGATGTCGGACTCAAAATGTAGTTTTTCGGCAGCCATATTCACAAAAATTGAAAGAAAACAGTCACTGAGCAAAAACATTGCGATTTCCGAGAGTATAGTTAATTTCAATATCTGCCGTGTCAAATTCTCCACCTTTCGAAGAATCGCATCCTCCTGGAGCCTGAAATTATGAAATCATAAAAAATCTTTATGCGCGATTTAAAATTTATCGATAAGAAATTTTTAACTATTTCTCACGAATCTTTTCTTCTTTTGCCGTGTAATTGCTCTAATTCATTACCGCGCAACAAGGCTTCTGTTGCCAGCCAGGATGTCTTAACTTTGATGTTAATGGTGACATCGCATTTAATATTTCACGCTGCTTTTTAAGTTATTTGCGCCAAACGCCATCGATAAAACCACTCAACGATAAAATGGCAACTTTGCCGGACAATTTTGTTTATCAACGTGTTGTTCTTTGACGCCTACATGGAGGATGTTTCGTGTTCTCGTCTTCAATATTAATTACACGTCCGTTTAGAGAAGTCCTTGTTGACTGTGTCGCCGACTCACAACAATCAACTGCCACCGCATTGGTGACATCTGAAATCTCGTAAGCATGTTTCCTTCACTCATGTTCGGTTTACTCATGAAAATTCTCGAAAAAATTTAATGAAGCCCACAAAACCACCAAAACTGTCACACCCTGACTGATTTATATTGACTTTGAGGTTAGATTTGTCAGCGGGAATTCCGTAACAAAACACACCGCTAAAAATTGTTATGGTTTGTGGTCAGCAAGCTGTTTTCCAAGCAATATTCAATACACTATAAACCCTCAGAATAAAGTTTTACCATGTTTACGATATTTGATTTTAGCCGTGTAAACCAGTAGTTGGAATGTTTCTTCACTAGGGCGCCACTGGAAGTGCCTCAATCACGATCGCCCTTGAAATGACTTCCTTTCGCCTTTTTATTCATATGTCTAAGCATAATTATAGTGGGTACTCCATTTAGCGTATCACGATCCACCTGATTCACTCGTTCACCAAAACATGATAAAAATTTTTCTTTAACAATGTCTTAATTGTGTGCGAAAGTGTTACGTTCCTGCCTTACAGTCCTCCATCTCTTTCAATGCAGATTATTAATATAACATTTGCAAGTAAACCTTGAATTTGATGGCTATCTTTAGCCGAAATATCTTGAAATTCTGGATTAGGAAACAGCTGTCTAAGTAAAATTTGGTGCGTATTTCATCTTCGCGAGAAAAGATTCGATATTTTCAATGGGTCTTATTTCGAGTAATCCGGTTTAGCCCTTAAAAGACCTTGTAACTCCTCGAGATTAACAACTCACTGCTCTGGTTTTCAAGAAAGTGATATAAAACTTGTTAAAGTATTGCTGATATGGTAGCTTAAAAAGGGGAGTGAAAACGAAGAAAAATATAAGGGAAAATAGTAAACTGAAGAGTTTAAAGTAAAACTCATCAAAACTGACCTTGATTTTTATCTTTCCTTCTGTTTATCTTTTCTTTTTCTTCCTCCGAACGGGCTTGCGACTCGTTAGTAAATCGAAATTCTCTCACAAAAAATTAAACAGGGTTTTCCGATGTTTCATTCAGTTGGGGTGATTCACTCAGACTAGAAAATAATTTTCCATTTTTTTTCTACAATAGCGCGATTGAAACTAGACAAACTTAAACACCGTTATTTCAAGTTTTCACCAGTGTCATTTGTTACCAGATAGCAAAAATTTTATTGTCATATTTAAATGAGTATTAATGTGTTCATGGGGATTTCTCGATTTTTTTGGGTTATCCTGACCTCTAGATAAACCCAGGTTTAAGCGGTAGAGGTTTTTATTACTCCGCGGTATATGTATTGTCAAACTTACAACTCTCATTAAATATTCGCTCATTTCAATTTCATTATAAGGTTCGCAAGATTATCGTCTTAAGTGTGTGCGAATGCTTTTTTAAAGGCCATATAGTCTCTTTTAAACATCTTCATCACAGAAATGGATTCAGATGATTATTTTTTACAATTACATCGGCATCGTCGGAAACAAGACGACTGACAAAGGAAAATCTCATCGAAATCAAATTTTCTCGATCAGTAGCCTCTAACTAAGGTAACAGTTTATATTTTTGTGACAATTTTTCCTGAAATTTGTGAAGATGAATGCTTAAAAAACTCACCTCAGATATCCATATATATATATTTACTACTGATCATTATTAATCTACCAAATGAAAGTCGACCCGAAAGGTGAACCCGCCCTCCATAATCGATGTCATTGGAACTAAAAGACGGATTGCGTTGCTGTGATCTATTTGAAAAATATGAACTTCATTCGTATATACGTTCTAACATGCAAAAAATTTTAGCTTTTAAGGATGAATTCTTGGGAGAGAATAAAACATCAATGGTTTAGAAAAAAAATGAAGATATTTCATTCTACGAATGGCGCAATTTAAAACAGCTTACAGAAAAAAGGGGAAAGTATTTTGCATATCGAAGTTGCTGAAAATGTGTGTATTAGTGATGAAAGTACTGTCCAATTTTTTTATTTTTCTCTCTTACTAAGTTTATTCAGCGAATGTAGCGTATTAACCTGAAGACCTGAAGGTAAAAAATATCTTCCTTTCATTTTATTCCGGAGAAATGAATAATTTCAGCCAGTCTTCAGTAACATGTACTGCTCGAGACAACTAGGTTGACGCTTGCGTGTTTTAATGACTTTGGCGTTATTTTATTTGGTCTTCAAACTGTAATGTGTGTTTATAATTGCTGCTAATGGGAGAGGATTCAATCGAGAATATAGAAGAGAGATTCTACTTTTTCGCTATGTATACTTTTTTTTTCTGGTTTATTATTCTGCCTTGAAACTATCTGAGTACGGTGAATGCTGAGTTAGTTCATCTATTAAAAAAAAAAAAAAAACTACTGAAATCTCAATGCCTCGACGGCACGCGGCGATGCTTTATTCGTGGATAGCCAATCGCAGTTTTCTTTTGCTTTCTTTTCTGCGTGTGGCCAAAAGCAGCTGAGATTAAGGTTCTTTAGAGGAAAGGACAAAAGAGCCTTTAATGTTTTTCTGCACAGTGTTTTAGCTCGCGCAATTGTCATCTTTTGGCCACAACGCCACTGCGTTCCGTGCCAATTCATTTGAATTTTCTACCACTCACGAAAAAAATCACCAACCCGTGATTCTGCGTTTAATTTTTGCCTGCTGTTAAATTGATGCTATCTTTACCGCGCGAATAATTAGGTCCAACAAGAAAAGAAAAGGTTGCCGATTAACATCTATCATTTAGCATTTAATATATTCTTAAGGGTGAAACGCAATTTGTCACTCTAGGGCAAAATCAGCTTTGATAAGTTTACAAATACATTATTCATATTCAGGAGAATAAAAGTTCTGGATGTTTAATTTCGTGCTATTATGATTTTTTCCTATTAGTAGTGGAAATACTTTCCAGCATACAGGATGTAACCTAGTGCATCTTTTAACTGGAATAACCGACAGTTCTCTTTGAACGTCAGACGTTTGCGTGGGTGTTCGTCAACTTGCTATCAACTTTAGCTCCTATATAATAAAGCCATTCCTTTATTTCCATAGGAGTAAGGAGGATTAATTTACCCGAAAGCCGGCGACCTTAATTGTAGCTTCAAGCATGGCTAACGTGAGCGTCCAAAATTCCAGTCAACCTTGGCAAAATGATTGTCAGTCGGCAATGTGCGTGTTTTCAAGAGGAGTGCTCAACTTTATAGTGGTTTCTCTGTTTTCAATTACAGCGATATCCTTGCTTGGAAACATTCCTATCCTGGTCGCCATTCTGTGTTCTTCAAAGCGAAGGAATAAGTCGAATTTATCCACCCTCAACTTAGTTGTGTCCGATCTGCTCATCACGATATTCTGCATACCGTTTGTGACAGTTGATTTGTTCATTCTTGACGCTTGGATTTTTGGCCGAGTAATGTGTCGTTTGGTTACTTTTGTGCAGAATACTGCCATGACGGCTTCTGTGTTGAATTTACTGATCATCACCTGCGAGAAATTCCTGGCTGTTCGGTTCCCTTTTAATGTTCGCCTCAGAAAGAAACTTGTTTGCTTTCTTCTACCTGTGGCGTGGATCGTTGCAATGACCGGAGCGGCTTGCTACGCCAGGTTCAAGGAAATTTATGAAGTTGGTGATAACACCTATATCTGTGGAGAGGACTGGTTGAATGCTACTGCACTGAAAAATACGCAAATCGTCATATTGACGCTTTTTTTCGGCCCTCTATTTTTAATTACGTTATTTCATTCTATTACCATTTATACCCTGGTCAAAGGAAAGCGAGACCTTCAATTTCAACTAAACAGAAGTGAGAGGGATTCATTCAAAAGAGTACTAGTCAAACACAAACGACAAAGGAAGGCTGTAAAGATTATCCTTTTGACTCTGTTATCCATAATCATCTGCTGGGGGCCAATGTATTTTTTCCTCTTGTTCTCAATGATCGTCTTTAGAGAATCAAACCCGAGAGCTATCATCATCGCTTACACAGTCTGTATTTGGTTGCTCTTTAGCCACTGCTCCATTTTTCCGTTGATTTACTTTTTCTTGACTCATAAAGGGAAAGAAACGATTGCCTTCTGTACTCTTTGTCTGAAAAACTGCACGCTGCGAGGAACAAGCTCTGGCATGGGATCCATGTTGTTAGACAGCTCTAATTATCACGGTGGAAGTACAAAGATCGTTGGGAGCCTGAGGAATTCCAGTTGGCGAAGGAGTTCCGCGCCAGCTTCCACGCCAGGGGCAGAGACACGTTTGTAAATAATGCCAGTCAAAGGGATGATTTTTCCACCAACAGATTATGGTAATCAGCCCCAGCACAGATGGCGATAAAGTCCAACCTTAAAACACAAAGAAACACAGAATCCTAAATTTAAGAGTCGGTTTAAAGCGTTGGGTTGCTTTCCGAACACAACTTGTGTTCAACTTGTGTTACACCGACTCTTAAATTTAGGATTCTATGTTTCTTTCTCGTGACGAGATACCAAAAGTTTGTTTTCCGTTTTCTTTCCTTTTCTTTTTTTTTGGATAGACTTATTTCCTCCACCAGGAGATTTTTTATTTTTATTTTTCTTTTTTATTAATATCACTTCTCAAAGAAAGCAAAGACGATCCGTTGCGGCTAGAATACCATAAATCAGTTGTCCTTTCTTTTAAAAGACTTAGTTCTCTACTGTGAGATTGTTTAAATTTTTTTTTACATTTCACTTTCCAAGGAAAGCACAGGCGATCCGTCGCGGCAAGGAAATGCAAAGTTATAAACTCTGTAGGATAACTTTAAAGCCTTAAGGAGCATTCTGTGACACAGTTTTCAACTTCCACATTTTAGCACGATTGCATGGCGACAATTTTCATCGCTTAGCCGAGAATTTTACGTTACTCCCAGGAGGGTCTCTATGGGGTAATGGCTGTTACGGCTAATGTTTGACATTTTAGCCATTTTGGAGCTCATTACCGCTGTAATAAAGTAAAGGTTAGCCTTTTTATCATTTACGATTAAAATTTGGCAATTTTTACGCCTAATGGCTGAATTTTTTCGCCGTTAACGGCTAACGATTTACCCTATTGAGACCCTTTTCTGGCGCTTTTGTGTTTTACTGGCCATTTTTTTCTGATGTCACAGGTTTCTCTAATCATCAGTTCCCTCTCTCTCTCTGACCTTTTTTTTCCTAGTCGTGTACCAAAGATGTGGATTACCTTGCACTGTTTTGGGTAACTTGATTGCACCACTGACAACACCAAAAAAAAAATTCCTCTTGTAATATAGATCTTTGTCGTTCGCAAATATTAACGGCGGTTTTTAGAAAACGATAATCGACTCTCGTTAACCGGCTCAGCACGGATATTTGATAGTTTTTCTCTCTCCTTTGTTGGATATAAATCTGATGGAACTTGTTACATACAAACCTACTGAGGACTTACCTCACATCGAATTTTCTGTAGACCATCAGTTTGAAATCGTAATGGCGTGAGATTCGATTCATTATCTTGAGGGACTCAGATTTGCTCCTTTTCCCACGCTCGTGGCCATACGAATAACCTGTTGAAGATATAACCTTGTATATAGAATGGAAACTGTGGTGTTAGAATTTAAGCGAACCTTCTTCATTGATGTAAGCCCATGTATGGTCCAACCCAAAATGGAACTCTCATTTCGTATATTAAGTAATTACTATTGACCGCAATTGGCCAAAGGCATCACGTTTGTTGTGATTAAAAAAAGGCTGAGAGCTCTTACACCAGTCAAAATAAGGCCGTGGACATGATTATCCTCTTTGAAGGTTATTATGCCGAAGGCACGATTGAGCTCAGATTTTAGTCAATAATTCTGTATGGCGATTGGCATTGTAGAGAAATTTGAATTCACAATGTTCTATGCTCAGGTTGAGAAATTGACTCGACTGAGACTGAAGCAATACAGAGTACTGATTTATATAGAAGCACGTAGCACGTGTTATGTAATTTTTAAGCTTTTTGTGATCAGAGACAAGGTGCAGTGTAATTCGCCTCGAAATGCGAAGATATCTTAATTCTGTAAAGATTGAGGCAATGTTAATAATACATCTTGGGCTGGAAGGTATACTGTCACTTCTGCTAAAATCACAAACTTCATAAATAAATCATCGCCTCTAGTATGAAAATTATCATAACTTGAAGAAATTACCTTCCTCTGAAACATATGATTTAGAATTTCAAAGCAACCTTTTACTTGGTTGTGTGAAAAAGACAAGCAATATATCCGTAGAGAGGGTTTCAGGAAGGTAGATGTAGTCATATTTACGTCCTCTGAATGTAATTGTGCATTCATGACTCCTGTGTGAAAAGAGATCGCACTGTACTAAGGGAGTAAGAGAAGGTAACATAAATCAGTAAACTAAGAAAGTACCAAGAGAATAGCTTTAATACAATGTCATGGCTGTGATAAGCCCATTTCATGATAGATTAGATTGATGAATTTCTTTTTCCCGATTACGAAATAAAAATACAGATTACGAAATAAAAATACATCATTCCGGTGGGGGTTTAAATTTCCTTTGTAGCTCAAATATTTAGCGCGTTTCATTTTCACCTGCTATTTTGAGAAAGTCATATTTTGTCGTTTCCTTTTTTTTCTTTTCTTTTCCTTTCCTTTTTTTTTTTTTTTTCTTTTTTAAAATTTTTAGGGTGAAGATATGAAGCATATTTCAGCGATAGCCACTTGTTCCATCTTGTACTTTGCGTGGTTAATCGCGTGCAGTAACGAGGAGATGAATATCCGTAATTGAAGCCCAGCAGCGGATAATAAAGACCAGATTAGTTTTAGCTATTCATTCAGGTTCACGCAAACTCGTAGGCTGGTAGAACAATTTCGTTTTTAATCATTTTCAAATAGTCCCCGTAAGGGTCTTCTCACATGCGACGTAAATACCTTTAGGACTTAAAAATTGTAATTTATATTTGTAGCTTTTCTTTATTACTTCTTATACAATTGCCACTTCACATCTATTTAGACTGAAAGTTGATTTACATATGCTTTTGTCCTTCGCAGTTTTGAAACAAAAAGAACACTGCTACCCTCATTATTATTAATTTACATGGCTCACTCTTATTATCAACACAAAAATGAACCTATCAGCAAGCAGCACCCACTGCTTTCAAAAGAGTCCTTCAATCAAAGTCGTTCGATTCTGTTTCATATATCAATAACTGACTACAGTGTGCAGGTTTCGCATCTGAATGTACTGCCAGCTGTAAAAAGTTCTAGATTCACCTCCCTATAAGGTATGTAGTCTCTGATTGTGGTAAGAAGGAAAAGCTATAGGCGGCTGAAATCAGCCAGGCAGGCACGGAAAAGTGAGTGAACCAGAAAATCCTGAAGAGCTTGCATTTGAAATCATGTGTATTTTTGTAATCAACCAGCCTTTAAACTAAGATTTTTAAAATTGCTAGCCGTTTACGAGCACAAACGGGGGCCAAGCATTGTCTGATTAGCCATTTCCTCGAGAAAAAACATAGAAAAATGACTTTATGTAGTAACACCAGCTTTTGCTATTAGCACAGGTATCTCTGTTCATGTTTTCCAAGAAGATCGAAAAATTTCTTCCAGCTGGTAGGAGCTGTCCCCCGCGTGTTTCAAGTCCGTTCGTTCATAGTCAGAATCGATTGTTCAAGTAAGTAAAGAGATCAAATGGCGTCAAGTACAAGAGAGATGTTTTCCTGCCGATGTACATTTTTTAATTTTCCAGCTTCACCAAGGTTTTTATGTCAATAGCACACTAAAGTGTTAGCTTATGCCATGCACTGGTGTCTTACTCAAATCTTGCTTTATTTGATAAAGAAGATGCGACAGCTTAGTGGTGAGCTCGCTGGATTCTGTGTTTGAGTCCTGGCTAAGGTACCAGCAGAGTGTCACAGAAACGAAAGAAAATGTTGAGAGGTTGCCTTCGATGAATTAGCATATCAATTTATCCAGGAGAAGTAGAATTACACTTAGTCACTTCGCGCTACAGGAACCCCGATAAGCCCGTAGGGGATGTCAAGAGTAGGGTGGCAACTTAAACACGGCGTAAACTTTAGCTGAAATTCTCGCCATACGCTCATGATATGATCGATACACAAAGCAGTCCTTCTGCTAATTTACTGATAAGGGCAGAGCGCTTGGCTTTCAACTAAAGGTAAAATCTTTAGACCACTTGCCCAATATCAAAGGAAAAGAGAAATTCAAGTAAGTTTAAGGATACGAAAGGACATCTTTGGAAAACCATTTTTCTCAAGAAATGTTGGGTTTTAATCACCCGTCGTTTCATTTGCAAAATTACCATACTAAAGCATTTTCAATAAAACCATTGGAATTTCAATTTTATTGTTCTCTATACTCTTCGGAAAAAGCTGATTATCATCGATGACATTGTTATTTGCAATTTTGGAAATTCAACATTAGCTTGCACATTATCTCTTAAGAATTTCATGGCCAGACCTCAATTATGCAATGTGTTCGCGGTTTAGACAACATGCTTGATATGTTTGCAGCTGTTATGATCTTCGTTTTCCCTTAAGATTCTCAGTGCTAACAGATATCTGTTCCCAAAACCTCTTCATATAGAAGGCCCTGGCTTCGTCTTCAGCTTTAGTAGCTGCCAGAAAGTAAAGGCATTAACCATCGATTTTTGTTCATTCGTGGACGTTGATAAGGCAGACGGTTAAAAGCGAACTTCATCGATGGCGAAGACAATTAAAAAAATATAAACCATTATCAGCTTAGTTCTTTGATTTAAATCTTTTTCCAATGCTTCCAACTGTACAGAAATGTGAACTCTACTGATGTTATCAAACATGCCTTATCATGGTAATTGCGCAAATAAAACGTTAGCTGATTGGAAAACGAACATCTCTTCTTGTAAATGGCATATATTTAAAGATGTCATTGACCGCCCGCCCACAGACTTGAGTTTTCCTTGCCTCTCAATAGAGGGTAACATATGCAAATGACATTCACCTACACCTCGTTTGACAGTAATTGTTGACTTCTTTTTTAATCTCATTTAACTCAGTACGCTGTAATATAGTCGTTTTATCTCCAATAACTTGAAGATAAAAAGGAGAATTGAAAGTTGCTGGGAGAGACAACATTGTCGGTGGAACTGCCGAGCTAATAGTATATGAAATAGGTTTTCGCTGTCAGAACTGAGAAAAGGATGTATCTTGAATATCTTTTGTAACGAGTGAGAGAAAAAGAGGGAGGGAGATGAAACACCTATTTTACTTCTAAAATGATGCAGGAAGAAAATTATTTTCATTTCTAATTTTTTTTCTTCTGGAGGTGAATTTTTCACCATGACACATGGTTCTGAAACGATTTAGAGATGCAAAATCAGTTTTACGAGGGACAATGATATCGTTCGGCTTTCCTTTTTTTTTTCTTTAGAAATTCCTGCAAAAAAATGTTTTTTTCTCTTATGTCTGATGCCAAGATATATATATTACAATTGAAAAAGG